TGCGAGTGGATTAGTGGGCATCGCGAGCCCTCTTTCATTTGCCCTGTGCCGGAACAATAGCCCTGAATCTGAGCCAGGTAAGTTTAGGTGTCCGGTAGGCACTGGGCGCGCTATGGCAGCGAGATCTTAGTTACCTCGCCTGGTATACAGGAGGTCGTGGGTTCGACCTGGACCCTGACTCCTGCTGTATATTTGGAGTTTGCGTGTCTCTCTCCCCGTGGTCGCGTGGTTTTCCCATCCACATTTATGAGCCATGCGTTTCGAATATTTAACTGCCGTACATTCCCACGTGATAAGCCACTTCGTTGGGCTAACATTTGTGGCCAGGTCGCCTCTGAAAAAAGAACTACATAGCTCAGTGGGCCTTACCTGGTAAAATGTAAAAAAAAAATAGTTTAGTTTAGAACATATGTTCTCTCTCTCCGCTCCCCGCCCGCTCTCCGCTTACACACACACACGGTGGCCACAGCAACCATTCGCCACCACAGTGGCAGCGATGCCACCACCACCACTACAGTGGCAGCGATGCCACCACCACTACTACAGTGGCAGCGATGCCACTACCAGCACCACCACAGTGGCAGCGACACCACCACCACCACCACCACAGCGCGCGCGTGTGCCATAGTAGAGGTGCATTTTATAAAACAACACATTCAGGTTTAGGGTTACATACAGACTTCAAACACCCCCCCCCCTTTTAGACTCGGGGCAAGTGGTGTTAGCGAGCAGCTATGCAAGCCGGCACGGCGGCGTGAGACCGAGTGATGTCAATCCCAGTGCGTCACAGCTGCGGTGACGCGAAGCTCTGCTATTTGTATTATATTGAGAGATTTGTTGATAACCTTTCGGGGCCTGAAAGGGTATAGGGGATGGGTTTGCGGGTTACATCCACATGACATGCGGTGGTTGCCGCTGCTGCTGTTGTTGTTTTATTTGAGAGTGGTAAGTGATGCGAGGCGCGCGCCTACAGGTGCAGCTCACGAAGAGCCGCATTGAACGATGCCTGGTGATTACGGGGGGGGCACATCGGGGAGGCGAGTGGGCAGGTAGGTGAATGGGCAGGTAGGTGAATGGGCTGACGGATGGGCAGGCATGTGAATGGGAAAATGATTTCCAACAATTTTTTTTAAACACATTTATTTTGTTATTTACCAGCCCAGGCCCATGTAGCTATAAAGCTCTTTTTCAGCAGCGTGACCTGGTCACAAATGATCGCTGAACGAAGCGGCTGATCACATGGAAATGTTTCGCAGCTAAATACTTTAAACGCGACGTTGATTCTAAATGTGAAGGGAAGAAACAGAAAAATCCACGCCACCACGGGAAGAGAGACACGCAAACTCCAAATATACAGGCGTCAGTTGTGGGATCGAACTCACGACCTCCTGTACAACGGGCGAGACAGTTAACATCTCGCCACTGCGGGCGATGCGGGTGGTGAATGGGTAGTGAGTAGGTTGGTAGGTAGGTGAGTGGACAGGTGAGCGTGCATGTGATGGTGTAATGGAGATAGATTGGGGTCACCTTCATCCAGCAGTGAATGAATCATGGCTACTGACGATAATGAAATGGCCAGTTTGGGATGGTCGGTGAAAAGAGGGGAACAGGACCGGTTCAGATATTACTCGTCACAGATGCGTGGACTCAGATGCCACGTTCACAGTACGGTGCGCTAACCACTTCGCTACCGCTCCATCGCACTCTGTGCGTATAATTATCTGGATTTTAAGTCTACGTGTGTATCTGTGCGTGCGTGTCCGCATGCGAGTGCGTATGACTATACGTGGGGGAGTGGTGGCGCGGTGGTTAGCACACAGCACTACGAACTAGGGCCTTTTCTAATGGTGCCCCCAGGGTCTGGAATGCTATCGCCAATAAACTCCAACTTGGATCACGACCTGTGACATTTTCACTCAAAACTGCTCGAGAGGAGTTGTACACCCTAGCTGCCACTGCTATTCAGAATGGCCTGAAATCAAATGTATTGTTCCGGATGACCGCTGCAAAGTATGATCTTGAGTTTTTATTATAGTGTGTTGATCTTTAAAGGTGTATTGAAATTTTTTGATTTTGCTACTGATACTCCTGCTGTTATGGAGTGACTCATGCAGCCAGCTATGGCTGAAAAGTTTGGTCGTACATGTTACTGTATGTGTATCGTTTATTGTTAAATTTGAATCACAGTTCCTATGATCACTGTTACATTGTTATAAAGCTTTATTTTGGTGATTGAGAAAACGTTTTGGTTTAGCCATGTTTGTTTGTTGTAGTACAGAGTTAGCCTGATAACTTTAATCTAAATTGTCTTATGGTTGTTATTGTTTGCCTTGCATCCCACTGGGATTTTTGCACACAGCGTTGAAATATTGTTTTTTTTCTGGAAGACTTTGCTGTTTTTTCCTGGATTTTTCTGTTGCGTGTAGTCACTTGTTTCTTATTCGTGTTTTTGTTTTTTTGCGGTTGCACCCGAGTCAAGAGCCGCATGGCTTACAGGGTTATACCTAATACATGAAACTGAAAAAACTTTAAAAAACCTTCGTTTAATTCCCGACCGCGGCTAATATCAGTGGCGAGCGACAGCAGAACTTTGTCCTGGGCCAAACCCTCAGTCAACTCCAATTGGTACCTGGTAACGGTGTGGTAACAAAACAAACAGCAAACCACACCATCAACAATCGGGATACAAAGACGTCGTGCTGGCTTTAATAGGTGCTCGCTAACAACACTCTGGCCACGAGTCTATTAGAATAAGAGTCAGGCGTCTTGCCTCGGCACGTGTCCCCCTGCCAATGACGTCTTGCTGCTGCTGCTGTGGATGCTGCAGGTATAAAACAGAGACCACCAACACCATCGCCATCACATACCTGGTGGCACGGGGGCTAGCGCAGATACACTGAGGGAAAAAGTATTTGATCCCCTGATGATTGTGTACGTTTGCCCACTGACAAAGAAATGATCAGTCTATAATTTTAATGGTAGGTTTATTTGAACAGTGATAGACAGAATAACAACAAAAAAAATCCGGGAAAACGCATGTCAAAAATGGTATAAATTGATTTGCATTTTAATGAGGGAAATAAGTATTTGACCACCTCTCAATCAGAAAGATTTCTGGCTCCCAGGTGTCTTTTATACAGATAACGAGCTGAGATTAGGAACACTCTTAAAGAGAGTGCTCCTAATCTCAGCTTGTTACCTGTATCAAAGACACCTGTCCACAGAAGCAATCAATCAATCAGATTCCAAACTCTCCACCATGGCAAAGACCAAAGAGCTCTCCAAGGATGTCAGGGACAAGATTGTAGACCTATGCAAGGCTGGAATGGGCTACAAGACCATTGCCAAGCAGCTTGGTGAGAAGGTGACAACAGTTGGTGCGATTATTCGCAAATGGAAGAAACACAAAAAAACTGTAAATCTCCCTCGGCCTGGGGCTCCATGCAAGATCTCACCTCGTGGAGTTGCAATGATCATGAGAACGGTGAGGAGTCAGCCCAGAACTACACGGGAGGATCTTGTCAATGATCTCAAGGCAGCTGGGACCATAGTCACAAAGAAAACAATTGGTAACACACTACGCCGTGAAGGACTGAAATCCTGCAGCACCCGCAAGGTCCCCCTGTTCAAGAAAGCACATATACATGCCCGTCTGAAGTTTGCCAATGAACATCTGAATGATTCAGAGGACAACTGGGTGAAAGTGTTGTGGTCATATGAGACCAAAATGGAGCTCTTTGGCATCAACTCAACTCGCCGTGTTTGGAGGAGGAGGAATGCTGCCTATGACCCAAAGAACACCATCCCCACCGTCAAACATTGAGGTGGTAACATTATGCTTTGGGGGTGTTTTTCTGCTAAGGGGACAGGACAACTTCACCGCATCAAAGGGACGATGGACGGGGCCATGTACCGTCAAATCTTGGGTGAGAACCTCCTTCCCTCAGCCAGGGCATTGAAAATGGGTGGTGGATGGGTATTCCAGCATGACAATGACCCAAAACACACGGCCAAGGCAACAAAGGAGTGGCTCAAGAAGAAGCACATTAAGGTCCTGGAGTGGCCTAGCCAGTCTCCAGACCTTTAGCACATAGAAAATCTGTGGAGGGAGCTGAAGGTTCGCGTTGCCAAACGTCGGCCTCGAAACCTTAATGACTTGGAGAAGATCCGCAAAGAGGAGTGGGACAAAATCCCTCCTGAGATGTGTGCAAACCTGATGTCCAACTACAAGAAACGTCTGACCTCTGTGATTGCCAACAAGGGTTTTGCCACCAAGTACTAAGTCATGTTTTGCAGAGGGGTCAAATACTTATTTCCCTCATTAAAATGCAAATCAATTTATAACATTTTTGACATGCGTTTTTCTGGATTTTTTTGTTGTTATTCTGTCTCTCACTGTTCAAATAAACCTACCATTAAAATGTATAGACTGATCATTTCTTTGTCAGTGGGTAAACGTACAAAATCAGCAGGGGATCAAATACTTTTTTTCCCTCACTGTATATACGACCCCCCCCCCCACCTGCTTACAATCAGTGGCGGCTGGTGCTTGAACAGTACCTGGTGCTTCCCTCGATGTCGGCTCAGCCTAAAATAAGTACCGGGTGAGGTTTGTAAAACAACAACAACAACCACCCATCATGGCCATTATCATCACGACCACTACAAGCATCATCACCACCACCATGGTCACCACTACAATAATCATCACTACCATCATCACCACCACCACCAACCATCCCCATACCATCATGATCACCACCATCACCCCTCTGCCTGTACGTGGTCTCGTCCGTCTCCCCCCCCTCCCGCAGAGCGAGAGATCAGCTCGTCCGCAGGCCGCTCTTCCGTGGACACAGAGAGAGCAGCAGAGAGAGGGAGGGAGAGAGAGCGCGCGCGCGCGGGGAGTCGAGGGGGCATCCCCGGTTCGGCTCGAGGGGGGCAGAGTTTAGGGGGGGGGGTGCGAGGACCCCTTGGAAGGAGGAGGGGGTGGGGGGGCTGGGGGGGGGGCCGGGGGGGAGAATGAGGCTGCGTCTGTTTCGCATGGCGCTGTTAAGCTGTGGCTGCTCCATCCTCCTGGCTCTCGCCTACCTGCACGGCTCCCTGGCTCCAGGTAACGGGGCATATGGGGGACCTGACAGGGTCTGACACGCACACAGACACACGCACACAGACACGCGCACACAGACACGCGCACACAGACACACGCACACAGAGACACAGAGAGAGACTCACATAGAGACACACACACAGATAGAGACAGAGACTCACATAGAGAGACAGAAACTCACATAGAGACACACACACAGAGACTCACATAGAGACACACACACAGACTCACATAGAGACACACAGAGAGAGACTCACAGAGAGACACACGCACAGGAGACAAGAGACGCACACAAACAAAAACACCCATTCACACAGAGACACTCACACACTCATATAGAGACAAATATCCTCTGTATAGCCTCAACAGACTTTTGGGGCAAGTGCTGTTAGCGAGCACCTTTGAAGGTCGACACGGCATAATAGAGAGTCAAGTGACCAGCATCACGCCCCGACCGCCTTTGTCTCCTAAGTAGCAACGTTTACACAGCGCACCAGGTACTCATTTGAGGCTGAGTCGACCTAGGGAAGGCCCATGACCGGTTCAGATCATCGTCACTGGTGTTGGCCGTGAGCGGGAATCGAACACGGCTGGCCAGGTTCGTAGCGCAGCGCGCTGACCGCTACACTACCGCTCCCCACGCACACACTACCACACACAGACACAAACACATTCGGACAGATAAGGAGACACGCGCTCTCCCTCGTCCTGGACTCTGAACCGGGGTCACCGATTCCACGAGTCGTGGTTTCAGACTCGCAGATCGGGACTCATTGAGAGTTCCGCCCGGGGGTTCTCTGGCTCCAGGGACGCGGTCCCCGGCCCCCGAGTATCCCAGGCGAACCGTGGTCCCCGGGTCGATGAAACCGAGTTCGTTGGCTTCAAATGTGTCGCTGGGTTTGCTTCACTCGGAGTGGACGTTAAAGATCCATTAGAGGTTTTTTTTGGGGGGGGGGGGTTAGATCGCGTTATTATATAAATGTGTCGTTAAACCCACCACCACCCGACACAGCCAACTAGTAAGAGTTGCCACGTCAACAGAACGTGCCAATTCGTCACTAGTACAGCACACCGGTGTGTTGGAGAGCCAATCCACAGCATTTACAAATCTGAATTCGACGTTAAAGATCCCCGTCACGGTCTTCATCAAGAGTTAGGCCATTGTGTGCCGGCGTCACGCTCCAAATTTGAACAAAATGTGTAAAATTACACCGCAGATCACTCCGTCGGGATCACGCACAACAGCAAGAGCAGCACTTATCTCCTTTCGACTGCTGAAAAACTTGGCAGGAACCTTCTGACAAAGAGTTACGAGACTCGGTGAGGCTTTCCCGAGTGAGCGAGCAGAATAATGATAACGCGTGACTGCGGGTTCCTCGTTTGTGGCTCTAGCTGACCGAATGCACTGGTTCCATCCATGTAGACCGGATCCTGGCTCCGGTAATTCCTGCTCCCAGTAGCCTGATCTCTGTCTGGATCCGAGTTTCCGAGTTGATTCTCTGCATGACAGGGCTGCGAACTCGAGAAACCAAGACATGCGTCTCGTTCGCAAGAGGGGCCTGGGGCATGAGTCTGCTGCCAGTAGGGAGCAGTGATCCCTGCTGTGTGGGATCACAAATGAGTCATTTGTGGTGTCATTTTTCGAATTTGGCAAATTTGAACGCCGGCACACAATGGCCTACTCTTGCGAATGGCGTCACGGGGATCTGTAACGTCCACTTTGAAGCAGTCCGCGCGTAGTTAATATGGTCAATACACACCACAGTATTAATCAGGGCGGTCGCTGGAATCGAAACTTGAACCTCCACGGAAACTGGATCCAGACTATCTCTGCCTGGGTCCTCGGCTCAAGGTCACTGAGTCCCCGGGTCCCTGGCGCCAGGTCACTGGGTCACCGGGTCCCTGGCACCAGGTCACTGGGTCCCCGGGTCCCTGGCACCAGGTCACTGGGTCCCCGGGTCCCTGGCACCAGGTCACTGGGTCACTGGGTCCCTGGCACCAGGTCACTGGGTCACTGGGTCCCTGGCACCAGGTTACTGGGTCACCGGGTCCCTGGCGCCAGGTCACTGGGTCACCGGGTCCCTGGCGCCAGGTTACTGGGTCACCGGGTCACCGGGTCCCTGGCGCCAAGTTACTGGGTCACCGGGTCCCTGGCGCCAGGTTACTGGGTCACCGGGTCCCTGGCGCCAAGTTACTGGGTCACCGGGTCCCTGGCGCCAGGTTACTGGGTCACCGGGTCCCTGGCGCCAAGTTACTGGGTCACCGGGTTCCTGGCGCCAGGTCACTGGGTCACCGGGTCCCTGGCGCCAGGTTACTGGGTCACCGGGTCCCTGGCGCCAAGGTACTGGGTCACCAGGTTCTTGGCGCCAGGTCACTGGGTCACCGGGTCCCTGGCGCCAAGTTACTGGGTCACCGGGTTCCTGGCGCCAGGTCACTGGGTCACCGGGTTCCTGGCGCCAGGTTTCTGGCTCCGTAGGACCAGGGACCCGAGTCCTGATTCCATACCGCTGTGGCCAGAGACCCAGGATGGCCAGATGACCCAGTTCGTGGGCCCTGACTCCAGCTGAGAGGGATGCATCCTCATGCCCCCCCCCCTCTCCCCGGTTAATGTGAGGGGGTGGGCACCCCCGGTGCCCCCCCTCCCCCGGTGCCCCCCTCCCCCGGTGCCCCCCTCCCCCGGTGCCCGCCCCCTCTCATCCGGTGCCCCCCCTCCCCCAGTGCCCCTCTTCCCCCCGGTGCCCCCCCCTCCCCCGGTGCACGGTGGGTGGGTAAATCTCTGTGAGGAGCGGTGGCGCAGCGGTTAGCTCACTGCGCCACACGAACCATGGGACCCGAGTTCGATTCCCGCTCACTGGGGCCAACTTCTACACAGATCGTGGGCCTCCACCAGGTCGACTCAGCCTCAATTCAATACTTGATGTTTTGTATAAACACCAGCGCTGGGGAGACAAAGGCGGTCTGGCGTAGCACTGGTCAACCCCCCCCTCCCCCCCTCATATAGGTGCTCGCAACAAAAGCACTTGCCCCTACAGCCTGCGTGGGTTTACACGGGAAACCTTTGTCTTTCCCTGTGTGTGTGGAGGCTCAACCCGACCCCGGTGTCGGTTTCGGGTGGGGGGGGGGTGAGGGGGAGGGGGTGTCATCGTTTTTCAACGCAGGCCCGAAGCATCAAGCGGCCGGCAACAAACAGCAGCGCCATCCAGAGTTGTAAACGATTTAGAGTGGAAAGCGTCTCTTGAATTGAGCGACGTTGTTTCCGTGGCAGCTCGAGAGAATGCAGACGACGACGACGCTGATGATGGGAGGAGATTCTCGAGTTGGGCAGTGCGAGGGAAGAAGCAGCAGAGAGGGAAAAGGCAGCAGTGGAGAGAGTAGAGGGAGTGCAGGGAGAGTAGAGGGCGTGCAGGGAGAGTAGAGGGCGTGCAGGGAGAGTAGGGGGAGTGCAGGGAGAGTAGAGGGAGTGCAGGGAGAGTAGAGGGCGTGCAGGGAGAGTAGGGGGAGTGCAGGGAGAGTAGAGGGAGTGCAGGGAGAGTAGAGGGAGTGCAGGGAGAGTAGGGGGCGTGCAGGGAGAGTAGAGGGAGTGCAGGGAGAGTAGAGGGCGTGCAGGGAGAGTAGAGGGAGTGCAGGGAGAGTAGAGGGAGTGCAGGGAGAGTAGAGGGAGTGCAGGGAGAGTAGAGGGAGTGCAGGGAGAGTAGAGGGCGTGCAGGGAGAGTAGAGGGAGTGCAGGGAGAGTAGAGGGAGTGCAGGGAGAGTAGGGGGAGTGCAGGGAGAGTAGAGGGAGTGCAGGGAGAGTAGAGGGAGTGCAGGGAGAGTAGAGGGAGTGCAGGGAGAGTAGGGGGCGTGCAGGGAGAGTAGGGGGCGTGCAGGGAGAGTAGAGGGAGTGCAGGGAGAGTAGGGGGAGTGCAGGGAGAGTAGAGGGCGTGCAGGGAGAGTAGGGGGAGTGCAGGGAGAGTAGGGGGAGTGCAGGGAGAGTAGGGGGCGTGCAGGGAGAGTAGGGGGCGTGCAGGGAGAGTAGGGGTCGTGCAGGGAGAGTAGAGGGAGTGCAGGGAGAGTAGGGGTGTGCAGGGAGAGTAGAGAGAGTGCAGGGAGAGTAGGGGGAGTGCAGGGAGAGTAGGGGGCGTGCAGGGAGAGTAGGGGGCGTGCAGGGAGAGTAGAGGGAGTGCAGGGAGAGTAGAGGGCGTGCAGGGAGAGTAGGGGGAGTGCAGGGAGAGTAGGGGGCGTGCAGGGAGAGTAGGGGGAGTGCAGGGAGAGTAGAGGGAGTGCAGGGAGAGTAGGGGGGCCACGTGGTCGGGGTGGAATGTTGGGTCCCCGCGGCAAGAGGAGTCGAGTTCGCGTGAAGGGGGGGGGGGGGTGTAGGTTGGGGGTCGAGGGGACCCGTGGAGTGGGGGTCACCGGGTCACGGGGACCCTCGGGCAACAGATGCCGGGAATGGGCGCGGAGGTGCGGGGCGAGGGGCTGGGCCCCGGCAAGGAGGGGATTATGGGTTGGGGACCGGGGCTCGAGTTCGGATGAGGAATGGAGTCGGGCCTGGTGATGAGGTTGCGGCTGGGGGTCTACAGGCGGTCAGACGACCTCACTACGCCCGGAGCGTGAGACCCCGGGGGTATGGGGAGCGTGAGACCCGCCAGGAACCCGGCACCCGAGTTCGATTCCTGCCCACGGCTCGGACTTAAATGATCAAGTACTGTACCCGATGCGACGTTCAAGCATCACCACTGGGGAGACGAAGGCGGCGGCCGCGCGTGGTTTCCCGGCCTTAATGTGTGCTCGCGAACAGCACTTGCCCCAACAGACTGTTTTGGCAACACGGGGGCTTATTGTGTTTTGTGTGCCCTTGTGTTCCCATTGCGTTCGTGGTGGGGTCCCTAGATCGAGGTGTCCTCCCTCACCATCCCTGCCCCTCCCCCCTCCCTCTGATCTCCCTCCCAGGGAGGTGAGTGCTTCTGGCTTCCTGTGCGTTCACGACTCCGGAATTCCCTCCCTCTCCTCCCTACCCCCTCGCTTACCCCCCCTCGCTTACCCCGCCCCACCCCCACCAAGGCCCTGGAGCATGGAAACTTATTTTCTGCCTGGCCCCCCTTTCTCTCACCCCAATCCCCCATTCACCCCCCACTCCACTCCACTCCCCGTTATCTCTCATCCCATCTCTGCTGCTCTCCCCGCATTCGCTGTATCCACGCGCATTCTCTGCTGCCCCCCCCCTTGCTGATTCATCCCCGCCTCCCTCTTCTACTCGCTACTCGCCCTCTCCCCGTACCCCCCCTACCCCTCTCTTCCTCTCGGTTTCCCCTCTCGCCCCCTCTCCCAATGCCCGCTCCCCCACTAACCCCCGTGTGTCTCCCCCCACTATCCCCGTGTCTTTCCCCACTCCCCTTCTCTCTCCACGTGTCCCCATCTTTTCTCCCCCTGTCTCTTCCTCCCTCCTCCTCTCTAAGAAAACCTAAATGGCAAAACTCCACCCATCGGCTATCGAGGACACACAGAGACAGAGCTGTCTCCGTGTCTCAGTGTCGTCAGGGGCTGTCTACACAGAGACCCTGGGGAGACGGGGCTGTCTCAGTGTCTCTGTGGAGACAAGGCTGTCTTAGTGTCTCTGTGTAGACAGGGTTGTCTCAGTGTCTCTGTGTAGACAGGGTTGTCTCAGTGTCTCTGTGTAGACAGGGCTGTCTCTGTGTCTCTGTGTGGACAGGGCTGTCTCTGTGTCTCTGGGTAGACAGGGGTTGTCTCAGTGTCCCTGTGTAGACAGGGTTGTCTCAGTGTCTCTGTGTAGACAGGGCTGTCTCTGTGTCTCTGTGTAGACAGGGTTGTCTCAGTGTCTCTGTGTAGACAGGGCTGTCTCTGTGTCTCTGTGTAGACAGGGCTGTCTTAGTGTCTCTGTGTAGACAGGGGCTGTCTCCGTGTCTCTATGTAGACAGGGATGTCTACACAGAGACCCAGGGGAGACAGGACTGTCTTAGTGTCTCTGTGTAGACAGGGCTGTCTTAGTGTCTCTGTGGAGACAGGGCTGTCTACACAGAGACCCAGGGCAGACGGGGCTGTCTTAGTGTCTCTGTGTAGACAGGGTTGTCTCCGTGTCTCTATGTAGACAGAGCTGTCTACACAGAGACCCAGGGCAGACGGGGCTGTCTCAGTGTCTCTGTGTAGACAGGGCTGTCTACACAGAGACCCAGGGGAGACAGGGGTGTCTCAGTGTCTCTGTGTAGACAGGGTTGTCTCAGTGTCTCTGTGTAGACAGAGCTGTCTCTGTGTCTCTGTGTAGACAGGGCTGTCTTAGTGTCTCTGTGTAGACAGGGTTGTCTCAGTGTCGCTGTGTAGAAACGGCTGTCTCAGTGTATCTGTGTAGAAAGGGCTGTCTACACAGAGACCCAGGGGAGACACGGCTGTCTTAGTGTCTCTGTGTAGACAGGGCTGTCTACACAGAGACTCAGGGGAGACAGGGCTGCCTCCGTGTCTCTGTGTAGACAGGGCTATTTCAGTGTCGCTGTGTAGACGGGGGCTGTCTCCGTGTCTCTGTGTAGACATGGCTGTCTACACAGAGACCCAGGGGAGACAGGGGTGTCTCCGTGTCTCAGTGTCGTCAGGGGATGTCTACACAGAGACCCAGGGGAGACAGGGCTGTCTCCGTGTCTCTGTGTAGACAGGGTTGTCTCAGTGTCTCTCTGTAGACAGAGCTGTCTCCGTGTCTCTCTGTGTAGACAGGGCTGTCTACACAGAGACCCAGGGGAGACAGGGTTTTCTCAGTGTCTCTGCGTAGACAGGGCTGTCTCAGTGTCTCTCTGTAGACAGAGCTGTCTCTGTGTCTCTGTGTAGACATGGCTGTCTTAGTGTATCTGTGTAGACAGGGTTGTCTCAATGTCGCTGTGTAGAAAGGGCTGTCTTAGTGTCTCTGTGTGGATAGGGCTGTCTCAGTGTCTCTGTGTAGAAAGGGCTGTCTACACAGAGACCCAGGGGAGACAGGGCTGTCTTAGTGTCTCTGTGTAGACAGGGCTGTCTACACAGAGACCCAGGGCAGACGGGGCTGTCTTAGTGTCTCTGTGTAGACCGGGCTGTCTACACGGAGACTCAGGGGAGACAGGGCTGTCTCCGTGTCTCTGTGTAGACAGGGCTATTTCAATGTCGCTGTGTAGACGGGGGCTGTCTCCGTGTCTCTGTGTAGACAGGGCTGTCTACACAGAGACCCAGGGGAGACAGGGGTGTCTCCGTGTCTCAGTGTCGTCAGGGGATGTCTACACAGAGACCCAGGGGAGATAGGGTTGTCTCCGTGTCTCTGTGTGGACAGGGCTGTCTTAGTGTCCCTGTGTAGACAGGGGCTGTCTTAGTGTCTCTGTGTGGACAGGGCTGTCTTAGTGTCTCTGTGTAGACAGGGGATGTCTACACAGAGACCCACGGGAGACGGGGCTGTCTCAGTGTCTCTGTGTAGACAGGGGCTGTCTCCGTGTCTCGGTGTAGACAGGGGCTGTCTCAGTGTCAAACATTCAATTCCCGTGCGTTCTCCCCCGTGTCCTGCCCGGGTTTCCGCCGGGTTCCTGGGTCTCCTCCTCCCATAGCTAAACCTACACGCACAGTAGAACTGCTATTGGCCAAAAAACATCAACACAACGCTGAACTACCCCCCCCCCCCCCCCCCCGCAAATGACTCAATTGGGATCACGCAGCAGCAGAAGCAGCAGCAACAACATCGCCCCACATTCTTTCGAGAAACACGTTGGCGGGACCCTCCTGAAAAAAAAGGGAGTCTCGAGACTCGGGGGAGGCTTTCCTGGGCGACCGAGTGGATTCGTCCGTAAATAAGAGCGGCGAGACGTCGGCTGTCACCCGCTTCACGGCGTCAACACCACATCCCAGACGCTTGAACTCGGCCGCAGGGAGGAAGGTGGGAGGAGGGAGGGGGGGGCGAGGCGGGGTGGGGGCGTGGGGGGATTAGGGCATCGTGCAGGTACATGCGGGTGGCCGCAAAGGTGCGTGTGGGTGTGTGTGGATGTGTGGGGGTAGTGGGGAGCGGTTAGTGTTACGAACCTGAATACCTGGGTTCGAATCACGCTCACGGCCACCACCAGTGACGATTATATGAACCGGGCCTCCCCTGGGTCGACTCAGCCTCAAATGAGTACCTGGTGAGATGTGTAAACATCGCCGCTAGGGAGACAAAGGCGGCCGGGCGTGGTGTTGCCCACCCACCCCCTCGTGCGTCGTGCCGGCCTTCGTAGGTGCTCGCTAACGGTACTTGCCCCAACAGTCTACTGAGGCTATACGGATGATCTTTGTCTTTGCGTAGTGGGGAGCGGTAGTGCAGCGGTTAGCGCGCTGCGCTACAAACCTGGCCACCCGAGTTCGATTCCCGCTCACGGCCAACATTGGTGACGATTATCTGAACCGGTCCTGGGCCTCGCCTAGGTCGACTCAGCCTCAAATGAGTACCTGGTGCGGTGTGTAAACATCGCCCCTGTATGGTGCTGGCCACTCACCCCCTCGCGTGCCGCGCCGGCCTTCATATGTGATCGCTCACAACGCTTGCCGCAACATTCTATTAAGGCTTCACGGGGGATCTTTGTGCGTGGGGGTTGCATGTGTTTGTCTACCTATTTATGCGTCTGTGTGTGTGTGTCCCGGTGCTTGTTTCACCCCCATGGAGATGGAACACGGAATGCAGCAAAGCCGGACCCACACAGCTGAGTGCACAGCTACAGGTTACCCAAGTAGCCCACAGCCCCGCCCCTTACCTCTCTCCCCCTCCCCTCCCCCTCTCCGCCAGGTGTGGCCCCCTTCCGAACACGGAGCCTCGGAGACGTCGACGGAATCCTCAGCTGGGAGCAGGTACAACATCTTCCCCCTCACCCCCACCCCACTGCTCCCCCAAAACCCCCCTTACCCCCACCCCCAACCACTGCCCTCCAATCCACGTCACAATGCACCCCGCCACCATCCTTACCTCGGACACGATCACGATACCAAGATAAGGCCGAGGGGCAGGGAGGGAGAGGGGCAGGGAGGGAGAGAGAGAGGGGCAGGGAGGGAGTGAGGGAGAGGGGCAGGGAGAGAGAGAGAGGGCAGGGAGAGAGAGAGAGGAGCAGGGAGGGAGTGCGGGAGAGAGGGAGTTTTGATCTCTCTCCTTGCCCCAGGCTTGCACAGATCTCAGGAATGTAGTCGCCCTCCCTCCACCTGGCGCCCTGCTCCACGCACCTCGCTTGGCGTTTCACAGTAGCACCCAGTTCAGCACCTAGCACCCAGCACCCACCCCACCTGTTCCCCCACCCCCTTAGAACCGGGAGGAGGGGGGCTGGGGCACAATGGGGGTGATGCCCCCCCCCACGCCCAGAATGGTTTTGTTTTAATTTGAGAGTGGGGGGGGGGGTGGTCCCTGCTGAAAAGCTTCAAATTCAGGGCCTACCACGTCCCCCCCTAGTGAGTTTCTAGATTCTTCTTCCCCCCCCCCATCTCTCTTCCCCACCCTCTACTCTACCCCCACCCTTCGGGGGGGGGGGGTAGAGTAGGGGGGGGGAAGGGGCATAACAGATTGTCTCACCTGAAACAGGTGTGTCTCTCTGTCTCTGTGCATCTCTGTGTCTCTCTACGGAGCCTGATTGATGTAACGTTCTGGCTGTGTCTGTCCCCATGTTTCCGTGTCTCCCTGTGTCGCCCCCGTGTCCTCCCACGTCCCCGCATCTCTTCCCCCCCCCCCCGCCGTGTCCCGCCCCCCCCTCGGTGTCCCCCCAGCGCATGACGATCGTCTCCGCGGACCCCGTGCAGCGCGCGAGGAGGGAGCGGCTCTCTCGGGGGTGCAACGCCATCCAGGAGGGGGGGCTCGGGGGAGGCCCTGGAGGGGGGCCCAAGCGCCGGGTGCTGAGCCCCGCGGACCTCAAACACCTCCTGGTGGACGATGAACACCGACTCATCTACTGCTACGTGCCCAAGGTGCGGCCACCACCACCACCACCATCATCAATACAATCGTCTACGCCATCACCATCGTCTACGCCATTGGTGTCTCACGTCGTTATTGATGATGATGGTGGTGGTACTAATGCCGGTGCAGATGATAATGTTCGTGCTGATACTGCTGGTGATGATGATGGCGGTGGTGCTGCTGCTGATGATGCTGGTGCTGATGATGATGGTAGAGGTGCTGATGATGATGATGCTGCTGCTGATGAGACCCCAGGTGGCATGCATGAACTGGAGTTGTACACCCCTAGCTGCCACTGCTATTCATTAGCGTAAAATAAAATAAAATGTTTCGCTCCGGATGACGCTACAAAGTATTATCTGTATATTGATTTAGCGTGCTGATCTTAAAGGTGCATTGAAAAATGTGATGCTCCGACTGATGCTTCTGTTGTTGTGGAGAAACTCATGCAGCCAGCTGTGGCTCTAGGGTTTGGTGTTACATGTTATTTATGTAGTTTATTGTAAAAAATTCGGTCACAGTCCCTATGATCACTGTTACATTGCAATTATGGCTTTATTTTTTGGTGATTTCGAAAACGTTTTTTGGTTGGACATGTTTGTTTTGTTGTAGTACGGAGTCAGACTGATGGCTTTAATCTAAGTTTTCTTGTGGTTGTTGTTTGACTTGCATCCCACTGGGATTTTTGCACACAGCGTTGGTGTACGTTGCTTTTTCAGGAATATTTTGCTGTTTTTTCAAGGAGTTTCTGTTTGCACAGTCACATAGTCACTTTAAGATGTTTTCATGTTCATGTTTTTGTTTGTTGTGGTTGCACCCGATTCAAGAGCCGAATGGCTCACAGGGCTATACCAAATCAATAAATAAAATAACTGAAAAACTGTAAGCGCGTAATGCTGGTGGTGCTGCTGATGATGCTGGTGCTGATGATGATGATGGTGCGGGTGCTGATGATGATGGTGTTGCTGCTGATGAGCCCCCAGGTGGCGTGCATGAACTGTAAGCGCATGATGTTGGTGGTGCTGCTGCTGCTGATGATGATGATGCTGATGAAGCTGATGATGAGACCCCATGTGGCGTGAATGAACTGGAAGCTCGTGATGCTGGTGATGCTGCTGCTGATGCTGATGGTGCTGCTGCTGACGGTGCTGCCAGTGCTGATGGTGCTGATGCCGGTGCTGCTGAGACTGCAGGTGGCGTGCACGAACTGGAAGCGCGTGATGCTGGTGCTGAGCGGGCGGGCGAGGGGCCGCCAGGCGCAGGCGATCCCGGCGCACGAGGCTCACGTGCCCGGCGCGCTGCGCTCGCTGGCGCACTTCAACGCCTCCGAGATCAACCGCCGGCTCCACTCGTACCTCTCCTTCCTCTTTGTGCGCCACCCCTTCGAGAGGCTCGTCTCCGCCTACACCAACAAGTTCACCAAGCGGTGAGGGTGACGGGGGGCGATGAGGGGCTGTGTGGTGGTGAGAGGGTTAGGGGAGCTGGAGGGAGAGGAGACGGAGAGAGGCTGTGGTGGTGGTGAGCGTTCGGGGGGAAGGGATACAGGGAGAGGGTGCGGGAGTGTGTGCGGTGAGGATTAGGGGAGAAAGGCTTAAGAGGTGTGGAGAGAGAGCGTGTGTGGGGAGCGACAGTGTAGCGGTTCACGCCCGGTGACCCGAGTTCGATTCCCGCTCACGGCCACCGACACCAGTGGCGATTATCGGAACCGGTCCTCGGGCCTCCACTAGGTCGACTCAGTCTTAAATTAGTACCTGGCATGGTGTGCAAACGTCAGCAATGTGGGCCATGGCAGCCTTCATAGGTGCTCACCCAGCAGCACTTGCCCCAACGGCCTGTGAAGACTACACAGGGGGTGGGGGGGGAGGGACCTTTACCTTTGTGTAGAGACTGCAGCGTCGCGGTCCAAAATTAACCCCACCCCACCCCTCGCCGCCGCCCTCACCTCCCCCCCCCCCCATCTCTCCCTCGCCCCAAACCTCCCCCGGCACGTCCCCAGGTACAACACGGCGTTCCACTCGCGCTACGGCACGCGCATCATCCAGCGGCACCGTCGCGCGCCGGGCGCGGAGGCGGCGCGGCGCGGCAGTGACGTGCGCTTCGAGGAGTTTGCGTGGTACCTGGCGGACCCGCGCACGCGCGCCGAGGAGCCCTTCAACGAGCACTGGGAGACGGTGACGGCGCTGTGCCACCCGTGCCACGTGCGCTACGACGTCGTCGGCAAGTACGAGACGCTGCAGCGCGACGCCGGCCTCGTGCTGCGGCTCGCCGGAGCCAGCGCCGACGTCGAGTTTCCCCCTGCGCCGGCGCGCGCCCGCCGCGGCGGCGGTGACGGCGGTGGCCGTGGCGGTAAAGGCAGCGAGGCGAGGAGAGAGGCGCTGAAACACTTCCGCACGCTCGGAGCGCACTACCGACGGCGCCTGTACGCGCTGTACCGGCACGACTTCCTGCTCTTTAACTACTCGGCGGCGGCGTTCATGGACACGCGGTGATGGTGACCGAAGTGGTCGCGATGGTGGCGGTGGGGAGGGTGATGATGGTGGTAATGTTGGTGATAATGGCAGTGATGATGGCGGTAACGGTGGCGATGATGCTGGCAATTTGTTTGTATGTTGAACTTCTTACGCACCGAGCCATCCGTGCTCACCAAAGGTGCTAATGATCACGCCGATGATGATAATGACGATGGGGGTGATGATGGTGACAATGGGATGAGTGAAGATGATGAAGATGGTGATCGTCATCACGCATCATCACAATCACCATCATAGATTAAATCATAATCATCACCTAAACTAACATCGCTGCCATCACTATCACTTGAATCATCGTCATAATCACCATCATCCCTATTATCATCAACACCATTATCACCATCATCACCATCACGAACATCACGGGCATCATCACTATCACTGTCATCATCACCACCACCACCATCGCAATCTTCACCACTACCATAACTATGATCATCAACATAAATGTTTGATATCAACCGCACGTGACCTCCGTGCAGTGATCAGGTCACGCGAGGTCACGTGAGGTCACGCAAGGTCACGTATTTTGGGGGAGGAGCCCCCGCCCCACCCCACGCCCCCTCCCCCACCCCGTCCAAGACTTGAGGTAGAAATCCTGGGAAGCCTCGACACTGGCGCCCTCTGCTGCCTGCCACGTGTAATTTACTGTCATCTGTGGAGGAAATTGTAAATGGTATTTTTTTATGCAATAGCAATAATTGTAATAAAAAAAACTAGACTTTTGTTATATTTAAATTATTATTTTTTACTTAATAAGCTCACTGTTGAATTTGGGGAAAAAGCGGCGTTTGTCTGCTAAGTAGAATTAAACGAAGGGAAAATATTAGAAATCTGCGCAGCTACTTCCGCCCCCTTCACCACCTCGCGTGAGACTCAATGTCTCAAAGCAGGAAGCTTGACGCTTCCGCGGATTTCTCAAGCGCCGAGCAGTGGACACCGGGTGGGTCACTGTGGTGGACATTCGGATAGTCACTGCGGTGGACAATGAGTCACTGTGATGGACACTGGGTGTGTCTGATGGGTTACTGGTTGACACTGAGTGAGTCACTTTTAAAGTAGCAAACGATATTGAAAACTTGAGGTTCATAGGTTCTCAATGACTCGGGAGTGAGGTGTGCATGTCTGTGTGTGTGTTCGAGTGCTAGTCTGTGTGTGTATGTGGGGAGCGGTAGTGTAGCGGTTAGCGCGCTGCACTACGAACCTGGCCACCCAGGTTCGATTCCCGTCCAGGACCAACACCAGTGACAATTATCTGAACCGGTCCTGGGCCTCCCCTATGTCGACTCAGCCTCAAAAATGAGTACCTGGTGCGATGTGTAAACATCGCCATGAGGGAGACAAAGGCGGCCTGGCGTGGTGTTGGCCACCCACTCCCTCGTGTGCCGTGCCGGCCTTCGTAGGTGCTCGCTAACAGCACTTGCCCCAACAGTCTGTTACAGACTATACGGGGGATCTTTGTCTCTGTTGTATGTCTGTGTCTGTCTGTGTCTGTCTGTGCCTGTGTGGGGATTGGTGGCGTAGTGGTTAGCGCACTGCACTACGGACCCGGCGACCCCGAGTTCGATTCAGCATCAATGACAGCGACGATCTGAACCGGTCCTAGATCTCGCCTAGGTCGATCCAGTCTTGAATTAGTACCTGCCATAGTATATTAATATCAGCTCCGGGGTCGTGGTTCTGGCCACACCACCCACTCGCAGATAAGCCGTTCCGGCCTTGTACGTATGTTGAATTTTTTTCGCATCGTATGTAGCCAACCGTGCTAATCGGAGGTGTGGGATATAACGTGTTCGCTAACAGCACTTGCTCCAACAGCCTGTGTGGGCTGCACGGGCACCTTTGTCTTTGTCCTCTAGGTTTACATAAGCTCATCTGCGCTACGTGTCGCAACTTGTGTTAAATGTTGAATCGAGTTTTCGCTGTTTTTTGTATGTTATATTGTCGAATAAAAAATGCGCATGGAAACAAGTTTAGAAGTGCGTGAGTGAATGAGTGGGTGGGCGAGTGAGTGGGTTGTGGGAAGCAGTAGTGGTTCGCGCGCTGTAGTAGTGGTAAGTGCGCTGCGCTACGAACCCAGCGACTTCGGGTTCGATTCCCGCTCACGGCCAACACCAGTGACGATTATCCGAATTGGTCCTGGGCTTCATCTAGGTGGACTCGGCCTCAAATGAGTACCTGGTGCGGTGTGTGAACGTCACCACTCACGAGACAAAGGCAGGCGAGCGTAATTCTCGCAGGCGTGGTGCCGTCCGGGCGTGGTGCCGGCCGGACGTGGTGCTAGACACCCACTCCCTCGTGTGCCAGGGGCAAAATTCATAGGCGGTCGCTAACAGCACTTGCCTCTACAGTCTCAAGGCTATCCGGGGGACTTTTGTCTTTGCTTGAGTGAGTGGGTGGGCGAGTGACAAGAGTTGAGGACAGGTGGATGGTTGGTTGAGTGGTTGTGTGGGTGATTGAGGAATAGGGTGTTGAATCGATTTGGAACGGTGAGTGGTGTTGTATATATGCCTTTTTTCATCTTTAATAATATTAACAAGTAATTTCCGATACATATAGATACATATTTCTATTGTTTTTTTTATAATGGTTCAAAACAACCCCAACCCAGGCCCTCAGCATGGTATGTGTTGGTCATGAACGGGCCATGGAAGTAAATAAATAATAACTCCCAGGGTCAGAGGTCACAGACCAAGTGCTGAGCACAGCGAATTGCAGGAGACTGACGTAATATAAAAATGCCTCTCAAGAGTCAGAGAGAGAAAGAGACACCGGCCGTCTTTGTCTCCCGCCGCGCGGGAGAGCAGGAATAACGCCACAGAAAGAATAATTGCAGGGAGGGGGGTCCATCTGTGACCCACGGGTAAAGGTATGCCTCGGGGAGGGTACGATGGATGGGGAGACGCGGAGGGCTCGATGGGATGACACACACACGAACATACATGCACGGACGCACACACACACCGGCCACGCCTTCCACGGCGCAAAGTGGAGATGTTTTTGAATATAACGGCTGAACCATCATCTAAAAAGTGCAGTTCAAACCGGGAACGAGAGCAACAGGTCGCCAGCCGGCGAGCTGCAGAGCAGGGGGCGGCGAGCGGAGGCCAAAGGGGCCCCGTCGCTATTTACTGACGATGGCAAGACTCACAGGGTAGTGAGGCGCCACCGAGTGTGATTTCAAAGAGCTGAAAGACAGAGTATCGCTGAAAGTTTATTCTACAATGAGTCCAGCTGCGGCGCGACCGACACCAAGCAAGAGCTTCTGCAAACCAGCACGAGCGCATTCGCGTATCTTCAAGGAGAGGGAGCGTGCTGATGCAGCTCATCCAGCAGCGGAGAGAAACTGCTGTCAGCGAACCAGCACAAGCGCGTTTGAGCATATCCAAGGAGAGGGAACGTGCTGATGCAGCTCATCCAGTAGCGGACAGAAACAGCGGCCAGCGAACCAGCATGAGCGCGTTTGGGCGTCTTCAAGGAGAGGGAGCGTGCTGATGCAGCTCATCCAGCAGCGGACAGAAACTGCGGCCAGCGAACCAGCATGAGCGCGTTTGAGCATCTTGAAGGAGAGGGAGCGTGCTGATGCAGCTCACCCAGCAGTGAGGGCGTTCGGGCCGCCACTGAGAGCGTTCAGGGCTGGAGAGCGCGCAGTCAGTGCGCCATCTACCGACGAAGTACCGCGACTGCAGCACCGTGTCAACTTGTCAGCTGCGTCAGCCGAACCCGAATCGATAATAAGGTTGTTCTAAAGTTATCTTTGGTTTCAAGAAGAGTTGCCATTCCAAGGTGGTACATTAAATATCAACTGATTCGTGAAAAACCCTGCTGCCATTGAGTTACGAAGCAACTCGGTCATACGTTTTTGTATTTTCTTTTCAATGGCATAATCTTGACAACGAATCCATTATTTGCGCCTTTGAGAATAATAATATTTTTTATTGTCTTTTCGTATGAATACCGTCGCATAATATTAAGGATATTTTCCATAAGGATATTTTCCATACGTTCGTGTTACGCTGCATAATAATTAATTGCCCTGTTAACAACGTGATAAGGATTGCCTATGGATCAATGAATGAGCATCCGGGAGTACTGTGTGGCCGATTTCAAATATAATAATGCATAATAGAATGTTAAGGTTTTTGTTTAGAATAGCTTGCATGCAGGTTTTAACGACTCTCTCTCACTAACAACAATCGCGTTATGCGGGATCCATGTGCTGTTGTCTAAGTGAAACCACGCAGTCATTAATGAGACTGTGTTGATACTTCTTCTTTGGTTCTTTCGGTAAAGTCACGTAGAATGAGAATAAAATAATAAAATAACACAATAAAATTCTCACGACGTTTCGGCCACAACGCAAAATGTGTTGATACTGTGTTGTTTTTATTACCAAGCCGAGAGTTGCATCTTTTAGAGTTAAGGTTTAATTAGAAAATAAATTGATTAATGCAGAAGTGGTCGTGCGATTCTTTCCTATAATTTTTGCATAAGGACTGTATCCTGCGATGAGATATGAACTCGGGGAAATAAAAATATAAACACACTAATCCATACTCAATAAATGTTGAAGCGAGAATAATTGCATTATACTGATCGATGATACGAAGTTAGACAACGAAGCTGAGTTGACACTAGTATAACTGCATACGATTGATTGCATTATCCCTATTGATAACACCAACTCGTCAACGAGGCGGGGCCTGATTATCATGAAGGCTGTCATTAACATAACCATACCCACTCGCATAAATTAATACGATTACTTCTTTAATTAGCATAATGATGTGCATAATTATACACTATGCAAATTTTGAATTTCATTCAATTTTCATTATTTTCACCAAATTTTCACACACCCACATATACAACAGTGGATAGTAACGTGGTCGAGTAGGTCAGTGAGAGATGTATGGAGGGGATGGAAGATGAGTGAAACTCGTGTGAGAGGCAGCTGAGAGAAGAGGGGTGAGTGAAAGGAGATGGGGTGGTGGACAAGTAAATAAGAGGGGAGCGAGAGTGGGAGACCTGGGGGGCGGAAGCTGGTGGGGAGAGTCAAGAAACGGGGTGCAGAGGGCTTCGGTCTAATTTTGGAAGCTGAGCCACTGCCCACGACCCGGGCCTCTGCCTCCATCAGGGCCTGGAGAGACGAGGACGCAGGTAGGGACCGGGGCTGACCCTCGATCGGGGGGCCAAAGGGATCCAGGGGGAGGGGGTCTGGGAATTCCCTCGCCACGGGAAACCCCCCACCCACCACCCGCCCCCCCCCCCCCAACAGAGACCCCCGCTACTCGGGCCCCCCTTGTCTGCTTCACTCCGTGTTCTCTTCACACAGACACGGGGGTCACTCTGTCGTCGTGATGAAAGCGCTATATCGCGAGTAATCTCGATATCGCGATATATCGCGATATCACCCGTGGGGCGCGTTGCGCCTATGGGGAGCGGTAGGTGTCGCGGTCCGCGCGCGATTCCCGCTCGCGACCAACATCTGTGGCCATTATCTGAGCCGGGCCCTTGGCCTCTGTCAAGGTCGACTCAGCCTCAAATGAGTGCTCGGCGCGGTGTATTAACATCGTCGCTGGGGAGACAAAGGCGGCCGGGCGTGGTCCTTGCCTCCACACCCCCCCCCCTTGTTGTGCCGTGCCGGCCTTCGTGTGTTGCTGCACACGAGCAGCACTTGCCCCCTATAGTCTGGGTAAGGCTACACGGGGGCCCTTTGCCTTTGTGGGAGTCGCACGCCACCGACCCCACCCCCACCCCCCCCGCGCGCGCGCCGCCTCTGCGGGGGCGGTGGCGCGCGATTAGCGACGCGGGGACGGGGGCCACGAGGAGGTCACCCGAAGCGGGGCCAAGTTACAGAGGGGGGGGTGGGGAGGAGAGATGGGGGGGGGGGTGATGGGGTGAGGAGGAGAGATGGGGGGGGGGGTGATGGGGTGAGGAGGAGAGATGGGGGGGGGGTGATGGGGTGAGGAGGAGAGATGGGGGGGGGGTGATGGGGTGAGGAGGAGAGATGAGGAGGGGGTGATGGGGTGAGGAGGAGAGATGAGGAGGGGGTGATGGGGTGAGGAGGAGAGATGAGGAGGGGGTGATGGGGTGAGGAGGAGAGATGGGGGGGGGGGGTGATGGGGTGAGGAGGAGAGATGGGGGGGGTGATGGGGTGAGGAGGAGAGATGGGGGGGGGGGGGTGATGGGGTGAGGAGGAGAGATGGGGGGGGGTGATGGGGTGAGGAGGAGAGATGGGGGGGGGGTGATGGGGTGAGGAGGAGAGATGGGGGGGGGGGTGATGGGGTGAGGAGGAGAGATGGGGGGGGGTGAGGAGGAGAGATGGGGGGGGGTGATGGGGTGAGGAGGAGAGATGGGGGGGGGGGTGATGGGGTGAGGAGGAGAGATGGGGGGGGTGATGGGGTGAGGAGGAGAGATGGGGGGGGGGGTGATGGGGTGAGGAGGAGAGATGGGGGGGGGGTGATGGGGTGAGGAGGAGAGATGGGGGGGGTGAGGAGGAGAGATGGGGGGGGGGTGATGGGGTGAGGAGGAGAGATGGGGGGGGGTGATGGGGTGAGGAGGAGAGATGGGGGGGGGGGGGTGATGGGGTGAGGAGGAGAGATGGGGGGGGGGTGAGGAGGAGAGATGAGGGGGGGGTGATGGAGTGAGGAGGAGAGATGAGGAGGGGGGGGGGGGTGAGGAGGAGAGATGAGGGGGGGGGTGATGGAGTGAGGAGGAGAGATGAGGAGGGGGTGATGGGGTGAGGAGGAGAGATGATGGGAGGTGAGGGGAGACTATGTGGATGAGGTCAAATGAGGACAGATGAGGGTCATGAGGAGAGATGAGGGCTAAATGAGGATAGACGAGGGGAGATGAGGTGGCGGGGGGGGAGACGAGGTTCCATGAGGGAAGACGCCGCGAAAAGTTTGCGACCGTGAGTCGCGAGTTGACGCGAGAGAAGCGGCTGCTTCTGCAACTGTTGTTGTTGTTGCTGTTGTTGTTGCTGTTGTTACTGCTGTTGTTGTTGTTGCTGTTGTTGTTGCTGTTGTTGGTGTTGTTGTTGCTGTTGTTGTTGCTGCTGTTGTTGTTGCTGTTGTTGGTGTTGTTGCTGCTGTTGTTGCTGCTGTTGTTGGTGTTGTTGTCGTTGCTGCTGCTGTTGTTGCTGTTGTTGCTGTTTTTTGAGCTTGCACAAACGCCCCCCTCCACCACGAAACAGCCAACCCCACCGTCTAAAGTCCTCCAGACCCCAGTTCAATCCCCATCCCCCACTTGGCGTGACGCGGTACAGGGGCCGAGGGGGTCATCGGGGCCCTGATAACGGGGTGCACGAGAGGACAGGGGGCATGGGGGGGGGTTGCCACAACTGGTGCCATCGAGGGGACCCAGCGCGCTCTCTGGGGTGAGTGAATCCGCTATCGGGACACGCAACGGAGGTATGGGTCAGTGCTGTATAGGTGGGTACGCCGTGAGGGGGTGCGTGAGGGCTGCAGCAGGGGGTGGTTGTGCGTCGTTGTCTGTGCAACGATGGATTTTTTTTGCATAGCCACAGAGAGAGAGGTCGTGGTGGCTGTGGGGGGAGGGGGAAGCCCTCATCCAGCAGTGGACAGACTCTGGCTGTATGCCGACGTCATTCAACTGGTAGGGGGCGCGGCTATCAGGGCAGAAGGTGGTGGGGGGGACGACGACGCCCACGTGGTCGCTTGCTCCGATTGGCCACGTTTCGGGGGCGCGTGCTCGTGCTGACCAATCGCGGCGGGTTTCGCCGGAGGCGCCCCTTTATCAGTGACGTCAAATATTTACATGGTAGCCCCGCCCCCCATGCCCCTCACCCCCCCACCGGGCCCCATCAAAAACGTGAGACACGCGCGGAGGTCGAATTGAGAGCGGGAGAGGTGTGACGAGGTGAGGACGAGGTGAGGACGTGGTGATAAGGTACAGGTGATGGGGGTGCAGGTGATGATGGTGAAGGTGTTGAGGTGCAGGTGTTAAGGTGCAGGTGATAAGGTACAGGTGATGGGGGTGCAGGTGATGGGGGTACAGGTAATGGGGGTGCAGGTGATGAGGGTGAAGGTGATGGGGGTGAAGGTGATGGGGGTGCAGGTGTTGAGGCGCAGGTGATGAAGGTGAAGGTGATGAGGGTGAAGGTGATGGGGGTTAAGGTGTTGAGGTGCAGGTGATGAGGGTGAAGGTGATGGGGGTACAGGTGATGGGGGTGCAGGTAATGGGGGTGCAGGTTATGGGGGTACAGGTGATGGGGGTACAGGTGTTGAGGTGCAGGTGATGAGGGTGAAGGTGATGAGGGTGAAGGTGATGGGGGTGCAGGTGTTGAGGTGCAGGTGATGAGGGTGAAGGTGATGAGGGTGAAGGTGATGGGGGTGTAGGTGTTGAGGTGCAGGTGATGAGGGTGAAGGTGATGGGGGTGCAAGTAATGGGGGTGCAGGGGATCGACGTACAGGTGATGTGGGTGCAGGTGATGCCAGAGGCTAAGACGCGTTGCTGGATCAACGTATTCGTTCAGCTCCTTGGGTGAAGGTTGCTCGAGATTGAGTTGAGCTCTCCATCCCACCACCTCTTGGTGTCATCGCTCTGAGCCCGTTCACCCTCAGTAGCTGCTCCGGGTTCCCACGCTCCGCTGTCCCCTGAACTGTGTCCCTCTGACAGAAGTCTGCTGTCCTCTAGCGAACTTTCTGTACTGCAAATGTCGCCTATATGTCTATGGGACCGTTTTATGACGGGATCGAAACGAAGCAGAAAGAATAGTTCGATTTAAAGCTTTCGTGACTGCAGGTATTAATATTCTTGGTTCTTTCGGTAAAGTCACGTCGAAGGGAAATAATAAAATAATAAATTCTCAGGACGTTTCGGCCACAACGCAAGCAGCCGTCCTCAGGTGAAGAGCAGAGGACGGCTGTTCGCGTTGTGGCCGAAACCTCGTGAGAATTGTATTTTATTGTTTTATTTTTATTGTTTTATTATTTCCCTTCTACGTGACTTTACCGAAAGAACCAAAAACAGAAAGAATAGGCTTCACTCTTTTCCACAGATACAACTGCTCAACCCGAGCTTTTAATGATTTGATATGTGCTGTTCGCTTAATGGCATGATCTGGTCTAACACTGCTGAGTGGAGGCCATAAAGTAGGCCAATCAGTTTCAAAGGCAATGCATATATTGTTATCAAAGCACGTTTTGTTCGCGTGTTTTACCACAAGCATGTGTGGTTAATGCTGACACGATACCTTGCAATAGCCGCCTATTTGGTCTTTGAACATTTTAACACCTCCTGTTTGATTGCCGAAGGTCAAGTTTAGTCCCTTGTCATCGCTCGTGTTTGTACCTTGATCCCAACTTCGTAGCCTTCTGTATTGGCTTCATCTTAATTTCTGTAACTATGTTGTATTTACTTCGGTCCATTTGGTGGCACGGGTAGGGCTTTTGTCGTTGTTACAAACGACTCGTCCTGGTCTCTTTGAGTTTCTCTACCTGGCAATGAACGGAATCAACTTGGGAGTGTGTCGCTATGTTTCTGCTACGTTCCGCGTGGCTGCACCATCGTCGCAATTGTGGTGTTTGTGATGCGAGACGCGGACACGTGACAGGTGAGGCGGAGCGCAAAACTGCGCAGAGAAGGGTGGAGGAGATGCACGCTGGGAATTACACCGAGAGACAGAGGGGCACGGGGATTAGAGAGAACACGCACGAGTTGGAGACGTAATTTTCTTCATCATCTTATTGATTTTGATCCAACAGTGGATACATCATAATGAAAGCATGGGGAGATGCACGCTGTAAGTTCCACTGCTACACAGGAAGAGGAACACGTGGATCAGAGAACATACACGTGTTAGAAATATCATTAATTTTCATCCGCGGCAGTGGCTAGATGATAATGATATCATGGAGAGATGCATGGTTGAAGCTGCACTCAGACACAAAGAGACGAATACGTGGATTAGACAACGCACGCGTGTCAGGGACATCATCATCGTCAGCAGCAGCATTATCATCATCATCGTTGTCAGCAGCAGCATTATCATCCTCATCGTCAGCAGCAGCATCATCATCGTCAGCAGCAGCATTATCATTATCATCGTCAGCAGCAGCATCATCATCATCGTCGTCGTCAGCAGCATTATCATCATCATCGTCAGCAGCATTATCATCATCATCAGCAGCATCATCATCGTCAGCAGCAACATCATCATCGTCAGCAGCAGCATCATCGTCGTCGTCAGCAGCATTATCATCATCATCGTCAGCAGCAGCATCATCATCGTCAGCAGCAGCATCATCATCATCGTCAGCAGCAGGGTTATCATCATCATCGTCGTTAGCAGCATTATCATCATCATCGTCAGCATCATCATCATCGTCGTCAGCAGCATCATCGTCATCATCGTCGTCAGCAGCACCATTATCATCATCGTCAGCAGCATCATCAACGTCAGCAGAATCATCATCGTCATCATCGTCGTCAGCAGCAGCATCATCATCGTCAGCAGCATCATCATCGTCATAATCGTCATCATCATTGTCAGCAGCAGCATCATCATCGTCGTCATCATCATCGTCAGCAGCATCATCATCATCGTCGTCGTCAGCAACATCATCGTCGTCGTCGCAACGCCTTGCTAAGAGAAGTGAGGCTTGGGCAAGGCGCTGGAGGGGACCACGATGGCATGTGGTCGAGACCGGTTGATAACGGCGGAGCAGCATCCAAAGGAGGGAAATAACTCGCCCGAGAGGGTGTCTACAGCGGCTTCGTGTGCGGCAGGAGCCGGGCGGATCGGTGCGTCGCGAGCCCGCGAGAGGTGGCTACGTCTAGGGGAGAGAGAGAGGCCTTCATCCAGCAGTGTATTGACTCTGGCTGCTGCTGATGATGGTAGTGGATGAGCAGCATTGCTTTGTGATCTCCCTATCGCTCTGTTTATTGTCCTAAGGGGGACAGCCCCATCATCCCCCGACGCCAATCCGTCCACAATCGAGGACAACATTTGCCTGTGCTTTTGCACAAACTTTGTGGGCCCGTGGCCTGAAGACGTCACCGGGGTCTTCGCCGCCGCCACAGACGGCGCCGCTGTGACGGAGCGATAACATCGTACACGTCGACGAAATCGCCCATCAGAGATTTGCCCTCCCGCCTCCCCTCCCGCTGCACCAGCGCTCCACTGCTTACCCCACCACCACCACCACGCACGACCTGCCGATCATAGACTTAACTGTGGTGAACCCATCATTTATGCTTCTGCTGGGGGTGGGGGGGGACATAGGTGGGGGTGGGGGGGGTTCAAGTAATTTGGACCATTGTTTAAACTGCCGCGCTGCGAGATCTCACAGCACCGGTGACCTCTGGGAGTTGACCTCTGCACCGCGGTGGCAGCAACCTGTCTGGTTAATAGACCCGCGGTATTAACCAGGGTGGCGGCGTGGCTGCGATAAGGGGTTGACCCGGCCAGCGGGCAGTTGGCTTCTGTGATCGGGCGTTCCGGGTGGCTTCGTAACGAGGATCCGCGACCAGCGCCGTGCCAAAACCCCTCTCACAGCGCGTTCTGATGACTGAGAGCTCTGCCTGGGTTTGGTCCACAGTGGGGAGGGTAGCAAACCCTTCCACCCACTCACTCATCCATCCACTCACTCAATCACCCACAAACTCACCCATACCACTCATCTACTCACCTAATAACACACTCACCCATCCACTCACTCAATCGTCCACCGACTTGAGTTTCCAGGTGTCCGGGTTTGGTGTGGAAAAGGTGGACACCCGAGCTGCTTTGGAACTTTTCTTGTGAGCCTACAGGTGACGGAGTCCCACTTGGTCACGGGTCTCACCTGGTAACGGGGTTTCACCTGGTCACGGGGTCTCACCTGGTGACGGGGTCTCACCTGGTGATGGGTCTCACCTGATGACGGAGTCTCACCTGGTGGCGGGGTCTCACCTGGTGACGGGGTCTCACCTGGTAATGGATCTCACGTGGTGACGGAGTCTCACCTGGTAACGGGGTCTCACCTGGTGACGGGGTCTCACCTGGTGACGGGGTCTCACCTGGTAATGGGTCTCACCTGGTCACGGGGTCTCACCTGGTGATGGGTCTCACCTGGTGATGGGTCTCACCTGGTGACGGAGACTCACCTGGTAACGGGGTCTCACCTGGTAATGGGGTCTCACGTGGTGACAGGGTCTCACCTGGTGACGGGGTGTCACCTGGTGATGGGTCTCACCTGGTGACGGGGTTTCACCTGGTGACGGGTCTCACCTGGTGACGGGGTCTCACCTGGTGATGGGTCTCACCTGGTGATGGGTCTCACCTGGTCACGGGGTCTCACCTGGTGACGGGGTTTCACCTGGTGATGGGTCTCACCTGGTGACGAAGTCTCACCTGGTGACGGAGTCTCACCTGGTGACGGGGTTTCACCTGGTGATGGTTCTCACCTGGTGATGGGTCTCACCTGGTGACGGAGTTTCACCTGGTGACGGGGTTTCACCTGGTGATGGGGTCTCACCTGGTGATGGGGTGTCACCTGGTGATGGGTCTCACCTGGTGACGGAGTCTCACCTGATGACGGAGTCTCACCTGGTGACGGGTCTCACCTGGTGACGGGGTTTCACCTGGTGATGGGTCTCACCTGGTGATGGGTCTGACCTGGTGATGGAGTCTCACCTGGTGACGGGGTTTCACCTGGTGACGGGGTTTCACCTGGTGATGGGGTCTCACCTGGTCACGGGGTTTCACCTGGTGACGGAGTCTCACCTGGTGACGGAGTCTCACCTGGTGACGGGGTTTCACCTGGTCACGGGGTCTTACCTGGTGACGGGTCTCACCTGGCAGTGGAGTCTCAAATGGTGAAGGAGTCTCACCGGTGACGGGGTTTCACCTGGCGGTGGAGTCTCAAATGGTGAAGGAGACTCACCTGGTGACGGGGTCTCACCTGGTGTGCATGTGCAGGTGAGGAGGAGGAGCCAGGATGCGCGTGGTGGTTATTGGGCAGAGCCTGTTCGGCCTGGACGTGTACCGGGGCCTGCGCGAGGATGGCCACGAGGTTGTGGGCGTGTTCACCATCCCCGACACGGACGGGAGGCCAGACCCCCTTGGTGAGGAACCCCCGAAACTCCATTGACCCTCCGAAATCCCATCTATCCACTCGAAACCACTAAACACATCTTGGATGGGTCGGTGAGTGACCGAGTGAATGCGTGACTGAGCGTTGGGCGAGCGACCCGCTGAGCAGGCGAGGCGGCTGACCGGGGCGTCCGTCCCCTTCCGCACCGCCTCCCAGGTGCGGCGGCCGAGGCGGACGCGGTGCCCGTCTTCAAACCGCCACGCTGGCGTCTCAAGGGGCAGCCCGTGGCGGCCCTGCTGGACACCTACCGCGGCCTGGGCGCCGAGCTCAACGTGCTGCCCTTCTGCTCGCAGTTCATCCCCATGGAGGTGATCGACCACCCACGGCACGGCTCCATCATCTACCACCCGTCGCTGCTGCCAAGGCACCGCGGGGCCTCCGCCATCAACTGGTGCGGGGGAGCGGGGGGCCGGAGGGTGGGGAATGATGATAGTGGGGATGGATGGTGGTGGTGCTAGGGGTGGCGGTGGTCGTGGGGATGGGAGTGATGACGATGATGGTGATGGTTGGGATGTATTCTATAGGGATGGGGGTGGTGATGGTGATGATGATAGTGGTGGGGATGGGTGTGATGATGGTGATGGTGGGGGTGATGATGGTTGGGATGGAGGTGGTGATGATGGTGGTGGTCGTGGGAATGGGGGTGGTGATGTTGATAGTTGCGATGGGATGGTGATTGTGATGCTGCTGCTGATGCTGCTACTGCTGCTGATGTTTATGCTGCTGATGCTGCTGATAATGCTGCTGATAATGCTGCTTCTGATGATGATGATGCTGATGTTCCTATCGCTGCCGCCGCCGCCACGCCCCAGGACACTGATCCACGGGGACGCGAGGGGCGGCTTCTCGGTGTTCTGGGCAGACGCGGGGCTGGACACGGGCCCCCTGCTGCTGCAGAGGGAGTGTGCGGTGCTGCCCGACGACACCGTCAGCTCCTTCTACAAGCGCTTCCTCTACCCGCAGGGGGTCACCGCCATGGTGCGGGGGAAGGGGAGGAGGGGGAGGGATGGCCGGGGGAGCGTTGGCAGCGGGGGGCATGAAGACTCAGGCACGGACGAGGGGGAGGGGTGGGGGCGGGTGGGGATTGTGGCTGGCAGGGGAAAGAGGGGGGCGAAAATTTTACCACTATAGTATGGGGGGGGGGGTGGAGGGCGAGTGGGAGTGAGGGGGAATGAAGGCCATGGTATGGGAGGTGGGGGGGGCAAGGGGGGCATTAGGCCAAGGTACGAAGGGTAGGGAGGTGGTCTGAGGGTGGGGGGGATGGAGAGAGGGGGGCGTGACACGGCAGGGGGAGGGTACCCCCCCCGCCACCTCCAACTCTGCCTCTCCGCCCCCAGGTGGAGGCGGTGCGAATGATCGCTGACGGCACGGCCCCCCGCATTATCCAGCTGGAGGAGGGGGCCACTTATGAGGGCATCCAGAAGAAGGACAACGCGCAGGTGAGCTCCCCACGAGCTCCCCGTAACCCCAGATGACCCCGGTGACCCCTGATGACCCAAGGCGGTCCCAACGGCGGCGACGGGGCTCAGCGGCAGCGAGTTTTTGCCGCTTGTTGCCGAGGTTCCTGGTTTTAACCTAGCGGGGCCACCCTGGTCAATATTGCGGTTGTCTGCGCATTCACCGCGGTAAAACAAAAACTCCGCGACGTCCACTTCGCCCGCGGCGGCCGTTAAAGATCCCATGACGTAATTCGCAAGAGTAGGCCGTTGCATGCCGGCGTCACAGTACCAAATTTGGAGAAAAAAAATCACACCGCAAATTACTCAGTCATCGCCCCCCGCTACTGGAAAACTGATGCCCGCTCGCAGGCCAGGTGCTGCATACTCCTCGTGGCGCACGGGGACAGCTGCCACTGGGGGTGCCCTTCCACTGGTTGAGATGTCAGGCGCCGTGAGTTTCTGAGGCCGCACGGTCACAACGGGCGTGAGGCCCGGCATGGAGCGAGTGGCTCGCAGCTACCGGACCCTCGCGAGTTCACATCTCTGTTGGAGGTTGACTCAGCCCCTCCCTCCCTTCCCCTCCCTCCCTCCCCTCCCCTCCCTCCCCTTCTTCCACTACACTCCCTCCATCCCTCCCCCTGTGGTACTCGATAAAACGAGTACCACATTGTGGGAAATGTCAATCCTTTTTATTTGTCTTCTATGGATCGACTCGTCCCGGTCGTAGGAATGTGGGAATTACTACCACTGGCTTCGAATGACAACATGACCTGAGATGACCCCAAGTGACCCCGAGTGACCCCAGCTGACTGGAGCGTGCTGTCGTGCAGGTAAACTGGGATCAGCCGGCGCTCGCGATTCACAACTGGATCAGAGGCAACGATAAAGTTCCCGGGGCGTGGACGTTGATCGAGGGGGAGGTGAGAGAAGCCCCTACCCCCTCCGACTCTCTCTGTCTCTCTCATTCACCTCCTGCTTACAGGCCACGCCCCCCCCACCCCAACAATCTGGCTGTCGCCTGATGAAGCTAGTTGTAATTACTGGTGAAACGTCGTACTCAGATTTTTAAATGTTGTGGCTTGGCTCTCCAACACACCGGTGTACTGTACTAGTATACTACACTATACACTACATTATACACTATACACTACACTATACACTACACTATACACTACACTATACACTACATTATACACTATACACTACACAATACACTGCTACACTATACACTAGTGCTGTACTAGTGACGAATTGGCACGTTCTGTTTACGTGACAACCCTTACTAGTTGGCTGTGTCGGGTGGTGGCGGGTTTAACGACACATTTATATATTTACGCGATCTAACCCAAAAAAAACTCTATTATGGATACAGAAGCTACACCCATCATTCCTTCCGCACATGCTGCTGATGATGACGATTCTGCTGATGATGATGCTGATGATGACTATTCTGCTGATGATGATGCTGATGATGACGATTCTGCTGATGATGATGCTGATGATGACGCTGATGGTGTTCCACCTGCTGTCCTCTCAGTGCGTCTCCCTGTTCGGCTCCTCGCTCTTCGAGGGCCCCGCCCCCACAGGGCAGCCCCTACCCATCGAGGGGGCAGCGCAACCCGGGGTCGTGACCCCACAGGGGCTGGTGCTGTTCGGAAACGATGGCAAAATGGTGATGCTCGCTCAGTCACTCGCTCCGACACTCACTCGGTCACTCCCTCGGTCACTCCCTCTGTTACTCCCTCTGTCACTCACTCGGTCACTCACTCGGTCACTCCCTCGGTCACTCACTCGGTCACTCCCTCTGTCAGTCGCTCGGTCACTCGCCCAGTCACTCCCTCTGTCACTCGCTCTGTCACTCACTCGGTCACTCGCTCGCCCACTCCCTCGGTCACTCCCTCTGTCACTCCCTCGGTCACTCCCTCGGTCACTCTTGGTCACTCCCTCGGTCAATCCCTCGGTCACTCCCTTGGTCACTCGCTCGGTCACTCTTGGTCACTCCCTCGGTCAATCCCTCGGTCACTCCCTTGGTCACTCGCTCGGTCACTCCCTCGGCCACTCGCTCCGCCACTCAAGTGGGACTACACGCAGCATCAGCATCGCTTCTGACTGGCAGACTCTACTTGTACTCTACCTGTCTGTGAAGTACAGAGGCTCCTCCTGCCTTCGTGATGGCCTTTCCACTATAAGAATGACAGTGCCAATACCGAATGTACTCAATGATGGTGATGGTTAATGATGGTGGTGGTGATGATGGTGGTGGATATGATGGTGGTGATGAGATGATGGAAATGATGATGGTGGTGATGGTAGTTGATGGTGGTGATGATGGTCATGATGGTGGTGATGATGGTGGTGATGAGTTGACGGTAATCATGATGGTGATGGTAGTGATGGTGGTGGTGATGATGGTGATGATGGGATGATGATGATGGTGGTGATGCGATGTTTGATCTAGTTGCGAGCGAGCGTGGGGAGCGCGTGGAGCGGCCGGCTCAAGTCCGACGAGTGAGGATAGGGGGGGGGGGGTGTCTCCGTGTCTCTGTGTGCCTGTGTCTCTCTGTTTTTTTCTGTCTGCGTCTCTCTGGATCTAGAACTCTGTCACTCTGCGTGTCTGTGTTTATGGGCGTGCAGTGCCGGCCTTCGTAGGTGCTGCTCGCTAAACAGCACTTGCCCCAACAGCCTGTTAAGGCTTTACGGGGGATCTTCGTCTGTATGTGTCTGTGTGCAGCTGAGGGTGCAGGTGTTGCAGCTGGAGAGCGGGAAGACGATCCCTGCCTCGGCCTACTTCTCCCAGGGGGATACCCAGAGCCTGGAGCTCTCCGACAGCGAGAGGGAAGTTGCCGATCGAGTGCGGGTACGGAACCGAAGTCAAATGCCACCACCCCCCTCCCCCCCCGGGAGAAGCCCCCAGACAGGCCTGCAGTGCCAAGTTCTGTTGGCGAGCAGCGCCTATAAAGTCCGGGGAAGCCAGCGCCACGCCTGACCGCCCTTGTCTCCCTCCTCCCCCCCAGTGCCGATGCTCGAGTCAACCTAGGGCAGGCCCCCGGGACCGGTTCACGTATTCGTCGTTGGTTGTTGGGGGCCGTCCATAAATGACGTCGCGCACCTAGGGGGGTGGGGGGTCAGACATTTGTGACAATGTGTGACGAGGGTGGGGGGGGTGAGAAATGTGACGTCACATCAAAATGCGCAACTTTAAATAAATATGGGCAACACGTTCCACTTAATTAAATAGACTTTTTGATGTTTGCTCCGACAACATCAGGAGGGCAGAGCTTTGTGACGTAATATTTGAGGGGGGGGGGGTTGTCTGACTTTTTGTGACGCCGTGTGACGAGGGGGGGGAGGGTCAAAGATTGTCCAAAATCGCGTGACGTCATTTATGGACGGCCCCTTGGCCGTGAGCGGGAATCAACAACAGCTGTCACTCGCTGCTAAGTGGCCGTGACATCACCAGGGTGCTTGTGCCTTGTGCCAGGCTAGGTGCACCGTGTGACCATCACATGAAGTGCGGAAGGCTCGCTGCTGGCAGGAGGTCACGGGATAGACCCCCCCCAGGTGCCATGGGTTGACTGAGCTGGCTGGCAGATGCACCATCTGTGCTTCCCACTGTACCACCTCGTTTCATTTTATCCGCCCGGCTTTCTGCTCGTTGTTGTGAGCGTCACTCCTCTTCCCTCCGTTCTGGTTGGAGGGCGAATGCCTCCACCTGCCCAGTAGCGTCCTTCAAGGAGCCTCCTCCACACACTCACGCAAAGACAAAGATCCCCCGTATAGCCTTAACAAACTGTAGGGGCAAGTGCTGTTAGCGAGTAGCACCTATGAAGGCTGGAACAGTACATTAGGGGGGTGGGTGGCCAGCACCACGCCCGACCGCCTTTGTCTCCCCAGTGGCGATGTTTACACACCGCACCAGGTACTAATTCGAGGCTGAGTCGACCTAGGGGAGGGCCCAGCACCGGTTCAGATAATCGTCACCAGTGTTGGCCGTGAGCGGAAATCGAACCCGGGTCGCCCGGTTCATAGCGCGGCGCGCTAACCGCTACACTTACACACATGCTCACACACATGCACACGCACACGCGTGCACGCACGCACTCGCCGCACCCATCATCACCGCCGGGAGTGTGAATCTCGGTTTTGACCCCAGGCCGTGTGGAAGGGCATCCTGAGCAACGTGGACGAGGTGGTGGATGCCACGGACTTCTTCAAAAGTGGAGCCGGCTCCATGGACGTTGTCCGGTAAGCTCACGGGGTCGTGGAGTCACGGGGTCGCAGGGTCACGGGGGACATGGGCGTCACGAGGTCACAGCATCGCGGTTGCAGGGTCATGAGGTGACAGGGTTGTCGGTCATGAGGTGACGAGGTGGCAAGACGATGAAGTCACGGGGTGATTGACCAACCAGATGATGGTGCTACGGCATGTTGGATTGATGAGGTCGTGCGACGATGATGACGCGGCAGGCTGGTGGAGGAGGTGAGGGCGTAATGACGAGGTGATGTGACGATGTGACAGGTTGGTGGAGGAGGTGAGGATGCTGTGCAGCGAGGTGGTGCTGCAGAACGAGGAGGTGTACATGGCGAGCTCCTTCGCTGAGTTCATCCAGATGGTCGTGCGCAAGATGCGCGGGGAGGGCGGCACGGGGGACATCGTCGTGGACCACGTGAGACACGCGGAGACACGTAGAGATGCACGGGTACACAGATACACGGAGAGACACGCGGAGACACGGGGAGGCACGTGGACATCCACGGGGACGCTCGGACACAGGGATACGGGGAGCCACGCGGGGACATGGAGACACGGGGATGTGCAGAGACGTGGAGACATGGGGACACAGGGAGATACGGGGGACATGGGGTCGCGGGGAAGTGGGGAGACGTGGGGAGACACGAGGAGACACGGGGAGACACTGGGAGACACTAGGAGACGTGGGGAGACACGGGGAGACGCGGGGAGACACGAGGAGACACGGGGTGACACGGGGAGACACGAGGAGACACGGGGAGACGTGGGGAGACACGGGGAGACACAAGGAGACACGGGGAGATACGGGAAGACGCGGGGAGACGTGGGGAGACACAGGGGGACACGGGGAGACACGGGGAGACACGAGGATACATGGGGAGACACGGGGAGACACGGGGAGACACGAGGAGACACGGGGAGACACGAGGAGACGTGGAGAGACACGGGGAGACACGGGGAGACACGGGGAGACACGAGACGTGGGGAGACACGGGGAGACACGGGGAGACACGGGGAGACACGGCGAGCTGTGTCGTCCCGCAGGTGGTGATGGAGGTGAACGCGATGACCGTGCGAATCCCGCACCAGGGATTCATCGGGGGGGAGTTCGTGGACGCGGCGGAGGGGGCGACCTACGAGACAGTGAACCCGGCCACGGGAACGGTGAGTGGGCGCTCACTGGGCTGCAGGGGGATTGGGGGGGAAGTGGGGAGGGGGTGGGAGGGGTTGGTGGTCATGGTGATCATGGTGATAGAGGTGTTTTTGTTTCGAGTTTGTGGTAAAGTTGGTGGTGGAGGTGGTGGTGGTGATGATGCTGGTGGAGGTTAAGATGGTGACGCTGACCGTCATGGCTCACATCATTGGCTCGGTGACATCTGAAACAGCCCTTTCCCCTATACTCTTACTGACCAGTGCGGTGAAGTATGGTCAAACAACCCCTATGGCCAACACAGCATAGGGCGGGGGGGGAGGGGTAGCGGGCCTTCATCCAGCAGTGGAGTGACACAAGTGCCGTGTCCCCGCAGGCCCTCTGCTCCGTGTCTCTGTGCACGGCCCCTGATGTGGACCGCGCTGTCGCGGCCGCCAAGGACGCGTTCGAGCGCGGGGAGTGGAGCCGCATGAACGCACGCGACCGCGGGAACCTCATGTACAGGTGCGCGCACACACGGGTGCCCGCCGGCAGCCCTTGCCCCGCCGGCCCGTGTGGGTCATACGGGGGTAGTGGGGAACCTTTGTCTTCATCACTCTGGGCTGCTCTTTGGGAACATCTGGGTTGGCACAGACCCACGTCCACGTGACCCACTGACCCAGCATAACCCACCGAAGACCTCATGACCCACTGACGGAGATGGCCCACTGGCCCCATGAGATGAATCTCTCACCGGATGACCCACTGATTGGGTGACCCCCCCCCCCTCATGACCCCCCCACCACCCCGCGCACGACCCCAGGCTGGCGGATCTGATGGAGCAGCACCAGGAGGAGCTGGCCACGATCGAGTCGCTGGACTCGGGCGCCGTGTTCACGCTCGCGCTCAAGACGCACGTGGGGATGTCCATCCAGACGTTCCGCTACTTCGCAGGGTGGTGCGACAAGATCCAGGTGAGACGCGGGGGTGGTGGGGAGACACGGTGGGGGAGACGCGTAGGGGAGATGGGGGGGAGGACAACAGGAAGGAGATTGTCATCCTAAGCTTGACCTCTGACCTGGTCTTTGCCCCACCCTCTGCCCCCCCCCCCCCCCCCCCCACATTCAGGGCTCCACCATCCCCATCAACCACGCACGACCCAACCGCAACTTGACCTTCACGAAGCGCGAGCCACTCGGGTGGGTCACCGGCTTAACCGGGGTCACCGGGGTCACTGGGGTTACACACGGCCTCTGGTGTTTATTGAACTGCAATAATTACATTTTCACATCCACCGTGTCCCCCCGTGTCTGCCCGTGTCTCCCCGTGTCCCCCCTACTGTGTCTCTGCAGGGTGTGTGCTATCATCATCCCCTGGAACTACCCACTCATGATGCTGTCGTGGAAACTTGCCGCGTGCCTCGCCGCCGGCAACACGGCCGTGGTGAAACCGGCGCAGGTCAACAACCACCATAACCACCACCGAATCCAGCACCACAACCACCACTAGACCAACCATCACAAACACCACTGCAAACACCACCACAACTACAACACCACCACTAAAATTCACACCACCTCTAACACAATAACAACTCTACAACCACATCCAGCAACAAAGAAACTACCATCACCATCTCAAACACTACCACCACAATGCTGATGATGCAGACGATGACGCTGATGCTGACGATGATGCTGACGATGATGCTGATGATGATGATGCTGACACTGATGATGATGATGCTGTGTGCAGGTGACTCCGCTCAGCGCGCTCAAGTTTGCGGAGCTCGTAGCAAAGGCCGGATTCCCCAAGGGAGTCATCAACATCCTCCCCGGCCCAGGTATCCCTCCCCCCACTCACCCCTCTTCATCCCCACCCTCACTCACCCCTCCCTCCCCACTCCCCCTCTCCTCTCCCCCTCCTCGACTCCCCTCCCTCTGCCTCAATGATCCACTGACCCGCACCTGTGCACATGACCTCATGATCCACTGCCCCTGACCTCGTGCCCATGACCTTGTGAATCTAACCCTGACCTGTTCCACTGACCCACGAATACACTGACCCACACCTGTGTCCATGACCCCATGACCCCATGACCCCATGACCCACGAACCCAGGCTCAGTGGTGGGCCAGCGACTGTCGGAGCACCCGGATGTGCGGAAGCTCGGGTTCACGGGCTCCACCGACGTCGGCAAGCAGATCATGAAGAGGTGAGCCCAGGCAGAAATCTTTGGAAGAGGTGAGCCCCGGTAGAAATCCTCGGAATCAGATCGTGAAGAGGTGAGCCCCGATTGAAATCCTCGGAATCAGATCATGAAGAGGTGAGCCCCGTTAGAAATCTTCGGAAGAAGTGAGCCCCGGTAGAAATCCTCGGAATCAGATCATGAAGAGGTGAGCCCCGGTAGAAATCCTCGGAATCAGATCATGAAGAGGTGAGCCCCGATCGAAATCCTCGGAATCAGATCATGAAGAGGTGAGCCCCGGTAGAAATTCCTAGAAGCAGATCATCAACAGGTGAGCTCCGTAGAAATGCTCGAAAGCAGGTCATGAAGAGGTCGGACCCGGTAGAAAGCCTCGAAAGCTCCTACTCTGCAATATATATGGGGTGGTGAGATGTATTAATATTCATTAATTGGCTGAAACGTTTTGGGAAATTGTTGGTAGCGCTGGCTCCTCACCCCTTGGCTGCTGCTGCTGCCTCCCTACTCGTCTGGGTTCCTGGTCGGCAATCGCGAGAGACGCGGTGCGCATGAGCGACGCTGCCACCACCGCGGTGCACAACACTCACCATCGTCATCACCGTGGTCGTCACCGCCGTCGTCACCGTCATTGTGGCCCAACGGCAGAGCGTTCACCGATTACCACAGAAGTTCGCGGTTCGAATCTGGCAGGCCGCCCCGGTTTATTATACCTCGGTGGCAGCTGCTTCACTCGCAGTGGACGTTCGCAAGAGCACGCCCCTGTGCGCCAGCGTCACGGGACACCATTGACCAAATGTTAAACGTGAACCCACAACTTACTCGATTGGGATCACGCGCCGAAGCAATCATCACCCCCGCCCCTTACTGGTAGACCAACGCCCGCTCGCAGGCCCAAGTATCAAGTCACCTTATGCCACACAGGGACAGCTGCCACTGGGCGTGCCCTTCCATGTGTTTAAAATGAGGTGTAATGGTGCTCCGGCATGAAGGAGGGAGCTCTATCAATCACAGCGTCATCATCATCATCACCACCATCATCGTATCGATGAGGTATTACCCATAATCCACCATGACACAGCGGTATCTGTCTCTGTGCCACACAGCTGTGCCACGGTCAATCTGAAGAAAGTGTCTCTGGAACTGGGTGGCAAGTCCCCACTCATCATTTTTAACGACTGTGACCTGGACAAGGCGGTCCGCATGGTACGCCCTCCCCACCCCCAACCCATCCTCCAGCCCCCCACTCCACATTACCACCTCCTTTACCTCCCCTTGTCCACTCTCACCCTGATCATACCCCCCATCCACCCCCCTAAGCATGCCTCCCCTGTATCCATCCCCGCGTCCCTGTCTTGTCTCCCCGTCTCCCGGTGTCCCCGCATCCCCACGTCCCCGTCTCCCCGTGTCCCTGTGTCCCCGCATCCACATGTTCCCGTCTCCCCGTGTCCCCGTCTCCCCGTGTCCCCGTCTTCCCGTGTCCCCGTCTTCCCGTGTCCCCATGTCCCCGTGTCCCCGTCTTCCCGTGTCCCGTCTCCCCGTGTCCCCGTCTTCCCGTGTCCCTGTCTTCCCCGTGTCCCCGTGTCCCCATCTTCCTCTATGTCTATCCGCGTGTCTCCGTCTCCCCGTGTCCCTGTGTCCCCGCATCCACATGTTCCCGTCTCCCCGTGTCCCCGTCTTCCCGTGTCCCTGTCTTCCCCGTGTCCCCATGTCCCCATGTTCCCGTCTTCCCCTATGTCCATCCGCGTGTCGCCGTGTCCCTGTGTCCCCGTCTCCCCGTGTCCCCGCAGGGCATGAGTGCCGTGTTCTTTAACAAGGGGGAGAACTGCATCGCCGCGGGGCGGCTGTTTCTGGAGGACGGGATCCACGACACGTTCGTCACCAGAGTGGTGACTCCTGCACCACCTCCACAACAACATCAAACAACAAACATTCAACTACAACCGGCAACAACAATCAACAATTATAAAAGCCCCATGTATCACCGTGTGTCCCCGCGTGTCACAGTGGCGAGATGTTACCTACCTCGCCGAGTGTGCAGGAGGTCGTGGGTTCGATCCCGACCCTGATGCCTGCTGCTGTATATTTGGAGTTTGCGTGTCTCTTTCCCCGTAGTCGTGTGGATTTTTTCTCCGGGTCCTCCGGGTTATTTCCTTCACATTTAGAAACATTATTTGGCTGCTATAAATGTCCACGTGATAAGCCACTTCGTTGAGCTATCATTTGTGTGGCCAGGTCGCTTCTGAAAAAGAGATGTACCGCTCAGTAGTGCCTTACTTGGTTAAAAATAAAACATTGTTTCGTTTGTTTATTGTCCCCGCGTGCCCCCCTCGTATCCCCGTGTGTCACACCCCCCCCCCCACCCCCCGTGTCCCCCGTGCAGGTGGAGGAAGTGCGCAAGATGAAGGTGGGCGATCCCCTGGACCGCAGCACGGACCACGGCCCCCAGAACCACGCCTCGCATCTCAGGAAGCTGCTCGAGTTCTGCGAGCGTGGCCGAAAAGAGGGTGCCAAGCTCATGTGTGGGGGAGGGCAGGTGAAGCGGCCAGGTGAGGGAGGCGGGGGGTGGTGGGGGTGTGTGTCTACGTACGTGGGGCACAGGAGTGCAGCGGTTAGCGCTACGCTGCGCTGCGAGCACGGCGACCCGAGTTCGATTCCCGCTCACGGCGGCCAACACCGGTGACAATTATCTGAATCGTTCCTGGGCCACCCCCAAGGTTGAACAACTGAGCACCTGGTGCAATGTGTCAACATCGCCACCGGGGAGACAAAGTCGGCCGGGCGGGGTGCTGGCGACCCACCCCCTCGTGTGCCGTGCCGGCCTTCATAGGTGCTCACTAACAGCACTTGCCTCAACAATCTGCTACAGGCTATACGGGGGATCTTTGTACAGTGCACAACTCTCATATTCGTCCCGTTCCTCTGTCCCATGTCTCCCCCACCCTCTCTCCCGTTGTCCCTGTGTCCTGTTCTCTGCATCTGTCTCCCGTGTCCCCATATCCCTGTCTCTCCCTCATGTGCCGGTGTCTCCCATGTGCCGGTGTCTCCCATGTCCCTGTGTTCCCGTATCCCTTCCTCTGCCCGGTGTCCCCGTGTCTTCCCCTGGTGTCCCCATGTGTCCCTGTTGTTCCTGTCTCTCCCTGGTATCCCCCCATGGTGTCCCCGTGTCTCCTCGTGTCGCCACACCGCGTGTCCCCAGGGTTCTTCATGGAGCCCACGGTGTTCATCGACGTGCAGGACCACATGTTCATCGCCCAGGAGGAGTCGTTCGGCCCCATCATGATCATTTCCAGATTCCCCAGCGGGTGAGGGGGAGGAGTGGAGGGGGCTATCAGTGGGGGGTGGGGGGGGGCTAGAGTAGGTTCATGGCCTCATGTGCTGCAGATGAGTAGAAGATCAAGTGCAGGGCGCGCTCCATACAGCGGACCCTGCAGGGATGGTCTGGCTGGGTGTGTACCGCGCTGTTTACGCGCACCGTGCTGTACGATGCCGGCTGTGTTTGTGTGCATGACGCTGTGTTTGTGTGTGTACGGTGCTGTACGATGGTTATGTGTTTGGTGCTTTACGATGGTGTATGACGCTGTGTGTGTGTGGTGCTATAGAATTCTGTATGACGCTGGCTGTGTGTGTGTGTGAGATGCTCTACGATGCTGTGTAACACTGCGTGTATGTGTGGTGCTGTACAATAGTGTATGCTGCTGCATGCATGAGTAATGCTGTACGATGCTGCTTGACGCTGTGTGATGCTGCACGGCGCCATACCCCACCCCCCCCGGCCCGCGTGCAGGGATGACGACGCTGTGCTGCGGCGTGCCAACGCCACGGAATTCGGGCTGGCGTCGGGCGTGTTCACGCGCGACGTGGGGCGCGCGCTGCGCGTGAGCGAGGCGCTCAACGCCGGCACCGTCTTCATCAACACCTACAACAAGACGGACGTGGCGGCGCCCTTTGGGGGCTTCAAGCAGTCGGGCTTCGGCAAGGACCTGGGTGAGCGGGGCGTGCGTGGCAGGGCGCAGGTTACGTGGTGTGGCGGTGGCGGTGTGGTGTGTGGTGCGCGTGTGGTGCGCGTGTGTGGCGGGGCGCAGGTGATGTGGTATGGCGGTCGTGTTGGGGTTTAGCTCGCAGTGCTACGAACCCGTCGACCCGGGTTCGATTCCCGCTCACGGCCAACACCGGTGACGATTATCTGAACTTGTCCTGGGCCTCTCCTAGGTCGACTCAGACTCAAATGAGTACCTGGTGCGGAGTAAAAACATCGCTACTGGAGAGACAAAGGCGGTCGTCCGTGGTGCTAGCCAGCCTTCATAGATGCTCACTAACAGCACTTGCCCCAACAGTCTGTTAAGGCTATATAGGGCGTCTTTGTCTTTGTGATGTGATATGGTGGAGGTGGTGTGATGCGGTGGGGCCGAGGTCGGGCGGCACGGTGTGTGGTGTGGAGGTGGTGAGGCACAGGTGGTGTGCTGTGGAGTGTGGAGGTGGTATGGTGCGCTGCTTGTGTGCTGCTGGTTTGGTGTCGTGTGCTGCTGTTGTGGAGTGGTGTGCTGCTGGTGTGGTGTGCTCACGTCTGTGTGCCGTGTGTGTCCGCATGTCTCCGCAGGTGAGGAAGCTCTCAATGAGTATCTGCGCACCAAGTGTGTGACTGTGGAGTACTGAGCAGCAACACCTCGTCCCTCACACGCACCTCGTCACACGCACCTCGTCACACGCACCTCGTCACACGCACGTCGTTACGCGCACCTCGTCACGCGCACCTCGTCACACACACCTCGTCACGCGCACAGTGCGCGACGGGGTCTGTGATTGTCACTCACCACGCCCCTCTCATAAACCTGAACACTCACCCCATGGCCCATATATTATTATTACTATACGCAGGGTGCTTCAAAACAATGTTTTTAACACTTCTGAGAAAAGACCACGTGACATGTGCGGCTGCTTCCGGGCTCTGGAGACCACCTGGAGAAGATTCCAGACCACGTGTTGACAACGATGGAGAACACGTGGGAGACTCTTTAACATTGTGAAGCTATTAACATTACATTTTTTATCATGTTACAGTGTATTAGGGGCTGTCCATAAATGACGTCACGCACCTAAGGGGGGAGGGGGGGGTCAGACATTTGTGACGATGTGTAACGAGGGGAGGGGGGGAGGTTTAAGAAATGTAACGTCACATCAAAATGCGCAACTTTACATAAATATAGACAACACGTTCTACTTAATTAAATATACTTTTTTGATAAATGTTTTCTCCTACAACATCAAAGTGCAGCGGCACATTAAATACGCACTACAATGACAATAGTTTAAAGCGATTTGAAGCATGTTTTATCTTTTTTTGGGGGGTGGGGGGCAGAGCTTTGTGACGTCATATTTGAGGGGGGGGGTCTGACTTTTTGTGACGTCGTGTGACGACGGGGGGGGGGGGTCAAAAATCGTCCAAAATCGCGTGACGTCATTTATCGACGGTCCCTTATTCGTTCTTTTTTCCCATTAAAAACGAAAGTCCCATGTAAGTGTTAACATCTTTTTGAAGCACGCAGTATATCAGCCACACTTCATCACACGTAATTGCCAATGGCGCACCTCTGCAAACCTCATCACCCACACCCCTGCGCCCGTTCCTTACGGTCGCCTTGCACGCGAACCGAATGGCCACCTCTTCGGAGACCGAACATCGCGCATCGGCCTCCCGCTTGGAACAGCGACCCTTTCTAGAGCTCCACCGCACCGCTTGGCGACCCTTTCTAGAGCTCCACCGCACCGCGTCGCCCACCTCGCTGCCCGCACCTCACCACCGCTGATCCGTGACCAATTAAAAACTCATCAAGCCCCCCGTCTTGATTCTGTGGATTCATTGTCTTCGGGTCCTGCGGTCTCGGTGCACATGGGATCGTGGTGTGATTGTGGAGGGTGAAACGTGGGGGTGGGGGGGGTAGGGGGAGCGGGAATCGAACTCGGCACGCAAGCTTCGTAGCGCAGCGCGCGAACCACTACACTACCGCTCCCCACACATATACACGTACAAAGATCTCCCGTATAGCCTGAACAAACTGTCGGAGCAAGTGCTGTTAGCGAGCACATCTGAAGGCCGGAATGGTACACGAGGGGGGTGGGTGGCCAGCACCACGCCCGGTGGTGCCAAGGTACTGAGTTTGAGGGGGGGGGGGCATAACGAGGAAGGCCCTACAGAGGTTAAGCTGTAATAGAAGTGAAGAATCAACTTCGTCCAACAGGCAGCAGCAAATCGTTAGTGCCACGGATGCGACCACGGGCCAACCCCGTGTCGCTGTGTTTTGACGCACGTGCTCTTTGCTGTTTACTTCACCGGGTGCGTTTCTGCATTGAGACGACTCCACGCACTCGCACCCCCACCCAACAGCAGCACAGACGTTGTCTGCAGCCGCCAAGTCTGCTCCTCCTCCTCCACTACCACCACCCGCCAGGGCCTCTTTCTACCCCAGCCAGGGGAAGATGACCTGCGTGTGGAGCGCGTGTGAGTGTGTGTTTGCGGTACACTCTGTGGTTCCAGAGTTGGCTGGGTCATGCAGACCGCATGCCCGGCCACCGCATTCCCGAGACAACTTGTTTGTCCTGATGGGCGGGCTAGGTGGACTGTTGCGGTACAGAGGGGGGAGTGAGGCAGAGTGGACTTGTACAATACCGGGTACCAGCGGTGTCAAGGTCGGCCTCTGTGTATGGAGGCGGCTCGTGAAGGACGCCGCATGGGAAGTCTTGGAACCAGTCGCTTTCCAACAGCGGAGGAACGGCGCTCACAACAACGAGCGGTAGCGCCGGACGGATAAAACGCAGCAAATTGGCACAGTTGGTACATCTGCCAGTGATCCCAACTCATGGCATCCGAGTTGTCACGTGATCTGCCAGCGGCAAGCCTTTCACACTTTATGTGGCCTGTAGGTGCACCTTGCCTGGCACACGTGTCGTGGAGACGTCACCATCACTTATTGGCGAACGGCGGTTGTTGTTGGTACGGTACATGTCTGTGTATATACATGACATACAGCTGCTGAGCACGGACCCAAAAGTGCAAAACCTCAAGCGGACAGCAACAAACAGCACTATCAAAGTGCTGTCGTGATAGGCAAGCGTGTTATTGTTGATAAGAGGCTGGTGGGGGGGGGGAGAGAATTCTAGAGTGCACTCGCTGAGTGGGTGGTTGGATGAGTGGGTGAGTGAGTTGTTGTGACCTGCAGTGTGGTGAGTGGGTGGTCAAATGAGTGGGTAGGTGAGTGAGTTGGTGTGACCTGCAGTGTGGTGAGTGGGTGGTTAGATGAGTGGGTAGGTGAGTGAGTTGTTGTGACCTGCAGTGTGGTAAGTGGGTGGTTAGATGAGTGGGTAGGTGAGTGAGTTGTTGTGACCTGCAGTGTGGTGAGTGGGTGGTTAGATGAGTGGGTAGGTGAGTGAGTTGTCGTGAACTGCAGTGTGGTGAGTGGGTGGTTAGATGAGTGGGTAAGTGAGTGAGTTGTTGTGACATGCAGTGTGGTGAGTGAGTGGCTAGATGAGTGAGTGGGTAGGTCAGTGAGTTGTTGTGACATGCAGTGTGGTGAGTGGGTGGCTAGATGAGTGGGTAGGTGAGTGAGTTGTTGTGACCTGCAGTGTGGTGAGTGGGTGGTTAGATGAGTGAGTGGGTAGGTGAGTGAGTTGTTGTGACCTGCAGTGTGGTGAGTGGGTGGTAAGATGAGTGGTAAGGTGAGTTAGTGAGTTGTTGTGAACTGCAGTGTGGTGAGTGGGTGGTTAGATGAGTGGGTAGGTGAATGTGTTGTTGTGACATGCAGTGTGGTGAGTGGGTGGTTAGATGAGTGGGTAGGTGTGTTAGTGAGTTGTTGTGAACTGCAGTGTGGTGAGTGGGTGGTAAGATGAGTGGTAAGGTGAGTTAGTGAGTTGTTGTGAACTGCAGTGTGGTGAGTGGGTGGTTAGATGAGTGGGTAGGTGAATGTGTTGTTGTGACATGCAGTGTGGTGAGTGGGTGGTTAGATGAGTGGGTAGGTGAGTGAGTTGTTGTGACCTGCAGTGTGGTAAGTGGGTGGTTAGATGAGTGGGTAGGTGAGTGAGTTGTTGTGAACTGCAGTGTGGTGAGTGGGTGGTTGGATGAGTGGGTAGGTGAGTGAGTTGTTGTGAACTGCAGTGTGGTAAGTGGGTGGTTAGATGAGTGGGTAGGTGAGTGAGTTGTTGTGAACTGCAGTGTGGTGAGTGGGTGGTTGGATGAGTGGGTAGGTGAGTGAGTTGTTGTGAACTGCAGTGTGATCAGTGGGTGGTTAGATGAGTGGGTAGGTGAGTGAGTTGTTGTGACCTGCAGTGTGGTGAGTGGGTGGGTGGTCAGCATCACACCGGACCGCCGTTGTCTCTCCAGTGTCGATGCGTTACACACCGCACCAGGTACTCATTTAAGGCCGAGTCGACCTAGGGGAAATCCCGAGACGGGATCAGACAATCGCCTCTGGGTGGTGGTGGCCGCGAGCGGGAATCGAGCCCCGGGTGGCCGGGTTCGTAGCGCTAACCGCTCCGCCACCGCTCCCCCTCACACCCCGGCGGTCCCCTCCAACGGTGAGGCCGTAATCGGAGAGGGGGCCCTTCGGAGGAGAAACCCGAGACACGGGGGGGGGGGGGGGGGTGGTGGTGCTGGTTGTGGTTGGGGTGCTGCTGGTGGTGATGGCTGTGGCTATTTAGGGGACCCGTTACTCGGTCGAGATCCCAAACCGGCCCCGGCTCTTCTGGAGAGGGCCACCTGGGAAAGGAACCTGTCGGGGTCCACAAAAGGGAGAGGGGGGGGGGGGAGGCCTGCGAGGGTTTCCACGATTTGGAAGCGGTAGGGGTCGCTAAGGGGGCCCTGACAGGAGTAAGGGGGTTTAAAAGGACTTGGGGAAGGGGATAATTTAAGGGGACTGGTATAAGTGGTAACCCCTACTGCGTGAGAGGGCCCAGCAGAGGGCGTGAGAGATCCCCTCTCAGCGCCAGAGCCACTCCGCCTCCAGGGGCTTTGGCCACCGCGTGGCCACCCCCCGAGGAAGAGTTTAAACCCCTCGATCCGGCCGGAGAAAAAAAAGGGGGACCCGACCCCGCGAAGACCCCCGGTGCCATGGACCCCCTCAGCCGGGTGAGGTCGCTCCTCGCCGGAGAAGCCGCGCAGGCGAGACCGAGGCTCGAGGCCCGCAGACGCCGGGGTGAGACGGAGACCCCGGTGGGGAGAGGGGCTCGGGCAGACGAGGGGACCCCCGTGAACAAGGGGGTAGAGGAGGGAGCCGCCTCCATCGCCCTGCAAGTCGTGGTTCCCTTTCTCCTCGCCGGGCTTGGCACGGCCGGAGCCGGCACCGTGTTGGACAACGTGCAGGTGCGGGGAGGTATGGCTGCTGATGATGATGATGCTGCTGATGATGATGATAATGTTGCTGAAGGTGATGGTTATGTGGGAGTAAGGGTGAGCTTACGGGTGATGGTGAGGTACGGTTGAGGTGTTGATGCTGGCGACGATGTTGCCGCTGCTGTTGGCGATGAAAATGAGGGTGAGTGTACAGGTGAGGGTACAGGTGAGGGTGAGTGTACAGGTGAGTGAAGGTACAAGTGAGTGTACAGGTGAGTGTGAGGGTACAGGTGAGGGTACAGGTGAGGGTACAGGTGAGGGTGAGGGTATAGGTGAGTGTACAGGTGAGGGTACAGGTGAGGGTGAGTGTACAGGTGCGTGTGAGGGTACAGGTGAGGGTACAGGTGAGGGTGAGTGTACAGGTGAGGGTGAGTGTACAGGTGAGTGTACAGGTGAGGGTGAGGGTACAGGTGAGGGTACAGGTGAGGGTACAGGTGAGGGTGAGTGTACAGGTGAGGGTGAGTGTACAGGTGAGTGTACAGGTGAGTGTACAGATGAGGGTACAGGTGAGGGTACAGGTGAGGGTACAGGTGAGGGTGAGTGTACAGGTGAGGGTGAGTTGAGTGCGTGGTGCAGGTGAGGTGTGGTGAGGGGGGTTGAGTGCCGGTGAGGGTGATACAGGTGAGTGAGGCTGCTTGTGTGTGTGTGGTACAGATGCGGTGACGGGTGTATGGTGCAGTTAAGGATTGTGAGTGAGCGTGTAGGTGAGGGTGAGTGTTGATGCTGATGCATTAAATGGTGCTGATGATGTGGATGAGGGTGGATTGCAATGGTGAGCGGTGGTGTGGCGGTCAGCGCGCTGCGCTACGAACCTGGCGACCCGGGTTCGATGCCCGCTCACGGCCAACACCCAGTGACGATGATCTGAACCGGTCATGGGCCTTCCCTAGGTCGACTCAGCCTCAAATGAGTACCTGTTGCGATGTGTAAACAACGCCACTGGGGAGACAAAAGGCGGCCGGGCGTGGTGCTGGCCACCCACCCCCTCGTGTGCCGTGCCGGCCTTCATAGGTTGCTCGCTAACAGCACTTGCCCCTACAGTCTGCTACAGGCTACACGGGGGATCTTTGTTGCAATGGTGAGGGAACTACTACTATACATGCATTAGATGTGTGGGTAAAATTGCGTGGATCCCCGCGTGTTGTAATTCGCAGCACTGGGCCGTGTTCCGCGAGCGCTCAGAGTTGTTCATCCTCGTCCCCGCTCTGCTCGGACTCAAGGGGAACCTGGAGATGACGCTCGCGTCACGACTCTCAACGGCCGTGAGTCTCCCTCCGCGTGTGTGTACACACACGCAGGCACGTGTGTGTACACACACAGGCACGTATACACACACACAGACACGTGTACACACACACGCAGACACGTGTACACACACAGATTCGTGCGCGCACACACGTGTACACACATATATGTAAATTTATTTTACACCGTCGTGTACACGCACGCACGTGTACACACACGCACGTGTACACACACGCACATGTACACACACGCACGTGTACACACACGCACGTGTACAACAACAACCACCGTCGTTCACCACTAGGTGGCGGCGACGTCACCACGGCGCTTGTGCCATGCCACAAAAACAAAGCGCACGTGCGCACGCACGCACGCACGGTCAACATCAGTTACGTGCGCCTGGTGCGGCGTGTGTAAACATCAGCACTGGGGAGACAAAGGCGGCCCGGCGTGGTCCTGCTGGCCACACCCGCCGCCGGTACATGATCGGTGCTCGCTAACTGCACTTGCCACAAAAGTCTGCGTGCGGAACCCCAGGGATCATAGTCTCTGTCTTTGTCATTGTCCAGGCGAACAAGGGGGAGATGGATGGATCTGGGCAGCGCCTTCTCATCACCTCCAACATCGCTCTCATCCAGGTGTCGCACGCGTCATGTTTCACGTCACGCCAAAGTGATTTCCTGCTCAAATGAGCATTGGAGTCATCTCTCCGTTTACAGCCTGTGACCCAGTGGTGGAATTTCCACGTTCCTATGGACTTCCCTACAAAGTGGTGCTGATTGTATCGACCACAGAGGGTTGGTGCTTGTGATTATATGTGTCTCGGAGTTGCCGCCCGCGTGTCATGTGCAATGTCGCGTGTGCTGGGGCCGTCAGCTGCAGGCCACGGTGGTCGGCCTCCTGGCCGCACTCTCCGCGGTGCTGCTGGGCTGGATGGGGGGCGCGGGGGGAGCGGGGGGCTGGGGCCCCTGGCCCGACCCCGCCCGTGTCGCTCACCTCTGCGCCAGCAGCATGTGCACGGCCTTCACAGCGGCGCTCGCACTCGGTATGAGCGAGGTGGTGGTGGTGGAGGTGGTGGAGCGGTAGTGTAGCGGTTTGCACACTGCGCTATTAACCTGGCTTACCGGGTTCGATTCCCGCTCATGGCCAACACCAGTGAGAATGATCTGAACCAGTCCTGGGCCTCCCCTAGGTCGACTCAGCCGCAAATGAGTACCCGGTGCAGTGTGTAAACATCACCACTTGGGAGACAAAGGCGGCCGGGCGTGGTGCTGGTCACCCACTCCCTCGTGTCCCGTGCCGGCCTTCATACGTGTTACTCACTAACAGCACTTGCTCCTACAGTCTGCTAAGGCTATACGGAGTCTTTAGAGCTGGTGGAGGGGGTGGTGTTGGAGCTGGTGTAGGTGGAGGTGGTGGAAATGTTAATGGTAGTGATTATAGCAGCGGTGACGATTATGGTAATGATTGTAGTGATGGGGATGGTAGTGATGGTTGTGATGATGGTGGTGGTGGTGATCATAGTGATGCTGACAAGACTAATTGTGATGATGGTGGTACCCAGGCCTGCTCACTGTGGCGGTGATCGTGAGTTCGCGCCGCGCCGGCATCAACCCGGACAACGTGGCGACCCCTGTGGCGGCCAGCCTCGGTGACCTGGTCACCCTGACCCTCCTCGCGCACACCGCCACCTTTCTACAGCACCATGGTACTGGGTCACACGGCTCATGTCGGGTCACGCAGGGTCACCCTGACCCTTCTCGCATGTCATAATCGGAGGAGGCCGGGTGGCAGAAAACCTGGGTTCCAATCTGGGTTGCAACCGTCGCCTGGGATTGAAGTGGAATCTCAGCCGAGTCACCAGGGACTCACCTCGAGACCCGCAGACTTACATAGAGACCCATACACTCACACACGGACCAACAGACTCAGATAGAGACTCATAAACTCACATAGGCCTAAAAACACACCGAGTGTGCAGCTTATATGGAAAGGACCGCAATGCATTTCTTCAAGAACTATTGAAGGTTGTTGCATAATCCACAGGGCCGAGTGCGCTCTATATGTGTGCGTGTGTCGTGTGCAACTGGAGTTGTTTGAGCTCTGTGCCGAACCCCGAGACCCTTTTCACCGTTTACAGCTCCGATTTCCAGAGAACGCTGACACTGGCCTCCTCCTGCTCCCTGCCCTTCCCCCGCCCTCTTCTGCGTGTCTCTCCGGCTGTCCCCTTGGTGGTGGTGGTTAGACGCTGGGCTGCTGCCGGGCGCTGTGTGCCTGGCCGTGGTCCTGCTGGCGCCGCTGTGGGTGGCGCTAGCCTCGCGCTGTCCCACGACCCACGACGTCCTCTACCACGGCTGGACCCCCGTCGTGGCCGCAGTGGCCATTAGTAGGTACGGGGGGTGGGGGGTAAGGGGCAGCCGGGCGTGGTGATGGCCACTCGCCGCTTCGTGTGCCGTGCCGGCCTTCATTGGTGCTGCTCACTAAAAGTTCTCGCCCCAACAGTCTGTTAAGCCTATAGGGGGTTGGTGGCTCTTTGTCTTTGTGCTGCAGTGTGGGAGGACTGATTTTAGACAAAACGGTGACGAACCCGGGATACTCGGGGATGGCCGTCTTCACTCCCATCATCAACGGTGAGGACGCTCACTCCTCACCCCCTACCCTTTCCATAGTGCGCTCACCCCAAGCACACCTCTACCACATGGCAATCACCTCCTGGGGGCTACATGGCACTCGCTACAAGCTCACCCACAATTCTCTCCACCACTGAACACTCACCCCAACCACCCCTGTTCACCCACCCAACACTCACCCACCCAGGATCTTGATATGACACTCACCACAACATCACCCTGCACATCTCCCCTTGTAGCACTCACCTTCCCCACCTACCCCCCCCCCCCAGGTGTGGGAGGGAACCTGGTAGCCGTGCAGGCGAGTCGCATCTCAACTCACCTGCACCTGGGGCACTCACCTGGGCTCCCCACGGGGACCTGGCCCAGCCTCCGAGCCACCTTCTGCGGCCCAGGTGGGACTCACCTGCTCGCTGCATTCTCACCTGTACGCAGGCGAGGCTCACCTGTTCTCCAGTTTCACATCACCTGTGTGCAAGTGTAGCCCTGTTGATGGTATCTTAGGCACAGAAAATGCATGTGCCAAGTCCAGGTGTGTGTATATAGGTGTGCGAGTGATAAAGTGTGTGTGCACGCGTGTGTGTGCGTCCTGGGCCTCCCCTAAGTCGACTCAGCCTGAAATGAGTACCTGGTGCGGTGTGTAAACATCACCACTTGAGAGATAAAGGCGGTCGGGCATGGTGTCACCCACCTCCTCGTGTGCCATGATGGCCTTCATAGGTGCTTACTAACAGCACTTGCCCCGACAGTCTGTTAAGGCTATACAGGGGGTCTTTTTCTTGTGTAGGAGTGTGTAAGGAGCGGTGGCGTGGTGGTTAATTAAATTCCTGGACACAGCCAGTATCGGTGACGATTATCTGAACAGGTCCTGGGCATCCCCAAGGTCGACTCGGTGTTAAACGAGTGCTCAACCCTGGCGCGATGTGTAAACATATCACCACCGGAGAGACAAAGGTGGCTGGGCATGGAATCAGCCACACCACCCCCTCGTGTGCCGTGCCGACCTTCATAGATGGTGCTCGCTAACGGCACTTGCCCCAGCAGCCCGTGTGGGCTACACGGGGGATATTCGTGTTTTGTCTTTGTGTTGCAGGCGTGAGCTCTTGCTCGGCCCGCGTGCTGCTCTCCCTCGTGGTCCCGGGTCATGTGACCGTCATGGCCACCGTGCGGTTCCTGCAGGGGCCCAGCCCCACCCCCCTGGCCTTCATCCCCCTCTACCTGGGGGCAGCGTTGCTGCAGGTGAGATGCATACAGACAACGGTGCCCCCCGTGTAGCTTTTAACAGACTGTCGGGGCAAGTGCTTTGAGCAAGGACCTCTGAAAGCATCACCAAAGCTCTTGTGCCAGGCTAGGTGCACTTTGAGGTCACGTGAAGTAAGTGTCGCAGGCTCGCCAACAGGAGGTCACGGGACAGACCCAGGTGTCACAGGTTGGCTGATTGAGATGACCGGCAGATGCTCCACCGGTGAGGGCCCTTTATTGTTGTGAGCAACGGGTCAAGGGACTCCGAAAGCATGAAGAATAACCCAGAGACCTGGCAGAGATGTAAAGTTCTCTTGATATTCTCTACACCTCTGCCATAGCACCTGTACCTGCTCGCGTGTGTGTGTGCACGTGCGCAGGTGTGTGTGCTGCTGTGCGTGGCCGCGTGGCTTGTACCTTGGCTCTGGGCCCGTGGCTCGGACCCCGACAGCAGCTCCATCCCATACTTGACCGCCCTGGGTGACCTCCTGGGCACGGCGCTTCTCGCCGCCACCTTCCACGCGCTCCATAACCTCGGCTGGGGGGCCCCCACGCTCTAACAGGGCCCCCCAGCCTGGACCCCTTGCTGACCCCTGTGTGACCCCCTCCCCACCCCCCGGGGTTCCGCTCCACGCCCGCGTTGTTGGTATCAACCGGGGGAGCGTGTCCCGACCGCCGGTCTGCGTGACCACGCGACCAATCCAAAGCTGTCTCCACGGTACGTGCGGCAAGCCCACCAATCATCCGGCGCGTGCGGCATGATCTGCATCTGATGGATGTGACACGTGTGTTAGGCTTTCGCGATTGATATTATAATTAATAATCTATTTTTGGGTCAGGGAGAGTGGTACAACGGTACGTTGCACTCCCAAACACATGGCTGTGTTGCACTACAACACACCGGTGTGCTGCTGAAGCAGTAGCCAACCGGCCACGCTTAGCCGTTTCGGGTGGAGTAGGGTTTTGCGACACACATTTTATCTACGCGATCCGACCCCAAAAAACCCCAGGCTGTGCGAATGGAGCGAGGTTATTAATTTTGAAAGCTTGGGTGGAAAATAGACGATGACGATGATAGATCGGAGAGGGAATTTTACAGTCGAGCAAAGCGAGGGGAAAAACAGAGGGAAGGGAGGTGACCTGCAGTGGCACACCGGTGTGTCGGAGAGCGGCACACCAGTGTATCGCGCTCTCAACAGAGAGAAGCAGAGGGAAAAAGCAGAGAGAGAGAGAAGGGAGCTGACCTGCAGCGTGGTGAGTGGGTGGATGGGCGAGTGCGTTGTTGTGACCCACAGTGTGGTGAGTGGGTGGATGGGTGAGTGCGTTGTTGTGACCCACAGTGTGGTGAGTGGGTGGATGGGCGAGTGCGTTGTTGTGACCCACAGTGTGGTGAGTGGGTGGATGGGTGAGTGCGTTGTTGTGACCCGCGGTGTGGTGGTTGAATGCTGGATGAGACGAAACAATATTTTTAATCCTTAGAGACATAATTTTTGGCCCAAATCAAGTGAAAAATGCATTTTACTTGCTAGGTTTTTTTTGGTGCAGCCATTGGCGACTGGGCTGTGACCACCAACTCGCTACTACACTTGAGAACCCAGTTTAGTCACATAGAAGTGTATTTTAGTTTCTGGGTCTCTGTGTAAGTCTCTGGGTCGCGATGGTATTCGCTGCTGACTGGGCTTAGGCCATCAATTCGTTGCTACACTTGAGACCCTGGTTTATCCACAGGCAGTGGCTGGAACCTTGATTCGAACCTGGATCTCAGCTGTACTGGCTCTGCGACTCTGGCCTCAGAGCCATTGGTGCTATTCTCCTGTTTACAGCCGTGGGGCAGTGGTGGAAATTCCACATTACTTTGGCGGGGGATGAACGAGTTTATCTTTCAACTGTTGACTGGTACTCATTGTACAAAGTGGTACTAATTTTATCGACCCCAGACGGAGGGATGATGGACCGAGTCAAGCCCTCCCAATCAGGATTGATGTGGAAGAGGTGCAAAGTTCCAAAGACAAAGGCAACCCCGTATAGGCTTAACGGACTTTTCGGGCAAGTGCCGTGAGAGAGGCTGGCACAGCACACGAGGGGTGGTGATGTTTACACTCTGCACCAGGTACTCATTTGGGGCTGAGTCGACCTAGGGGAGGCCCAGTTCAGATAATCGTCACTGGTGTTGGGCGTGAGCGGGAATCGAACTCGGGTCGACGGGTTCCCACAGTAATGTTACACACATCTGGTCACACAAAGACAAACCAGATGCCACCTACGACAGTGTTAACAGGCTGTTGGGGCAAGTGCTATAAGCGCATCCAATCGCCGCCGTTCGCCACTTAGTGATGGTGACGTCACCATGGTGCTGATGCCATGCGAGGTGCACGTTGATCACGCACACAGCTACCGGATTATAAGACGCGCCTCCAAAATGTTACTTTTAGATGTTTTTAAAGATAATAGTACACGTGGTCAATCCCAAGAGATGGATCGCGTCTCGTGTGCAGGGATCCAGTGACACCGCTAACACAATGGCACGTGTACACATACGCATAGCAAACTATAACACGTGTGCACAGACACACACTGACACGTGTACACAACAACAACAACCGCCATTCGCCACTAAGTGGCGGTGACGTCACCACCACGCTTGTGCCAGGCCATGTGCATCTTGAGGCCACGTGAAGTGTCGAATGCCCGCTGGCAGGAGGTCACGGGGCAGACCCAGGTGCCACGGGTAGACTGACTGAGATGACCGAGATGACTGGCTGATGCACCACCTGCCAATTTGCTGTGCTTTAGCCACCCGGCGCTCCGCTCGTTGTTGTGAGCATCGCTCCTCCGCCCTCTGTTGTTGTTGGAGGGCGACTGCCTCCAACTGCCCAGTAGCGTCCTTCACGAGCCTCCTCCACAAAGGTCGATCTTGACACCGCTGGTATCAGTCATCGGCAAGTCCACTCAGCTCCACGTCCTCCTGTACCACATCACTCCATCTCTTCTCTAGCCCGTGCCGCGCCCGCCTAGCCCCCTCGATCCGGCCGAACAAAAGCTGTTTGGGCATGCGGTGGCTGGGCATGCGGGCTACATGACCCAGCCAACGCAGCCTTGCCTGCCGGAGGTGCTCATCGATGGGACTTTGGCCAGATCTTTTGAGGATTTGTGAGCTCACACAATCCAGCCTGGTTAAACCCAGGATTTATCGTAGGCAGGCCAGACCAGGTAGCTTCCACACAGCGTTACGCAGCCGATGAAAAGATAATGCTGCTCGACTGATTCGGAGTAATAACTCTGCTGTTAAACCGGAGCCGGTCATGAGCACACTGCCCAGGTATGGGAAATTCTGCACTCTTTCCACAACTGCCCCATCACCGATTGGGAGTTGTGGGGGTGGAGTGCCCGATGGTACAAAATACCCAGGCAGGTGCTTCGTTTTGGTGGGGCTGATGGTAAGGCCCCACCTCTTAGTGGCACACTCCAGTTTCGGCAGCAGCGCCTCCAACTCCTCTGAGTGAGCTGCAATTACCAGGTCGTCGGCATACATAACGTGGTTGACCAATAGGGAGCCATCCCTTGACCGCACCCGGGCATCGATCAGCCTCCCATTGTATCTGTACCAGATGGAAATTCCTCCGGTACAGCTACTGAAGGCTTCATGAACTACGTGGTCGAAATAGATGTTAAATAATGTTGGAGCCAGAGGACATCTCTGTAGCACACCAAGGTGTACAGGGAATGGCTCTGACTCCCGGCCACGTAGTTTTACCCGGGCCTGCTCACCATCATGAAGGTCCTTAATGAGCGTGAGCAGAGGGTCAGGGACTCCGAAAGCACGAAGAACAACCCAGAGCCCAAGCCTACTTATGGTATCATAGGCCTTGACCAGGTCAATGAAGCAGAGATGTAGGTCTTGTTGGAATTCCCTACACCTCTGCTGTAGCAGACGGACAGAAAATATGACATCTGTGCAGGACCGCCCTTTCCTGAAACCGCATTGAGGCTCCGCAAGCCTCTCCTCAGCGTGCCTAGCAAGGGGATGTTGAATAATCCTTGCCAGGACCTTTCGTGTATACACACGCACTGACACGTGTACACACAGACACTGACACGTGTACACGCGCGCGTCACGCCCACATCAGAGTGCGATTCGTGGTGGTGACGCGGAGGAGCTCTTTGTGACGCGTGTTTGGGCCGCCACGTGCTGTGGGGGTTGGGCGGCCGCGGAGCTCGCAATCGGCCCGGTGACCGAGCCCGTTGTGCTGCCGCGTGATTTGAATCCCCCGGGGTGTTTGAAATGGGGACTTTGTTCCGCAATACAAGCGACAAAAAATAAACCCAAGCACGACAACGGCCGACGATCACCGCCTCCTGCTCGCGTCTCTGCCCACGCAAATGCGTCACCACGTATTCTTTACACATCCCATCAGCCACACACCCGCACTTTCTTGGGAGGGCGTAACTTCGGCGGCATCGATTGGTTCAACGCGAGCATAATCCTGGACCGGTTTTGACATTCAGCGTCTCATCATCGGCAACAGGGTCGAGCTCGCTTGAACCAATGCTGGCGAGCTGCCAGATGTTAGACGTGGGTCCCTGGTTCAAGGCAACACTCTGCCATCACACAACGCAGAGCAATCCCTGGCGACGCTGTGGACAGGGCCACACCGCTGTATAGGGGACTAGATCTCTCGCACGTGAATGCCGGCGTCACTAATTTCAAGACCGCGTTTGTCTTTTACGGCAGGGGGACCCTATCTTAGTGGGTTGGGGGGGGGGCGCCTTGAGGGTGGGAGCCTCGCGTCCCCTGCCTTCCTGTAGAGGTCGCCCTGGGGGAGAGGAGGGAAGGGGGGCACAGGTCACGTGGCCCGTTAACGGGGGGGGGGGGGGGGTTTGAGAGATCGCGCTACTTTAGCCAATTACGTGACCACCCCGTTAGCACCCACAGTGAGGGTTGGGGGAGGGGGCAAAATAAGCCGTGGAGAGATGTGTGACCCCGTGACCTCACCTATTCCCCTGCCTTGGGGGGGGGGGGGTGGCCCGGTGGCTCTTCGCCTGGGGGGGGGGGGCAGTGGGGGGCTCCTCGTAGAGCTCCCGGAGCCGGGCTGCGGATGCTGCGCGCAGGGCACTCCACACCTCGAGGGCCCCCACCCTGCCGGAGCCTGCGGAATTTGGGGAGGGGTGGGGGGCAAAGCAACGCACCCCTCCCCCCCGTCACTTGCGTGGTGTCGCTGTCGGTCTAACGCAGGGCTCGGAAACCTGGGGCTCTGGTGCCGCGTGCGGCTCTTTAAGGACTGCTTCGTGACGTTTAAAAAAAAATAAGGACTACGGTTCAATCTTGATTTGAAGCTTTCGTGACTGCAGGAATCCGTACTCTTGGGTTCTTTCGGTAAAGTCACGTAGGTAGAAATAAAACAAAATAAATCACGACGTTTCGGACGCAACACAAACGCCCGTCTTCAGGTGAAAATCGTGGCCCGCTTGTGTTGTGTCCGAAACGTCGTGATTTATTTTATTTCTACCTCCGTGACTTTACCGAACGAACCAAAGAGTAAGGACTACGGTCTCGTATTTACCACGCAGTGCATTGTGGCGCTTGAAATATTGAGGGCCATCTTTTTTAACCGAATTTGAAAAAAATGCCTATTGTTATTTTGGTTAACGACCCCTAGTCTAATGAGCTGGGTGCTCCACCCCCCCCCTGCCCTCCCCCCCCAGTCGTGTGGTAACCCCTCCGCTCACTCACGTGACGATGCCCGCGCCTCCTCCATCACTCGCGCCAGGGCGGCCCCCCTCCCAGCCCCCCACTCCTCCTCTTCCAACGGGTTCAGGAACCTCCGCGCGGCAGCCGCCCCCAGTAACCTTTGCGCGCGGACAGCCGCACGGGTCATTGCGTGCGTGCAGGTGAGAACGGTCACGTGTGTGGGTGTGTGGGTGCGTGGGTGGGGTGGTGAGGGATGTCACGTGCTCGGGTGAGGGGGGGTCTCACCAGTGCCGGATTATCCCAGGAGCAAAAATAGCTACATATGTAGCTACGGGTCCCGGCGCTAAATGCGTTCCAGCTATCAATTCCGGTTCAGCGATTTGTGCACTTGCTCTATTACTACAGTACTATACCGCCTTCAACTTATATGAATGACTGGGTGTTTAAAGGTGAGCGATTTGTCGTATTATCTGGCTCTAGGTAGCAAATGAAAAAATACAATTACTTTACTGTGCAAGTAAAACAATTCTGTTTTAATTCAGGGCCCCTTTATAACACATGCTACAGGCCCCGCACTAGCTTTAATGTCACCTGTGGAGCTGTTGCACGTGCCAGGGCAGGGACGGGTCCGGGTTCAGCTCCGGTTCCTCGGCTCTGACGGCAGAAGAGTGCAGACGCGCCGTGTGTGTGTGTGTGTGTGAGTACGTGGTGAGGAGGTGGTGAGGAGGTGGGGGGGGGGGGGGGTTATGTCGATGACAGCCGCTGAATTGCCCCGTCTAGCGATGTCCTCAGGGTTGGCTCTGAGGACATCGCTCCCAGCAGCCCGGTGAGGGTTGCGCCAGGCGGCTCGTTGCCGTAAGAAGTCAAAGCCCCCTGGGCCGTGTTGCGCCACCTTCGTCTTCTTGCCGAGTGTCTTTCAGTGACTCGAGGAAGGTCTTTGCGGTCTCCTGCTTCTGATCGGCGGGCGAGGTCGTCGTCGTCGCCGTCCTCGGCAAGGTTGTTCGCTTTCTGGAGACCAACAGGGGGCAGCGGCGTGGGGGGGGCTTTTTTCTGAAACCTCTTGCGATGTTGGCCTTGGCAGCTGCCGTCTTGATGTTGAGGCCCGAGGGACAGCGACGGTCTTTGGCCGCGCGTGGGGTAATCGAGTCGACGGACCCCTCCGCCGGCCGTGAGTGACCCGTGGCGCGAAACGCGGATGCGAGAAGGCAACGCGCGAGGCTCTGCCGAGACCCCGCGACGATTCGTTTCGGTGACGACCCCACCGCCGTGTCCTCGGTGAGGAGCGCGGCCAGGCGAACGAGACAGAGTGGGCACGCGCTTCACGTGTGCGAGATCTGTGTACACGCGTGTACGGTCTATGGACACCGTGTACACACGTGTGCGAGGTATGTGTACACGCGTGTACGATCTACGTACACCGTGTACACACGTGTGCGAGGTATGTGTACACGCGTGTACGGTCTATGGACACCGTGTAAACACGTGTGCGAAATCTGTGTACACGCGTGTACGGTCTATGGACACCGTGTACACACGTGTGCGAGGTATGTGTACACGCGTGTGCGATCTATGGACACCGTGTACACACGTGTGCGAGATCTGTGTACACGCGTGTACGGTCTATGGACACCGTGTACACACGTGTGCGAGGTATGTGTACACGCGTGTGCGATCTATGTACACCGTGTACACACGTGTGCGAGATCTGTGTACACGCGTGTGCGATCTATGGACACCGTGTACACACGTGTGCGAGATCTGTGTACACGCGTGTACGATCTATGTACACCGTGTACACACGTGTGCGAGGTATGTGTACACACGTGTGTGATCTCTATTGGTGTGACACTGTCGAAACCTGGTCCAGAGATTTGATTGTATCGGATGAATCACTGCCGCTGTTAGTCTGTGGGCAAAGGTTCGCGATGTTCTTCAAGAACTTTGCAGAAGATGCTTCCAGTTCCATCCAATTGTTCAAATTTCTTCTGTAACCTAGGAGGCTGTATTGCGTAAGGTGCGATACGATAATCGTGGATCTGACAGAGCAAGCGGCAGTCTCAGCGGTCGTAAGGTTTAGAGTTCAAAGCCTGGTTGGGGAGGTGGGGAGGGGAAGGTTGACTCAGCCCATCATCCCTTTCTCGTAGTCCATAAAATATCTACCACTTTGGAGGAGTCAAGAGCGGCTGTTCAATGTTTAAGACTCACCCCGTCGCCGTCATAGGAATGTGGAATTTGCACTACTGTCTCTGCTGGATTGTAAACGGTAGATGGCTCATTTAAGCTGCAGACCACGATGTTTTATTGCACGAAGTATCGTGATACTGCGAGATCCTGAGCGTATGTGTGTACGTGTACACAAGTGGATGTGTCTGTGTGCCTCACTCACCGCTGCCCTGGTCTCTCCACACTCTCATCTGTCGCCATCGCTGTATACTTGACCCCCTTCTACACTCCGGGACCCCCTTCTGCACTCCGGGACCCCCTTCTCCACACTGGGACCCCCTTCTCCACACTGCCTCTTACACCACGGGGACTCAGGCGCCGAGACCCACGCACACGCGGGTCTCCGCCTCTCCCGGAAAATCAATAACGAGGAGGAGGAGAAGGAGGATGCGGTGACTGCCTCTCATCATTAAAAGCCAAGACGAAAATTCCCCGTATAGCCTTTAACAGGATGTGGGGACAAGTGCTGTTAGGGACCGAGGAAGGTTGCCACAGCACACCAGGGGATGGGTGGCGAGCACCACGCCCGGCCACCTGTAGTGGCGATGTTTACAAATCGCCTCAGGTACTTATTTGAGGCTGAGTCGACCTAGGGGAGGCCCAGAACCGGTTCAGATAATCGTCACTGGTGTTGGCCGTGAGCGGGAATCGAACCCTGGTCGCCGGGTTCATAACACAGCGCGCTAACCGCTGCAAACACACATATACACACAAAGATCCCAAATATAGCAATCACACACTGTTGGGGGCAAATGTTTTTTGTTTGTATGTTAGCGAGCACCTACTAAGACCAGCACGGCGCACGTACACACACACACGTCACGTCCACGCGCGTCTTGTCGCGAGCGTTATTCACATAGAGACATTTGTGTGTTTGCGAGGTTATATTCACTCGTGCGTTACTACGTCGCGTGTATTTCGTGCAAGTTCAAGTGGCGTTTGCGTGCAGCCATCGACGCAGCGTGGGGGACTCCACGAAAAACACAAACACACACACAGACACACACACAGACGCACACACAGACACACCCCCCCCCCCCCCAAATAAACGAGAGCACGAATCGCCAGCGCGCCACGAAACGTCGAAGCCGTCCTTCAACGCCACGAGGTGCTGACACGGAACATCGGGCTTAAAAGGGAAAAAAGTGACCCGGTGGAACAAACGTGGAATCGAGCGATCGCGCGTTTGCGAGCTCCTCTCCCAGCGAGAAGTCACTTCACACTGACCCCACCTCCTCGGGGGGCCACGGTGACCTTTGGGTGCCGGGGTCATCAGGGGGGGGGGGGGTCTGGGTTAGAGTCGGGATTAGGGTTGGGGTTGGTTGGAGGTTGGGAATTCGGGGTCGTGGATAGGGTTAGTAGGGTCAGATGGTATTCAGGTCTCTGGCTAGGCATGGAGCTCGAAATCATGATTTAGGCTCGGGGATAGGGTTAGGCACAGAGGTGGAGTTGAGGAATGATTTAGGGTCAGAGTTGGGGTTTTGATTCGGATTCGCATTGGAGTTAGAGACTCGCGTAGCTTTCGGATTAGGGCGAGGATTAGGGTTTGGGTTCGAGTTGGGATTAGGGTTCAGGTTAGGATTGGGGTTAGAGTAAGGCTTAGGGTTTGGGTTGAGGCTCAAGTTAGGGTTGGCGTTAAGGTTGGGATTAGGGCTAGGGTTTGGGTTGTGGTTAGGGTTATAACTGGGATTAGGGTTAGGGTTGGGTTGGCCTTAGGGATTATTCACGCTTGGAATGAGGATTTTGATTGGAGTTTGGGGGGCAGGGCCAAGTTGGGCAGACGCTGGCGTCACCACCAGGACACGCGCTATCGATCCGGGCTCCTCCTCCATCCGGGGTGAGACAGGGCGAGGAGGACGAATTGGAGGGGAAAGGGGAATCTGGTGCTCGAGTGGCGCCCTTAGTAGGCAATCGCAGACACAAGCACGTGACGGCACCCCCCCCCCCCCACCTGCCTGCAGTCTCACGCGACCAGGTGGTGTGCAGGCGAGTAAATCTGTGTGCAGGTGAGAATGTGAACAGGTGGGATCGCGGGTCCAAGTGAGATTGCGTATCTAAGTGAGATCGTGTGTCCAGGTGAGGCCGCCTGTCCAGGTGAGGTTGCGTATCCAGGTGAGGCCGTGTTGCCAGGTGAGGTCGCGTGTCCAGGTGAGGCAGCGTGTCTAGGTGAGGCAGCATGTCCAGGTGAGGCCGCGTGTCCAGGTGAGATTGCGTTGCCAGGTGAGATCGTGTGTCCAGGTGAGGCCGCCTGTCCAGGTGAGGTCGCGTATCCAGGTGAGGTCGCGTATCAAGGTGAGATCGCGTATCCAGGTGAAGCCGCGTGTCTATGTGAGGCAGCGTGTCCAGGTGAAGCAGCATGTTCAGGTGAGGCCGCGTGTCCAGGTAAGGTCGCGTGTCCAGGTGAGGTTACTTGTCCAGGTGAGGCAGTGTGTCCAGGTGAGGCTGCGTGTCTAGGTGAGATCGCTTGTCCAAGTGAGATCGCGTGTCCTGCTGAGGTCGCTTCTCTACAGGTGTGTGTCCTCCTCCTCGTGGTGCTCTCTCTTGCTTGGAGCCCTGGGGTGTGAGGCGTGCTGGGGGGCCCAGGGGGGTCTGGCCACGCCCGGAGGGACCCCTCGTGGAGGGGGCAGCCCCGGCCCGGGCCCCCCATTCCAGCTGTGGGGCCGCTCCTGCATCTCTGGACGGGGGTCCATCGCCGGGTTGTCGTGGCAACCAAAGCGCGGTCCCTGCATCTCCTCGGTGAGCCGCTGCCATGGAAACATGGGACAGAGACAACAACCACAACAACCGCTGAGTGGTGGTGATGTCCCCACAGCGCTTGTGCCAGGCTAGGTGCACTTTGAGCTGATCGCTCTTAGATGACATATGTCAGCCAGCCACTTAACCTTTGAAGCTCCACAGCCCGGACAGGGTCAGGCCGTCCCCATCTCTCCCCGAGCGAATACAAGCAGACCCCGCTTAGCGATGAAGATGTGTTCCTGAAGAAATGAGCCCTCATCGAATCAGCGCTAAAGGGGGCCATTACACCATTGTATATATGGGGATGCGCTCCTGGCAGTGTTATATATTTTTTCTTATTCATATGAGCACTATATGAGGGCTTTATCGGCAAAAGTGCGAATAATAATACAGATGGTAAACATTTCATGAATGCAAAAAAAATTACGTTTGTTAATAACGTCACTAAGTATTATGTACTGTATTCACAAGTGCATTCTATTGTACTCCTACAAGTTAGTGGCGGGGGAGCTGCTGCGCTGCCAATCCGGGATCCTCACAGTGGAGCTCCGTGAACTTCGTGATGCCCTCAGTCTAAATTTCTGTGGCGAGGTTTCATTTTGCTTGATATGTCATCGCTCCATCTCCGTGATGGACGCGTGCTCTCCAGACGCGTCACGGTGGCTAGACGTTAAGTCCCTCGCCTGGTATGCACGAGGTCGTGGGTTCGATCTCATCCCTGACGCCTGCAGCTGTATATTTGGAGTTTGCGTGTCTCTCCCCGTGGTCGCGTGGATTTTTATTTTCTCCGGGTCCCCCGGTTTTTTTCCTTCACATTTAGAAAGATTGCGTTGAGATGATCTCGATGACGTTGCTGCTATGAATGGCGGGGCCACTTTGTAGAGCTATCGTTTGTGGCCAGATAAGCTCCTGAACAATAAGCTAATACCTCAGTGGGCTTTTCCTGGAAGGATGGGGATGGTTTATTGTTGTATTTGTTTGTGTTTTGATTATTTGTTTAGCTTTCTTGTACTAGGTGTGAAAACCACAGCAAGAAAAATGTTCACACCTGATGATGATTGCTTGTGTTGCAGTCGAAACGTCGTGAGAATTGTATCGTTTTATATTTTTATTATTTTATTGTTTCCCTTCTACGTGACTTTACCGAAAGAACCAAGAATATTAATCCCTGCAGTCACGAAAGCTTTAAATATAAAAATAAAACTTTCTTGTACTTTTGTACTGTTTGTTGTTGTAGCGTTCTAAACGGCCCCTACTGGACATATGTGAGTAAAAAGAGCTTTATAGCTCATCGGATTCCTCCTGCGATCTAAATACAACATTCTGATTCTGAGCCGGTGCCTGAAGACTCTATCCTGGTCTCACCTGGCTAAACAAATCGATTGTTTTTCTCAAAAAAATAATCGTCACCACGATGCGTAACAATCGAATCGCGGGGGGGGGGGGGGGGGTGGCTCAGAGCGTGCGTCGCTCTGATTGGCTCAGCACTTTTAGATGACTCTTTAGATTATTAATTTTCTGTTGTTGTAAATATTTTCTTCCAGGACAAAGAGTGCTATAACGAATCGGCGTTCTATGGGGTCACTCTAACCAAACTAAACTATTTTTGGTATTTTACCAAGTAAGGCCCACTGAGCTATATAGCTCTTTTTCAGAAGCGATGTGGCCATCACAAATGAAAGCTCTACTCTGTGGCTTATCACGTGGGCATTTATATCAGCCAAATACTCTCTAAACGTGTGTTGTTGATTCTAAACGTGGAGGGGAAAACCGGAGGACCCAGAGAAAAATCCACGCGACCACGGGGAGAACACGAATCTACAGCAGGCGTCAGGGTCGGGGTCGAACTCATGAACCTCCTGTATACCAGGCGAGGTAGTTAACATCTCGCCAAGCAAGGTCTGCCTGTACCTCTCCTTCCCCAAACCCTCATAGACGTGCTTGACAAATCTGCAAAGGGGCCGTTCATAAATGACGTCACGCGATTTTGGACGATTTTTGACCCCTCCCCCTACCCTCGTCACACGGCGTCACAAAAAGTCAGTCCCCCCCCCTCAAATATGACGTCACCAAGCTCTGCCCCCCCCCCAAACCATATTTCCATTTTGAAAATAAAACATGCTTCAAATCGATTTAAACTTTTGTCGTTGTAGTGCGTATTTAATGTGGCGCTGCACTCTGATGTTGTAGGAGAAAACATTTATTTAAAAGTCTATTTAATTAAGTAGAACGTGTTGTCTATATTTATTTCAAGTTGCGCATTTTGATGTGACGTCACATTTCTCAAACCCCCCCCCCCCCTCGTCACACATCGTCACAAATGTCTACCCCCCTCAGGTGCGTGACGTCATTTATGGACGGCCCCAAACCTGTTCCTACGTAGCAGAGATGGGATGGTACAAGGGGTGGGCGAATGAGAGAATTCTCGAGTGAATAACGGAGTGATCAAAATGGGAACCTTTTTGCCAGTATCAAAGTATGAAATAAAAAAAGGTTTTAACCTCTGGCAATAAAATAGGAGGTGTTAAGATGTCCATACACCCAGATAGAAACCCTTTTGCAAGGAGTCAAGCCTGCATCAACCACACGCGGTCCTTGTGGTGAACATGCAAAGGAGTGAGTGAGATTTAATAATTAGAGTTGAACACGCTCCCTGAACGGCCACCCCTCCGTAGAGGCCAATATGTTCACTTATCAACCGTTCCCCTGCGAACGACGGGCTGTTGTGGCTACGGTAAATATTAATTCATGCATTGATTAACCACGTTTTTATTTTAATGTTGTGTGCTTATAATGTTGTTAGTATCTTTATGTATTCATATCCATTGCTGAAATAGATTTTCTGTTTGCACTGTCACATAGTCACTTTAAGATGTTTTTCTTGTTGGTGTTTTTGTTTTTTTTTGTTGTGGTTGCACCCGATTCAAGAGCCGAATGGCTCACAGGGCTATACCAAAATAAAAAAAACTGAAACTGAAATGATAAACGTACGTTGTTTGGGTAAAAAAAGGTGTCACTTTCGATACTATCGGAACGAATGAAGCCTTTAAATGCGCATTCCCGAAACTCGCTTAACGACCAAATAATTTTCTTCTTCTTTGGTTCTTTCGGTAAAGTCACGTAGAATGAGAATAAAATAATAAAATAACACAATAAAATTCTCACGACCAAATCATTCCCTATACTCGCTTAACGACCACGTCGCTTAACGGCCGGTTTCGTGGAACCAATCGCTGTCGTTACGAAGAGGGGGCGGGGGGGGGTCCCCTGTACTGGCGTTAATGAGTGAATGACTGACCGTGTGAATGAGTTAATTTCATTTGTTACACGAACGGTCGCGTTGCACCACAGTTTCGCGGCTCTTTTACTGTGCGGCTGTTGCTGGTGCACTTCAGCAGCAGCAGCAACAACAGAGAGGAAACGAGACGGAGTCGAGTGCGGTACAGCTCAGTAGGGGGTAGATCCGGTGGGTACATCAGCCGGTCATCTCAATCAGCCAACCCATGGCACCTGCTGGGTCTGCCCCGAGATACCTGCTGCCAGCAGCGAGCGTTCGGCACTACACGTGATGGCCTCAAAGTGCACCTGGCCTGGCACAGGCACCGTGGTGACGTTACCGTCACTTAGGGGTGAATGACGGCTGTGTTGGTGCAGAAGGGGCCCTTGAGGGATGTTGCACGACCAGCAGACGAAGGAACGAGGTTATTTACCGGTCGTAAACAAGACACCCGAATTACAACCTCCCCCGCCCACCCCGAGTGCAAATACAATGTAATTTACATTTATTTGAAAGGAGCATTCCACGAATGTCTCAAGGTGCCTTGCAAGAATAAGGATAGGCCAAGACAAAACAGAAACTAAAGATAATAAACTGACTTAAGAAGATTTCGATTTAAAGCTTTCGTGACTGCAAGGATTCATCTTCTTGGTTCTTTCAGTAAAGTCACCACATAGAATGAGAATAAAACAAAACAAAATAAGACAATAAAATTATCTTCAATGAAGCGCTGTCGTCCCGACAGTTCTGTTCCTTCACCTGAAGAAGGCTACTTGTGTTGTGGCCGAAACGTCGTGAGAATTTTATTGTCTTATTTTGTTTTATTGTTTTATTCTCATTCTACGTGACTTTACCGAAAGAACAGAGAAGATGACTTAAGAAGATGTTTAACGCCGTAGGCTTTCGCGACCAATGTTATCCGTGATAGAGTTTTTTTGGGTAATAACCCGCGATCTAACCCACAAAAACCTCTATTGTGGTTAATAAGATGTGGTATTAAGACGAGACTTGATGAAAGTATCCGCACTGTCGGATGGTCGAATTTCCAAGGGTAGGGAATTCCACAACCGTAGCGCAGACGCAGCGAGTGGCCGCTCACCCCCAGGAACGGAGCCGGGATCGAGGCACGCACAGGAGAGAAAAAGGCGCCAGAATAAAGGTCGGTACCAGGTGCAAGTGATTTGTGTTTTAAGTCTTAATAGGGACACAGGGGACGTGAATGGGGAGAATCAAACTGGAGATGAGCGGGTAAGGGTTTGTCATAAACTCGGAGCAGCAATGCGTAAACACTTTTTTTTTTACCAAAACAAAGTTATAACAAATCGAATATTTTAATGGGAATAAGGAGGCACTTCTGAGACTACGGAACGGAGTTGGAGAAACTAAGTGGTCCTTTCGGTAAATGGCGGATTTAAGATGACATTTAGGATGAAGACAGCCCAGTCATGGTCTCGCCACATATCCAGATTTGAGTTGACCTGCAGGTTGCAATGATTGGTTATATAATTGGCCTCAAAGCCAAAACGCAGAGTGGAGTGGTTTAGTGTAACGAGATGTTTTAAGGAATGTTTTGCAGCAAGGCGGTAGATGGTGTCGCTCATATAAATGAGCGTGTGAGTTTGTGAAAACTGAGTGACCGTGAGTGAATGAGTCGCGTACCCCACTCTTCGCTCTCCGCGCGCTCCTCCTCCACGCGGCGCACGCGGCCGCCAGTGCCAGGAGCAGTGCACACGCCACTCCCAGTGCCCCCAGCAGGGCGGGGAGGGGGGGGCCCCGGGGATCCTCTCCACCTGCAGGGGCCCCGGCCTCCTCATCCTCTGCAGGGTCCCTCGTGCCCCCAGTCTCCTTCCCCGCACGCCCCCCAGCCTCCTTCCTCCCAGGGCCTCCAATCCCGTCCTCCCTGTTAAGGCCCCCAGTCTGCACCTCTCCATGAGGGCCCCTATGGTCCCCGCTCTCTCTCACAAGGCCTCCAATCTCATCCTCCTCCACAGGGCCCCCAGCCTCGTCCTCCCTCCCAGGGCCCCCGGTCTCCTCCCTCCCAGGGCCCTCGGTCTCCTCCCTCCCAGGGCCCCCAGCCTCCTCCCTCTCAGTCTCTTCTTCCTCCCTCCCAGGGCCCCAAATATCTTCCCTCCCAGGGCCCTCGGTCTCCTCCCTACCAGGGCCCTCGGTCTCCTCCCTCCCAGGGTCCTCGGTCTCCTCCCTTCCTGGGCCCCCTGCCTCCTCCCTCTCAGTCTCCTCCTCCCTCCCTGGGCCTCCAGTCTCTCCCACTGGGCCCCCAGTCTCCTCCCTCCCAGGACCCTCGGTCTCCTCCCTCCCAGGGCCCTCGGTCTCCTCCCTCCCTGGGCCCCCAGACTCCTCCCTCCCTGGGCCCCCTGCCTCCCCCCTCTCAGTCTCCTGCTCCCTCCCTGGGCCCCCAGTCTCTCCCACTGAGCCCCCAGTCTCCTCCCTCCCAGGGCTCTCGGTCTCCTCCCTCTCAGAACCTCCAGTCTCCTCCTCCCTCTCTGAATCCACAGTCTCCTCCTCCCTCCCTGGGCCCCCAGTCTCTCCCACTGAGCCCCCAGTCTGCTCCCTGCCAGGGCCCTCGGTCTCCTCCCTCTCAGAACCTCCAGTCTCCTCCTCCCTCCCTGGGTCTACAGTCTCCTCCTCCCTCCCTGGGTCCACAGTCTCTCTCACTGGGTCCCCAGTTTCCTCCCTCCCAGGGCCCTCGGTCCCCTCCCAAGCCTCCTCCTCCCTTACGAGATCCCCAGTCTCTTCCCTCCCAGGGCCCCCAGCCTCATTCTCCCTCCCTGGACCCCCAGTCTCTCTCACTGGGTCCAAAGTCTCCTCTCTTTCAGGGCTCTCGGTCCCCTCCCTCCCAGGGCCCCCAGCCTCATTCTCCCTCCCAGGGCCCCCAGTCTCTCCCACTGGGCCCCCAGTCTCCTCCCTCTCAGGGGTCCCAGTCTCTTCCCTCTCAGGGCTCTCAGTCCCCACCCTCCCAGGGCCCCCAGCCTCATTCTCCCTTCCTGGACCCCCAGCCTCATTCTCCCTCCCAGAGCCCCCAGTCTCTCCCACTGGGCCCCCAGTCTCCTCCCTCTCAGGGCTCTCAGTCCCCTCCCTCCCAGGGACCCCAGCCTCCTCCTCCCTCCCGATTTCTTCAACCCCACGTTCTCCAACCTCCTGAACACACAGAGGAGACAACAATATTGGCCACGAAGTGGCGGCGATGTCACCAGAGCGCTTGTGCCAGACTAGGTGCTCTTTTGATGTCATGTAAAGTGTTGTAGGCTCGCTGATAGGTCACGGCACAGACCCATGTGCCATGAGCTGAATGAGATGACTGGTAGATGCACCACCTGTGCCAATTTGTTGCGTTTTAGCCACCCGACGCTCCGCTCGTTGTTGTGAGCGTCGCTCCTGCGCCCTCTGTTGTTGTTGGAGGGCGACTGCCTCCACCTGCCCAGTAGCGTCCTTCACGTGCCTCCTTCACAGAGGTCGATCTTGACACCGCTGGTACGATCCTTCGGCAAGCCTACTCAGGTCCACATCCTCGCTTGCCTGCATCAGTCCATCTCTTCTCTAGCCCGTTGCCGTGCCCGTTTAGCTTCCTCTATCTGGCCAAACAGAAACTGCATCGCCAGCTCTTTCAAGGACGTATTTAACCAGTCCAGCCTGGTTAAACGCGTCTTCTTTCGTACGGCTGATGTAGACAACTACCAGTGCCGGATTAAGCGGGGCCTGCAACATATGTTATAAAGGGGCCCTGCTTTTTTTTTTTAAACACGTAAATATTGAAACATTTTTGACTTACTTAGTAGAGCATTTGTATTTTTAATTTGCTATACAGCTAGATAGAACGACAAATCGCTCACCTTAAACACCGAGTCGTTCATAAAAGTTTAAGGCAGTATAGTACTATAGTAATAGAGCAAGTGCAGAATAACTGAATCGGAATTGATAGCTTGAAAGCATTTAGCGCAGGGCCCTTGAAATGTGCGGGGCCCGTAAAATATGCTACTTTTGCTACGAGGATAACCCGGCACTGACTACTACAATTGCACATTCAGGGGGTCAAGGCCAGATAACCGCGTCAGAAGCGGCGGCGTTGTATCGCTGTGATGTCTCCTTCGTATTTGTGGATCGGGCATTGCGTTGTTATACGTTGCATATGGTCTGTTCTGGATGACCACAGTCGCACACCAAAGAGTTTTTTATTTTTATTTTATTTTAATGTATGCATCAGGTATCCGAATCTGCCATAGTTTGTGGTTTAGGGTGGACTATGGGTTTCGTTAGAAGATCAAACTCTGGGATTTTCCATGATGGTTGTAGGCAGGCCAGCCTGAACGTTTTGAACCGGTGCAGATGTTACATTCGATGGCTCCACGTTTCGCAAGCATAGAGAAGGGAGGGCATAACTGTGGCCGATAAGCCCCGGCGGTTCGTGTGGAGCGACAGACCAAATCGCTCCCACGCAGCAGCGTTACGCAGCAAATTAAAAATAATGCCACTCCAGTGAACCTGGAGTGAGACCACGGCTGCCAAGACGGAGCTGGTCACAAGCACACTGCCCGGGGGGGGGCACGGAAACTCCTCCATTATCTCCACAACTGCCCATCACTCACGGGGAGTCAAAATGGCTTGGGCGATCAACGACGCAGAAATACCGAGGCGGGTTCTTCGGCGTGAACACGGAAGTTGACGCACAGACAGCGTGCGTCGGTGTTGTGGAGTGATGCAAGCGGTTGAGGGCTACGGGAGAGGGGTTATGGGGGGGTTCAGGAGCAGCATGGGTCTGCCCCCCTCCTTCCCCCATCTGTCGAGGTAAATCCCCGCGTGTAATCTGCGCTAAAGCCGGTAACGGGAGTTGGCCTCCCTTTACACGGGTCTCTCCCCTTCCCTCCCCTCGGTGCAGCTCCCATCTCGCATACCTCTTATCTCCCCACTCGTCTACATCCTACCCCCCCCGACCCCCCGGACCCCCCCCCCTAATGAAAGCGTCGTGGCTGAGTCCAGACTTACAAATCCACGGCTCAATGGCCGCTCGCCCCCCCACCTCTCTCCCCGTGTGGATCAAGAACAGAAGAACAAAGAACATTCATAGTCCAGCCCTGCCCCCAACCATCAACATCACCACCATCACCCACCATCATCACCCACCACCATTACCCACCACCATCACCCACCATCATCACCACTTCCCATTCCATCACCCACATCGCCACCACGATCACTACCACCCCCATACCACCATCATCACCAACTACCACCACGATTATCAGCATCATCACCACCACCATCAACAACAACAACCGCCGCTCACCTCTAAGTGGCGGTGACGTCACCACGGCATTTGTGCCAAGCTAGGTGCACTTCCATCACTACCCCACCATCACTACCCACCATCACTACCCCTATCAGCATCACTATCCCACCATTACTATACCCCTATCATCATCACTACCCCACCATCACTACCCCTATCAGCATCACTACCCCACCATCACTACCCCACCATTACTATACCCCGATCATCATCACTACCCCACCACCACTACCCCACCATTGCTATATCCCTATCATCATCACTACCCCACCATCACTACCCCACCATTACTATACCCCGATCATCATCACTACCCCACCACCACTACCCCACAATTGCTATATCCCTATCATCATCACTACCCCACCATCACTACCCCACCATTACTATACCCATATCATCATTACCCCACCATCACTATCCCACCATCACTATACCCCTATTAGCACCACTACCCCTATCATCATCACTACCCCACCATTACTATACCCCTATCATCATCACTGCCGCTATCAACACCACGATCACCACCACCCCTCCCCGCCCACACCTGCCGGGACGGGGTCCCACCGGAGTCACGTGGAGTCACAGGTGCGCTAGTGGGCGTGGTCTGTGGAGGCCCTGCCGTCTCCTGATTGGTCGGAGCCTGGGCACCGGGCGTGACGTCACTCGGTTCAAAATCCACCGCCTCACCACCTGCACACATCACCACCATCGTTACCATCACCATCGTTATAATCACCATCGTTACCATCACCACCACCATCGTTACCATCACCACCACCATCGTTACCATCACCACCACCATCGTTACCATCACCAACATCATAACCATCACCAACATCATTACCACCATCACCAACATCATTACCACCATCACGAACATCATCACCATCATTGCTATCACCAACATCATTACCACCAACATCATTAATCACCACCAATAATACCACCATCACCAATATCATTATCCCCATCACCAACATCATTAACCACCATCACCAACACCATTACCACCAACATCAACACCATCAATATCACCAACATCACCACCGACGTCAACAAATCACCATTACAATAACCACCAACCACCGCTAACTAATCCCCACACACCACACTGCGTGTCCGAGTTCCCCGTCACCTGTTGGCTGCGGAGTCTCAAAGTTCGTGGACGACAGAGGGGGGGTCCCAGGGGGTACGGTAGGGGTGCCGGGGCCAGAGGTCCACGTTGAGACCCCGGACGTCGGGGTCCTGGCTTGCCGAACCCCTTGCTCGTCTGCTTCAGTGCTCGGCTGCCCTCCATCACCACCATCACCACCACCATCACCAACAGCGGCTCGAGCAGTGAGCAGCAGTAGCAGCAGAGTCGCGTACGGTGCAGTGGAGCGCAAAGACATCACCACCACCACCATCATCATCACCATCACCGCGAGGTAGCGATGGCGGCTGACATCGCTCCTGACAACAATTCACAACTTGGAGCCCTTTGGGGGGTGAGCGATGGAGGGGGGGGGGGGGATGGTGGATGATGAGGGGTGATGGTGGATGGAGCGTGAGGGGCCTGGGTGAGGGATGGTGGAGGGTGATGGTGGATGGACGATGATGGGATGATGGTGGATGGAGGGCGAGGGATGGTGGTGATGGGCCCCGTGTAAACCTCCCGAGCGTCGCCCCGTCCCGTTAAAAATAAAAACTCCCGTGATGGGGGAGAGGCGGGGGAGAGCGGGGAGAGCGATGAAAGAGAGTGGGAGAGAGGCAAGAGTGGGGGCGGGGGGGGGGGGTTCATCTATCCTCAGTGCGCGCCCAGCGGTTACCATGGAGACGGGATGAGAGGGGAGAGCGGGAGAGATGGGAGGAGTGGAGAGATGGGAGGAGGGGAGAGATGGGAGGAGTGGAGAGATGGGAGGAGGGGAGAGATGGGAGGAGGGGAGAGCGGGAGAGATGGGAGGAGGGGAGAGCGGGAGAGATGGGAGGAGGGGAGAGTGGAGAGATGGGAGGAGGGGAGAGCGGGAGAGATGGGAGGAGTGGAGAGATGGGAGGAGGGGAGAGATGGGAGGAGGGGAGAGTGGAGAGATGGGAGGAGGGGAGAGCGGAGAGATGGGAGGAGGGGAGAGTGGAGAGATGGGAGGAGGGGAGAGCGGGAGAGATGGGAGGAGGGGAGAGATGGGAGGAGGGGAGAGCGGGGAGTGAGGGGACTGGCGTTGATATGGACGGAAGTGCAGAGGCGAGAGAACGGAGGAGACGGGAGTTGATGGACGACTGACGCGGGATGAGAGGGGAGACGAGAGTGAGATGAGGCGAGAGTGGGAGATGGCGAGACGGGGGAGAGCTTAGGGAGCGGGGGTGAAGAGTGGGAGACGGAGCTGGGGATGGAGGGAGAAGAAACTTGGGGGGGCGGGGGATTGGGGGGGGAGGGGTTGGATGGGGGGGGATTGGAGTGGGCGGGGGATTTTGTGGAGGGTTTGGGGGGGCGGGGCTACCCCCTCCTCCCGTCATTCAGGTCGCCAACAGCGGATGCAAAATCAAGAGAACTTTATTGATATTGACTTTAACAAAACTTTACACGAGCACAGACGCCACGTGATGTGTGATGTTGTGGCGATGTTGAGCAAGTAATAAGCTGTGTAATGGGCCAGTCCTCCTTTGCCGGTGTGACCCAGTGTGTTGTGATGCTGTGAGATGTGGCGTGCTACTGGCGTGATGCTGGTGTGATGTTGTGAGATGTTGCGTGATGCCGGTGTGATGCTGTGAGATGTGGTGTGCTGCTGGCGTGAAGTGCTGGCGTCACGACTGCGCTTGCCGCCCCGGTCTCTTGTGGTTGCGAGTGACGCGGAGTTGTCCGGAGCCGGCGAGACGCACGGAGTAGAGGCCCGAGACGTAGGGCAACTCGCCCCGCACGCCGTGCTGGAGGACGGGGACACGACGGGGACACGACGGGGACACGACGGGGACACGACGGGGACACGACGGGGACACGACGGGGACACGACGGGGACACGACGGGGACACGGAGACACAGCGGGGACACGGAGACACGACGGGGACACGACGGAGACGCGAGACAGAGACACGATGGGAATACGACACGGAGGCACGGCGGAGACACGGCGGAGACACGGCGGGGACACGAAACGGAGACGCGACGGGGAACACACAGCGGGGACACGACACAGGGACACAACGGGGAGAGACACGGGGACAGGTTCAGACACTGTTAATCACACGAACAGCAGTGACGTCGCGCGCAACACAGAGACGCAACAAACAAAAACGGCTGCCACAGCAGCAGAAGCAGCGACGACAACAGCCACAATGGCCCGAGTCACTCTTTTAATCTGTAATGAGGGCGCGCATTCCTCAACAATCACATGCTCACCGCTCGCACACACACACACAAAGATCTCCCCGTGGAACCTCAACAGAATCGTGCGGCGAGTGCTGCCCGCGAGCAGCACCTATGAGAGCCGTAGAACGGCACGCGAGGGGGTGTGTGGCCAGCGCCACGCCCGACCGCCTTTGTCTCCCCAGCGGCGATGTTTACACACCGCAGAAGTTATCCATTTCAGACCGAGTGGACCTAAGGGAGGCTTCAGCACCAGTTCACACATTCGTCACGGCTTCTCGGGTGATGGGGGGAGCTGGGTATGGGGGAGGAGGGAGCTGAGGAGTGGGGGATCGTGCCCCCCCCCCCCCGTGTGAGAGTTATTGTCTCGGCCGTTATCTTCACGAGCCAGCCACGTGTGGGGGGAGGGGTTAGTAGTGTGCCCCCCCCACTCCTTTCCCCCTAACCACGGCATAGCCACCCATGTTAACAACAACATTACTACTGCCACCACCTTCATCCCCACCACACCACCATCAACAACAACCACAGTTCCCCACTGAGTGGCGGTGACATTACTATGGCACTTGTGCCAGGCTAGGTGCACTTCGCTCCCTACTGTGCCACATTTCTTCATTTTAGCCGCCCGGCGTTTCGCTAGTTGTTGTGAGCGTCGCTCCTCTACCCTCCACCGTTGTTGGAGGGCGACTGCATCCAAATTCCCAGTAGCGTCCTTCAGGAGCCTCCTCCACATAGGCCAATATTGACACCGCTGGTATCAGTCATCGGTAAGTCCACTCAGCTCCACATCCTTCTGTTCCACATCACTCCATCTCTTCTATAACCCGTGCCGCGCCCATTTAGCCCCCTCTATCCGGCCAAACAGAAGCTGCTTGGGCATGGGGTGGCTGGGCATGCAGCCTACTCAGCCCAACTGATGACTGTATCCAGATTTTTCAAGGATCTGTGAACTCCACACACAATGCAGTCTGGATAAACCCAGGATGGATTGTAGGCAGGCCAGCCTGAATGTTTCTAACTGGTGGAGATGTTCCTTCAGGGGGGGTCTACGTTTTCCTAGCGTAGAGAAGGGAGGGCATAACTGTGGCCATGAAGACCCGAAGCTTCATGTGGAGCGAAAGGCCAGGTAGCTTCCAAAAAGCTGATGAAAATATAATCAGTTTAACAAGTAGGCTTTCGCGACCAATATCATCCATAATACAGGTTTTTTTGGGTTAGATCACGGAAATATATAAATGGGTCGTTAAACCCGCCACCACTCGACACGGCCAACTAGTAAGGGTTGTTACGTAAACAGAACGCGCCAATTCGTCACTAGTACAGCACACCGGTGTGTTGGAAAACCAAGCCACAACATTCACAAACTGAGTACGACGTTTTGCCAGTAATTACTACTAGCTTCATCAGGCGACAGCCAGATTTGTGGAGAAGTCTTTCTGTTTTGTTCCTTAATCACCACCAACACCACCACCACCACTATCCTCATGACCACAATCCCCAACAAGACCACCGCTATTCCCACAATCACCACCACCACCATTGCCAAATGTATCAGCACCATCACCACCACCACCACCACGCACAGCACCACTAAAACTACCCTCTAGACGACCATCACCGCAACCAACACAAGGCGTAGTGGTCCCAGTGAGCCAACCCCGACCCCCGGATGGCCCCCCGGATGACCCCCGGGTCACCTGCTTCTTGAGGAGGAGTGGAGGGAGCGGCACGTTTCCGAGCACGAGGAGGTTGACGAGGCGGAGGCGCTCGGGGGCGAGCGGGGTGAGGATGAGCAGCGTACCGCGGGGAGCGTCCACCCCACGTACTACGCCTGAGAGCCGCCACCACCACCACATTGTACCGTGAGAACAATCACCAGATGGCAACCACCACAGCAACTGCATTACGCAACAGCCACTATACTCAACCACGACAACCAAATTACATCCATCAACCCCTCCACACACCCCGGGGTCCCCGTGTCCCTCCCCGGGTCCCCGTGTCCCTCCCCGGGTCCCCCCGCGTCCCCCGCATCCCTCTCACCGAGGCCATAGCAGTGGCAGGGGGGGAGGTCCCCGTGCACGATCAGGGGGGCGTTCGGGGAGACCGTGGGTGAGGGGCGCAGCGGGAGGCCCGGGGGGGCCCGGCAGAGCCCCACGACGCGGGCGTTGAGGGCGTATAGGATGTGGGCGGGGGCCACGGCGCCCGGCGCGCAGTGCAGCGCCACGGAGGAGAGCGGCACCTGCGCGGAGGGGGCACGCGGAGAAGCGCGCAGATAAAGGTCCCCCGTGCAGCCTTCGGCAGGACGTTGGGGAGAGCGCTGTTAACGAGCACCGAACCCTAACCCACGACCACGCCCGACCGCCTCTGTCTATCCCCCGGGGCGATGTTTAAACATCGCACCAGGTACTCTCATTTGAGTCGACCTAGGTGAGGCCCAGGACCAGGTTAAGAAAATCGTCACTGGTGTTTGTGGCGATGAGCGTCAATCGGAACGCGGGCCGCCGTGTTCGTAGCGCAACGCACTAACCGCTGCACCAGACGAAGATCCCCCATATATTTGTACGCACGCACACACACACTACACGTGCAAGCACACACGCAGTGTTTGTGTGTGCGGGCACCTCGTAGGGAGGCAGCCGGTGAAGGGGCCACAGGGCCCTGGCTCCGGGCGGCTGCAGCTGGCTCAGGTAGGCCAACAGGGACAGCTCCCGCAGTACATTGCTGGGCACCGGCCTGCACTCGACACACACACACACACAGCTACAGACAAACATCCCCTGTGTAGCCCAATCGCAATGTCGGGGCAATGCTGTATAGAGAGCGCCTGTTAACGTCGGCACTTCGCACCTACGAGAGTTGGCGGGGTGGCGAGCACCGCACCCGGCCGCCTTTGTCTTCCCGGCCACGATATCATCACGCACTGGGCCAGCTGCTGCTCATTTAAGGCCGAGTCGGCTTGGGGGAGGGAGCCCAGCACCGTTTCATTGATCACGCGGAGCCACTGATGTTGGCCGTGCAAGCTGTGCCGTACCCCTCCTCTCTCACTTTGTGCACCGCGACAGGTTCAGAGTTGGCTACGTAGGATGCAAAAGAAGTCCAACAGACATCCATAAAGGTCAAAGGGTCAGCACTCACATGGCCCTGTATCCCTTGATGGAAGCAAAACTGTTGACGACTTCCAGCAGCTCGTGATCCTCCTCCTCCTCCTCCTCCTCATCCCGCTCCTCCTCATCCTCCTCGTCGTCGTCGCGATCGTGGCTGTCCTCCTCGGGCACCGTCTCCCAGCCGTGCAGGGCGCGCAGGGTGGCAGCCGTCAAGGGCTGGGCCTCGACACCGTTGGGGCTCATCTGCACGACGTGGCTTGGGCGCAGCATCCGGCACAGGTCCACGAGCAGTGCCAGCCCATTACCTAGGAGACGGGGGGGTTACCGTGTGGGGGTCGCGAGAGAGTTGGGAGAGACGTGTGAATGAGTGGGGCAGCAATAGTGTGCGAGTGTGTGAGAGTGATGGCGAGTGTGTGAGTGATGGCGAGTGTGTGAGAGATGGCGAGTGTGTGAGAGAGTGCAAATGAGTAACTGGTGCGGTGGTGTGTAAGCTTCAGCATTGGGAAGACAAAGGCGGCCGGGCGTGGTGCTGGCCACCCACCCCCACGTGCACCACTCTGGCCTTAATAGGCGCTCGCTAACATCAATCTTGCTACAACAGCCTGGTAAGGCTGCACGAGGGCTCATTGTCTTTGTGTGTGTGGACATCCGTGACCGGAGAAGAATCTGTGTGTTTACGCACCTGCACCTCATCGTACACTTCCCATACCCACCCCCTATCCAATCCCCCCTTACCCCCCCACCCAGCCCCCACCCCCCCTCTTCCTGCACCTTGCACCCATCCCATGGTGTTGACGATGAGCGGCGCGAGGCGTCGGGTGCCGCTTGCGAGGACGACGCTCCGGACCGAAGCGACATAGCGGCTGGGGTCCCGCTCGGGGCTCACGTCGCCGTAGAACACGCAGCTCGCCGCCTCGCGGGGGTGCCCAAACGGGGGGCCTTTGGGGGGCACAAGCGGTTGGGGGGGGCACGGAGAGAGGGGCACGACGAGGGGGGGACGGCCGCAGAAGTTGAGAAATTATTCCTGGAGTCTCAGTTCCTTGGCTTCACCATTGTGAGAGAAGTACAGCGTGAGTGTGTGTGTACACGTGTGTGTGTGCGCGTGTGTGTGTGTGCGCGTGTGTGTGTGTGTGCGCGTGTGTGTGTACACGTGTGTGTCCGGCAAAACAACCCCCTACCTCCTCGCGGTGCCGGACGGGCAACTCTGTCGTGGACAGCGCTGTGGGGGGAGATCCAATTTTGTTTGGCTCCTCCCCTCATGGCATATGTGTCCACCACAGGGGCTAAACGGGGGCTCTGGACGGGTGCGAGGAGCTGGTAACCCCTCCACCTTCAATTAATTACCACGAAACTACGAATTAAACTGAAATATGTAACAACTAAGCTTGTGCCGGAGGCCCCGGGGGGCCAGGCGTCTATGACGTCTCCTGGCCAAACCCCAATTGGCGGAGCCAGGAGATTGAATACCTACCCTCGGGGCTACTCCAGAAACAACGAAAAGCCACTACGGTTGGCCACGTGGAATGTTCGAACGCTCACTGCAGAGGAGAGGCTGCCACTCCTCTGTCGGGAGCTGGACCGGTACCGCCTGGATCTATGCGGCATTCAGGAGGTCCGGTGGACCGGCTCTGGCTCCTGCCACCATGAGGGGTGGACAGTCCTCTACTCGGGGCAGCAGACTGCCAAAGAACAGGGTGTGGGTCTTCTTTTGAACAAAAGAATGAAGGGGGCGTGGGAGCGTGGCGGTGAGGTGTGGGAAGCTGTAAGCCCCAGGCTACTTTGGGCTCGCCTTCCCATCAACCGGAGGCGAGGAATGGTGGTCGTGGTTACTTATGCCCCCACCGAAGATGAACATCCGTGGAGGGATGCAGGCAAAGCCGATGAGTCAGATGCCTTCTATGACCTCCTGTCACAGGTGCTGGCTAAAGTGGCCCCTCGGGATAGAGTCATCATGTTGGGTGACTTCAATGCCCGAGTTGGTCATGATACTGGCACCTGGTCTGGAGTGATTGGAGGGCATGGGCCAGATCAGCTCAATAACAACGGTAGGAGGCTGCTAGATTTTTGTGCAGCCCATGGGCTTGTAATTACCAACACGCTGTTCCGGCATCGGCGCATCCACACAACATCATGGATGCATGCCGGGTCCAAGCAAGAACATCTGCTGGACTACATAGTGACGGACCAGCGAATGCGAGCCCATGTCCTTGACACCAGGACCTACCGTGGAGCTGATCTGCCCTCTGACCATCGACTAGTCATCTGTAAGATGCGCCTGCCATTCTTCCACTCCGGTGGTGGGTGTACACCCAGGACCCCATTCCAACCTAAAGTGGCCTGGTCTCAGTTATCTGATTAAAGTTGCAAGCGAGAATTTCATCATCGCTTGCGGCTGGGATTGGCATCGTCCCCGACTCCTCCTGATGTCGAGGGTAAATGGGCGAGGTTTAGGACTGTGACTCATGCAGCTACAATGGCTGCTTTGGGTACGCGGTCCAGACCTCCCCAGACACCCTGGATGACAGAGGAGTTGTTCACGATGGTTGAGAAAAAGCGACAGGCCCACTGTCATCGGCTACAGAATCCCACGTCAGAGAATGAGGAGGCTTACCGCAGCCTTCGCTCGGAGGTTCGGAGAGCCGTGAGGCGCTGCAAGGATGGGTGGTGGTCGCGGGTTGCTGAGGAGATGGAGTCTGCCTCAGTGGCCCGTGATCACAAATCTCTATTTAACTCCATCAAAAAAGTAACCTGCAGCGCCACACCTATTACCATCATTAGGGGAAAAAACGGTGATCCAATTTCCGACCCCCAGGAACAGGTTCGCAGATTTGCTGAGCATTTCTGTGAGGTCCTGGGGGAGGGAAAATCCCTCAGCCAGGAAAACATCGTGGCACAAAGTGAGGATGACCCTGCTGAGGCTGCGGTGCCTCAAATATTGGATGAAGTCACCCCCTGTGAGTGGCTGGCTGAGGTGCCATCTGCTGAGGAAGTATTGAAGGCGATCCGGAGTCTGAGACCAGGAAAGGCAGCGGGCAGAGATGATCTCCCAAGCGAAATGCTGAGGGAGGGTGGCGTTTGTGCACAGACTGCCCTATATGACATCATAACAACAGTCTGGACCACTGGACGGGTTCCGCAGGATTGGAAGGATGCCCTGGTGGTCCCCCTTTTTAAGAAGGGGGACCGCACAGATTGTAACAACTACAGGGGCATCTCACTCCTCAGTGTGCCGGGAAAGGTCCTGGCAAGGATTATTCAGCATCGCCTTGCCAGGCACGCTGAGGAGAGGCTTGCAGAGCCCCAATGTGGTTTCAGGAAAGGGCGGTCCTGCACAGATGCCATATTTTCTGTCCGTCTGCTACAGCAGAGGTGTAGGGAATTCCAACAAGACCTACATCTCTGCTTTATTGACCTGGTCAAGGCCTATGATACCATCAGTAGGCCTGGGCTCTGGGTCGTTCTTCGTGCTTTTGGAGTACCTGACCCTCTGCTCACGATCATTAAGGACCTTCATGATGGTGAGCGGGCCCGGGTAAAACTACGTGGCCGGGAGTCAGAGCCATTCCCTGTACACCTTGGGGTGCGACAGGGATGTCCTCTGGCTCCCACATTATTTAACATCTATTTTGACCACGTAGTTCGTGAAGCCTTCAATAGCTGTACCGGGGGAATCTCCATATGGTACAGATATAATGGGAGGCTAATCGATGCCCGGGTGCGGTCAAGGGATGGCTCCCTATTGCTCAACCACGTTATGTATGCTGATGACTTGGTAATAGCTGCTCAGTCAGAGGAGGAGTTGGAGATGCTGCTGCTGAGACTGGAGCGTGCCACTAAGAGGTGGGGCCTTACCATCAGCCCCACCAAAACTAAGCACCTGCCTGGGTATTTTGTACCATCGGACACTCCACCCCCACAACTCCCAATCGGTGATGGGGCAGTTGTGGAGAGAGTGGAGAGTTTCCCATACCTGGGCAGTGTGCTTATGACTGGCTCCAGTTTAACAGCAGAGGTCTCACTCCGAATCAGTCGAGCGGCAATATCTTTTCATCGGTTGCGTAACGCTGTGTGGAAGCTACCTGGTCTGTCGCTCCGCACTAAGCTTCAGGTCTTCTCGGCCACGGTCATTCCCTCCCTTCTCTACGCTTGCGAAACGTGGACCCCCCTAATGGAACATCTTCGCCGGTTAGAAACATTTAGGCTGGCCTGCCTACGATCCATCCTGGGTTTAACCAGACTGGATTGTGTGAGGAGCTCACAAATCCTTGAAAGATCTGGGCAGGGTCCCATCGGTGAGCTCCTCCGGCAGGCAAGGCTGCGATGGCTGGGTCATGTAGCCCGCATGCCCAGCCACCGCATGCCGAAACAGCTTTTGTTTGGCCGGATTGAGGGGGCTAAGCGGGCGCGGCACGGGCTAGAGAAGAGATGGAGTGATGTGGTACAGGAAGACGTGGAGCTGAGTGGACTTGCCGATGACTGGTACCAGCGGTGTCAAGATCGGCCTCTGTGGAGGAGGCTCGTGAAGGATGCTACTGGGCAGTTGGAGGCAGTCGCCCTCCAACAACAACGGAGGGCGGAGGAGCGACGCTCACAACAGCGAGCGGAGCGCCGGGTGGCTAAAGCACAGCAGGTTGGCACAGTAGGGGGCACAGGTGGTGCATCAGCCAGTCATCTCAGTCAGTCGACCCGTGGCACCTGGGTCTGCCCCGTGACCTCCTGCCAGCGGGCGTTCGACACTTCACGTGGCCTCAGGGTGCACATAGCCTGGCACAAGCGTCGTGGTGACGTCACCGCCACTTAGTGGCGAATGGCGGTTGTTGTTGTTGTACACGTGTGTGTACACGTGTGTACACGTGTGTGTACACGTGTGTGTACACGTGTGTGTGTACACGTGTGTGCGCGTGTGTGTGTACGCGCGTGTGTGTGTACACGTGTGTGCGCGTGTGTGTGTACACGTGTGTGTGTGTACACGTGTGTGTGTGTACACGTGTGTGTGCACGTGTGTTTGTGGGGAGTGGTAGTGTAGTGGTTAGCGCGCTGCGCTACGAAACCGACAAGCCGAGTTCGATTCCCGCTCACGGTTCAATACCAGTGACAATTATCTGTACCGGTCCTTGGTCTCCCCTAGGTCGACTCAACCTCAAATGAGTCCTGGTGCGATGTGTAAACACTGCCACTGGGGAGACAAAGGCGGCCGGGCGTGGTGCTGGCCACCCATCCCCTCGGGTGCCGTGTCGGCTTTCATAGGTGATCGCTAACAGCGCTTGCCCCGAGAGTCTGTTAAGGCTACACAGAGGATCTTTAGTATTTTTTATGCGCGTGAAAGTGACATTTTGTGTGTATCAGCAGGTGAGCACCTCACCGGGTGAGCGAGACTCACCGAAGAGCGGCTGCGTGACATCGTGGAGAGATATGCAGCCGGGCGGAGTGAACTCCGTCTGCCCCACGTCGCACTCCAGGTACTGTACTCGTGACATACTGTACGCACACAAAGACAAAGATCCTCCGTGTAGCCTTTTAACAGACTGTCGGGACCAATGCGTCTCGTGAGCAACACCTGACAGTCAGCGTGGCACACCACTCCCGGCTGCCTTTGTATTCCCGGTGCTGAATTTTTTACACACCATGCCAATTACTAATTTTTAAGGCTGAGTCGACCTACGGGGAGGCTCAGGACCGGTTCATATATTCGCCACTCGTTGGTCGTGAGCGGGATTGGAACTTTGGTCGGCAGCACAATCTGATAACCGCTGCGCCACCGCTCCCCCAAACAGACAGACACGTGTTAACAAAGTTCCCCCATGTAGCCCACACAGGCTGATGGGCAAGTACTGTCACATTGATCCCCCCCCCCTCCACTCCCCATTCATCCCTCCCACCCCCTTGATCCCCCCCCCCACTCTCTACCATGATCGCCCCCTCCCCCCCTGTACCCCCCCCCACCCCCGACTCCCTCGCCGATCCCCCTTGATCCCCCGCCGTGGCTCTCACTGATTGAGGAGGGAGTTGAGGAGGAAGCGGTTGAACGTGGATTTCCCAGAGTTCCTCTTCCCGCACACGAGCACCACGGGGTAGTGCACCCCCTCTACTCACACACGTACACAAAAACAAAGACACCCCATATAGCCTGAATTGACTGTTGGGGCAAGCGCTGTTAGCGATTAGCACCTATGAAGGCTGGTGGCAACAGCACGGCACACGAGGGAGTGGGTGGCCAGCACCACGCCCGACCGCCTTTGTCTCCCTAGTGACAATGTTTACACACCGCACTAGGGACTCATTTGAGGCCGAGTCGACCTAGGGGAGGCCTAGGACTGGCTCAGATAATCGTCACTGTTGTTGGCCGTGAGCTGGATTTGAACTCGGGTCGCCGGGTTCGTGGCACACACACATGTTGTGATGGTGATGTTGTGATGGTGATGTTGTGATGGTGATGTTGTGATGGTGATGTTGTGATAGTAATGATATGGTGATGTACCCTCTCTGCAACACGCCGTGACGATGTGTGTCGATGGCGTGACTGTGATGTCGTGATAGCGACGGCGTGATGGTGACGGCGTGATGGTGACGGCATGATGGTGATGTTGTGATGGTGATGATATGGTAATGTACCCTCTCTGCGGCATGCAGTGACGATGGTGTCGATGGCGTGTCTGTAGCTCTCGGACACTGCGATCCCCTCTGTCTCCCCCACCTCCTCCACTCCAGCCGCGTGTAGGGGTCCCTGGCTCCTGTGGGGGTCCCCCTGTGCCCCACAAACAACCAGCACCGGCGTCATACAGGGGTGTGTACACAGAAAGTACACTGTACCGGCCTTAATAGATGCTCGCTAACAGCACCGTGTATTACTCCGCGTGATCCCATGCACGACCCCACGTGACCCTGTGTCTGACCCCAGCATGACCCCATGTAACCCCACGTGACCCCCTGTAGAAACCCCATGTAACAACGACGTGACCCCGCGTATGTCCACGTGTAACCCCACGTGACGCCATGCATGACCCCGTGCGACCCCACGTGTAACCCCACGTGACCCCACCGAGCTGGGGGAGAGAAGGCGCGGGGTGGGAGAGAACTCGGAGAGGAAGCGGACGAGCGGGGAGTGCAGCCGGCGCAGGACCAACACCGCTGACCCTGCGGTGACCCCGCTACCGCCACCACCACCACCAGCGCCACCATCGCCACCGCGCCGCCACCGCAATAACCGCTCCACCGCGCCTGTGTGGATTCACGGAGCACAGATGGGGTTAAGAGAAATGCATGGGGTAGCGGAGGAGCTCGAGTCAGTGTTAGGGTGAGGGGCTGATTTGAGCCAGGCCGAGTTGAGTGACCCGGAATAAGAGTGACACTCTGGTCAGGGATACACATGGCCGAGGGTGAGGGACAGGGTGAGGGGCTACATGATGTTAGGGTAGAGAGAGGGTGAGGGGCAGGGTGAGGGGCTACGTGATGTTAGGGTAGAGAGAGGGTGAGGGACAGGGTGAGGGTTACGGTGAGGGCTCGGGTGAGTGCTGCCCTGCTTTGAGAAATCAAGGCAAAAAGGACATAAGAGCGAGGGCACGGCAGGAAGTGAGTGGAGGTGGCAGCAGGAAGTGACACGCTGCGGGAACCAGGGCAGAGGACCGAGGCCTGGGCCGCACCGGCACTGAAGGAGGCGGCGGTGAGCGATTGGCGCAGCCGAGCCGTTCCATCCCCTTTCCCGTGGGGGTCCCCGTGGGGGTCCGGCAGGGCGCGCAGGGAGAGCGCGCGGTGCGTCCGTGGCGACAGGAGCTCCGTGGGCGCGTGGGATGGCGCCAGCTCGAACCCCAGCAGCTCCAGGCGGCCCCGCAGGCAGCGCAGCTCACAGCAGCCATGCAACGTCAGGGTCTGCGGTGACGGGGGGGGGGGGGGCAGAGGGGAACTCCCCCGGGAACCCGAAGAGGGACACAGGAGGGTTAGGGGCTGGGCGTGGAGCAAGAAGTTCCGATGACCTTTTTGCGTGATTCGCCAACCCTCTCACCTGACCGGGGTCCATCACCACGACAACGCGGTCTCCCTCTGCGAGGCGATACCCGCCGCTTTCCGGCTCCTCCACCTTCACCTCGTCCACCTCGTCTTCCTCCTCTTCCACCTCTTCATCATCATCATCCTCCTCCACATCTTCCGTATCGCCCACCTTGCCCAATTCTTCACGATCATCTGCCCTGTCTATCTCGTCATTCTCTTCCATTTCCTCCATCTCATCTACCTCTTCATGCCCCTCGTCCACCTCTTCATCTTCGCTGCTAATGCCGAATTTTTCGGCATCAGTCGATGTCCATTCCTCTGGCCCCGTTCCGGAGCCCGATTGCGGTTCCATCTCCTCTGCGGTGGTTCCCTCGCCTCCCGACTGTGGCTCTGAGTTCACGGGGTCATCACCATCATCATCACTGTTGACCCTTCTCCTGACCCACGTGCCGACCCCACGCGTCACCAATCTTCGTCGCACCAGGGTGACCCGGCGTCGATGCCGGGGGTCCTGTCGCAGGGGTCCCAGGGGTCGCAGCAGGGGTCGCCGCAAGGGTCGTCGCAGGCGGAAGGACCCCGACACCGCAAGCAGGCGCGGACGTCGTCGCTGACCTCCCTGCGCCATCGTGGGGATTGTGTCCAGGGGGTCACTCGGGGTGATGGAGGGGGTCAGGGTGGTGATCCTTTCCTGTCATTACAAGGGTATGGCAAGGAGGCAAAGTTAGGACGAGGGTTAGGGCTGGGGGTTAGGACGAGGGATAGGGCTGGGGGTGAGGACGAGGGTTAGGGCTGGGGGTTAGGACGAGGGTTCGGGTCAAGGATCGTATTAGTTGAAGAGGTTATAGTTCGTGTAAGGGCTGGTGTTGGGGCTCGTGCTGGTGATTGGGCTTGGCGATAGAGCTCGTGTCAGTGTTAGAGACAGCGGTTAGTACCAGGGCAAGTGTGGGCGCTGGTGCTAAGTGGCCAGTGTTAGCTGCAGTGGTGTTTGTGGTGGCGTTCATTCAATTCGTTCTCACCTCCGCTGCTGTTGCCCGCGCCTGATATCGCCTCGCTCCTCCTGCCCTGTCCTTAGCCTTGCCCCCCCCACCCCACACACTGCCCCGTGCACCCCACACACTCAAAGCTGCCCCGTGCGCCCACTCACAACTGCCCCGTCACCCAAACTCCGCAGTGCTGTGCAGTTTCTACCTTAAACACGTGGAGCCGTGGGGTCTCGCGTCCTCAGTCGCGGATTCGCGGGCTTCGATTCGCGCCTCCGGGCCTCCGCGGGCCGAGTTCGCGCTCCGCTGATTCGCGCGGCCGTGGCGATTCAATCGATTCGCTACACCGATTAATCGCTCTGCGAGGAGCGCGCGGAGAATAAATGGACACAGATTTCTTTCCGCTGTTACAATAATCGATTCGTGTTTCGCGACAGTCGAAACATTTAACAGAGAGACGCGGCCGTGTGACGATTCACGCGCGCGACACGCGATCCAGAGGCCGCCGATTAGGGGCCGTTCATAAATGACGTCACGCGACTTTGGACGATTTTTGACCCCCCCCCCCTCGTCACACGGCGTCACAAAAAGTCAGAACCCCCCCTCCTCAAATATGACGTCACAAAGCTCTGCCCCCCCCCAAAACCATATTTCTATTTTGAAAATAAAACATGCTTCACATCACTTTAAACTATTGTCATTGTAGTGCGTATTTCATGTGCCGCTGCACTCTGATGTTGCAGGAGAAAACATTTATTTAAAAGTATAATTAAGTAGAACGTGTCGTCTATATTTATTTAAAGTTGCGCATTTTGATGTGACGTCACATTTCTCAAACCCCCCCCCCCGTCACACATCGTCACGAATGTCTGACCCCCCCCCCCTTAGGTGCGTGACGTCATTTATGGACGGCCCCTTAACCGTGGATGACAGGTCCACCACAGTCGTGGTGGGGCAAAGTGTGGGTGACTCCCCCTCTCACGCATCTCCCCGTCTCTCTCACCACATCTATAATAGAGGTTTTTGGGTTATTATCGCGTAAATGTGTCGTTAAACCCGCCACCACCCGACACAGCCAACTAGTAAGGGTCGTCACGTAAACAGAACGTGGCCAATTCGTCACTAGTACAGCACTAGTGTATAGTGTAGTGTGTAGAGATGTATAGTGAAGTGTATAGCGTAGTAGTGTATAGTGTAGTATACTAGTACAGCACATCGGTGTGTTGGAGAGCCAAGCCACAACATTTACAAACTGAGTACGACGTTTCGCCAGTAATTACAACTAGCTTCATCAGGCGAAAGCCAGATTTGTGGAGAAGTCCACCTGTTTCGTTCCTTATATATAACTTCTCCACAAATCTGGCTGTCGCCTGATGAAGCTAGTTGTTGTAATTATTGGCGAAACGTCGTACTCGGTTTGTAAATGTTGTTGCTTGTCTCTCCAACACACAACCAGTGTGCTGTACTAGTGACGAAGTGGCCACGTTCTAATCTTTGGTTCTTTCGGTAAAGTCACGTAGAAATAGTGACTTTACTGAAAGAACCAAAGATTAATTATTGCAGTCACGAAAGCACCAAATCAAGTTTGGCCACGTTCTGTTTACGTGACAACCCTTACTAGTTGGCTGTGTCGGGTGGTGGCGGGTTTTAACGACACATTTATATATTTACGCGATCTAACCCAAAAACCTGTTTTATGGATATTGGTTGCGAAATCCTACGTGTTAAAACTCTCTCGCCACGCAGCGATTCGACGTTTCGTAGAAAACTGCGCCGGCCATCACAAGGACAGCATCAATTCGAGCTAAGAAGCTGTCTTAATTCAGCAGGTGAGCGAGGGAGCCTTGCTCTCTTACGGCCACTGCTCAGAATTGGATGCGCCGGGTGTTGAACTTCTTTCGCACCATACGTAGCCATCCATGCTAATCGGAGGTGCGGGGGAAAGACAACAAACCGAACATTGTACGTCGACCTTATTTCGCACCGTACGTAGCCAGCCGCGCTAATCGGAAGTGCGTGGGGGAAGGAAAACAAACTAAACACAAAAAAGCGGTTCTAAAGAAGTGAATTTTCAACGTAGAGTTGTGAGTTGACAATCGCTCACCCACCACCACCGCCGCCAAGCGAAGCTCAATGATCATTATAATAATCCGCGCGCCGTGAAACGCTCGCACGCCACGTGACGATTTAATTCGCTTGGCTGTGCCTGGCGGCGGCTCGCTCGTGGGGGCTGCTACGCCCCGAGGGGGTGGTGACGGGTAGTGGAGGGGGTCTCAAGACAAAATAAAAATTTAGTAGATTGCGTCGTCCTCGGCCAACAAAATGTTTTTTTCTTCTCACAAGTTGATACGTGGCCCCATCTTGGACACAGCGCTACTGGGACTCTTAGCATGAATGACGCTATAAAAAATGTTTACGTATCATGCCTTCATCTCATCTGACAGACTATTGTCATGTCTTAACTCACTGACGTGACTAATTAGGCGCTGATCAATTCGCAGCATGTTCAGAATGCATCTGATAGGGTGTTAACCAGAACACCACATATTAAACCAGTGTTGGCCTACCTGCACTGGCTTCCAGTTTCACATACCAGAGTTTAAAATCATATTAACTTACAAAGCAGTGAACCATGATGCTCCAGCCTACATCATTGACATGCTGCACCCATGTCCCCTCAAGGTCCCGGAGATGTGGGGATGCAGATCTTCTCTGCATTCCCAGGTCGAGGTTTCGGTCTGGGTGACCGAGATTTTTCCCGTGTAGCTGCCAAGCTATGGAACGCTCTTCCACGAGATATCAGAGGGATCGGTAGTCTGGACATTTTAAAAATGCGCCTTAAAACCTATTTATACGTTTCCGATTATTTCAATTTTAGTTAATTTCGTAAATTATTCTTAAAAATGTAATTCTATTTTTATGCAATGTCTGCTCCTGCTCTGTACAGCCCTTTGATGAAAAGCTACAAAAATGTTTTTGACTACAGCCACTAAGTCGATTACCCCTGTAGGACCCGCCCCTCTCCATGCCCCGCCCATTTACTCTCCCAAGCCCCGCCTTTTCTAGTTCCGCCCCTGCGTTCGGACACGGAGGGCTGCATGGTGAGCGGGGTTAGTAGAGGGTGGGCGGAGGCAACTGGGATAGTGGGCGTTGTCATTAGTGGTGGGCGTGGAGCAACTGAACGAACACCACCAGAACTGCCTCTCACCCTCACGCCTCTGGGAGCAGCATGCAGCAAGGGTTGGAGGTGAACCTTGATATCTGCTGCACGTGTGGAGCCGACAAAATCCACTCTCAACTCGGCCTTTGAGAAAACACAGCTTTATCTCAACCTCGCGACGTCGACACACGACTCCAGCGCCACAACAACCGCCACACACAAATACACGCGTCCCGTGCCCTCTTGACCCCCGTAATAACACTGCGCCCATTCGCCCCGGGGGCGTTGATTGGGGTTTCTCAAACTTCTGTGTTGCGAATTTTCGCAAACGTAGTTTTCCAGAGCAGACTCGTGCTCCAGGACATTTATTTAACATCCACTTATGATTGTGCAGTTGTTCAATTTAAAATACGACAGCCACACAGCAAACGCACAGTGATCTCCCCGTGTGTGGCCCGTGTCCCTCGTCCGCGCGACACCATGACCCCTCTTTTCCCCGTGTCCCACCCCCAGTGTCCCCTCCGTGTCCCCTCCGTCTCCCCTCCGTGTCACTCAGAGTGGCTGGATGATGAGCTTGCGCCTCGTGTCAACAGAGAAGAGGTTGTTCTTGAAGACGTCGCTATCATAGAACGCAGAGAGGCTGTGGATGCTGATTTGCCTCGCCTGTGGGGGGCAGAAAGGGGGAGGGGCGCAAAGGGGGGGCTCACAGGTTAGGTACTGCCACTTGGTAACCATGGTGACTCCGCTCATCCTCGCCACGGTAACATCGACATTGTTACACAGCTCATCCAATGTTACCCACATTGTAGTGGCATCATCATAGTCGGTACTCCGAAATAGCCCTGCTGAACATTACCAATGCGGAAATCATTCCCAACCTAAGCTGACGTTTCTGTCACCTAAACTTTACGATCAATGGATTTTGAAAGCAATTCGTCTGAGCTGACCTCCGTTATAGGAAAAGCACTTAAATAAAAGTCGATCAGGCCTGTTGTTTTCGGGCTGTCTCTGATTTGTTTTCCGTTTAATTTAGGCTCAGAATTGTTCTTTCTTTCTCCCATTAACAATCTGCAATGTATGACCCCGTGAACCCCATTAACTGGTGACCCGATGACCTTGAGAGCTCACCCGGTCGGCGAGGTCCTTCTCGGGCACCTCGACGCGATCGTGCCGGGTCCCGCTGCCACCACCGGCGACCCCGGTGGAGCCGTAGCGGCTGCGCTGGTAGCTCAGCTGCTCGGACACGAGCTGCTTTAGGATGAAGAGCAGCAGCTCATTGTTGTCTCGGCGGAACGACAGGTACCGTGAGAATGTCTGTGACGGATGCGCGGAGAACACACGCACGGGATACATAGGAAGCATGTAAACACGCTGTGACACATGGGAACAGGTGAGGAAGACAAGGGGAACATGCAGGGACATGAGAGGGGATACACAGGAATACGCGGGGGGGGGGACATACGTGGAGACACACGGCGGTTACAACAGGTGGACAAACACAAGGAGAGATGGACAGAGACAGGTGACCGGTCACAGCACTGCACCCATTCATCCCACCTGGACCCTACCCCTACCTGGACCCTGCCCCTATCTGGACTCCGCTCCCACCCTTACCCTGTTCCCACCGGACCCTACTCCCATGCCGTGGTCCCTCCTCCCACCCAGACCCTGCTCTCACGCGGTGGCCTCTGCTCCCACCTTGCGCATGCTGCGCATGATGCTGAACTTCTGCGTGTCGATGAAGCTGTCGAGCACGACGCGGATCGCCATGTTCACGTCCTCCTCCAGCACGAAGTCGCGCAGGTGCAGGCGCGCATGCGCCTCTGCCAGCCGGATCATCGACTCAATGTGCCTCACCGTGATGGGAATGCTACCTGTCGCCTGTAGACAGGGTGGGAAGGGGGTGCGAGGGGGCAGGGGGTTGTTTGTTGGTGAATGGTGGAGTGTCGGGTGCAGAAGCAGTTGAACAAATCAACGCGTGGGTCGCTGGACGGATCATCTGGTGTCTCGTCGATTTCTCTCCCCACCACCAGTCTCACCATGGACTCCTTGCGCAGTTCGCTGTACATGCGCGCCACCTTGTCCTGGTCCATCTGGTTCAGCTTGGGCCGCACCTTCTCCTTGCTGTAGGTCACGTACTTGCGCAGCAGCTCCTGCGGGATGGGCTCCACACCGTACGAGTTGGGCATTGGCGCCGGCCCGGCACCGGTGGCCTCCTCGCCGCGGCGCTCGGGCCCGCCGGGGTGGTGACGCACGTGGCTGGAAACCACGAAGCGCGCCAGCATCTCGTCCTGCATCCCCACACACACGCGCAGAGGTACCCCACGCGTGCGGACTCCGCTGTGAGTCAGAAGGCTGACGCGGCACACGAGGGGCAGTGGTGTGGCGAGTGCCACGGGCGGCCACATTCGTCTCCCCGGTGCCGAGCTTTAAAAGCCGCACTCACCTAAAGGCTGAGTCGAGGCCCAGGATCGGGTGCAGATATTCGCGATCACCGATGTCGGTGGCCGTGAGTGGGAATCGAACTTGGGTGACCGGCTTCGTAGTGCCGTGCTCACCACTGCACCACTGTTCCACCCCCCACCCCACCACTCACCTGCACGGGGTCAACGGTGTCGCGCACCACACACAGGATGTCGAAACGAGACAGGATGGGCTCCGTGAGGTCAACGTTCTCCGAAAAGGTCAGCGAGGGGTCGTAGCGCCCTCCTGCACACGCACCGCACACATACAGAGGGGGACAGCGCGACACGGGTGACACGGGTGTCACGCGACCCTAAAAGTCATAGGATGACAGTTGGTGAGGACGGGGTGAGGTGGAGAAGGAAAGAAAGAGGGGAGGGCAGGCGCTGTACCGATGGGGTTGGCAGCGGCGATGATGGTGCAGCGCGCCTGCAGCGAGGTGACGATGCCGGCCTTGCTGATTGAGATGCTCTGCTGCTCCATGGCCTCGTGGATACTCGTGCGGTCCTGATCTGTCATCTGCAAAGACAAAGATCACCCGCGTAGCCTTTAACAGACGGTTACATCCACTGTGATTGAAGCAGACGGCACCACCACTGGAGTATTAACCAGGGCACCCTGCTGGATTAAAACCGCGAAGCGACAAGCGGTTAAGCATGCCACTGCCGGATCGCATCAACCTCCCGTGCTTGTCACTGCCCGACTCTCCTCTCCCCCTCCACCTCCCCTTCTCCTCTCCCTCCCCCTCCGACGTCACTCACCTTATCGAACTCGTCAATGAGACACACTCCCCGGTCAGCCAGCACGAGAGCGCCGGCCTCCAGCGTCCACTCGCGGCTCACGGGGTTGCGCTGCACGTAGGCCGTGAGGCCCACGGCGGAGGCACCCTGGCCCGTGGTGAACACCACGCGGCTCGCGGCCTTCTCCACGAACTTGAGGAACTGGGACTTGGCGGTGCCTGGGTCCCCGCACAGCAGCACGTTGATGTCCCCACGCACCTTGTGCTTGCCGCCTGTCGGTAAGGGGTGGGGGGCGGTAGTCCGTGTTTTTGCGCCGATTTCTATTTGCCGCTTCGTCACTGTAACGTTGTTTTACGTTGATCGTTTTAGTGACGCGAAGCTCACTCGCTCATGCAAATGAGACTCCTCTATCCTGGTCTCTGGAATTCTCACTTGGTTTCACAATTGCACTTGACTTCTCTATCTTCTACTTCCCTTGTGCTGCTCCGCTTTGTAATTCCCTCCTCCATTAATCATGGTCTCTTTCCCCAGGCTCTTATGAGAATAATGATGTTGATCGAGCTCAATTCAAGAGACGTGTTTACGCTCAAGTCGAACTTTGACGATGCCAACCACGATTTAAAAGGTCGGGGGCTATGACGTGGGTCATGGGGGAGGGGTCACCTGGGTTCTTGGGTTCGCCCCCGAACATGGCGAGGGCGATGGCGCGCTTGATGTCCTCATGCCCGTAGATGGACGGCCCCACGCTGGCAAATACCTGCGCCATGCACAAACACACACTCGATGCCTGACACGCTTGTCCCCGTGTACATCTCATGTCTGTCCAACCCCCGACCCCTGCCTGCATGTCTCCACGTGTCCACTTACTTGCATCCACTCACCGTGGTCACATGTTCTCAATTATCCCTGTGTTTCTATGCAACTCCCCCCATGTCTCTTCCCCCGTGTCTCCCCCCGCCGCGCGGCTCACCCTCTCCGCGATCCTCTCGTCGCGGCTCAGCGCAATGATGGCCCGCACGTCCTCGTCCGTGAGCATCTCAGTGGCCACCTTGTCGTCGCGGCACGTGATGTGATTGGCGAGGATAACGGTGGCGAACACGGGGAAGCCATTAGACATGTTGAGTGCGCCGTCGTAGTTGTTGTGGTAGATTCCCGTCAGCTCCTGCGGTCGTGGCAACACAGGGTGAGGTCACCATCACCGACCACGGGAAAAGAGTTGGGGGGGGGGGTGGCCGCTATGTTGCCGAGCCATGTGGCGGTATTGCTTTGAAGACATCGCGCTGACATTATGTTGCCATTGGGACACTGTAATACTCCAATATTGCTGTGGTGATGAGACGATGCTGCGGTGTTGATATCGAGACATCGCAAGAACATTGCGCCGTTGCTAGGGTGACGGAAGACCCGACTTACGGAAATCCAACCTTACAGAAATGCTCTCATAAATAATGTAAAAAAATGTAAATATGAAGAAATGTTTGCGTTAGTTACGGAAGCGCAAAGTGCAGCGCGGCGAGGTTACAGATGAATACCACCAAAACGCCGCCTTCACCGAGCCCGAGCTTCACTAGAGTTAAGGTAAATAGATGATTTTGCAGCATCATGTAACGGTTTGTTCTCTATGCTTAGAACTCTTTTTTTTCCCCCATGTTTCTATTGCTAGTTTTCATTTTAAGTTTCTGAGTTATTTATTTTAACAACTTTATTTAACACAATTACACTTCGATTGCTTATGATCTCAGCCAACAGCGATTGGAGAAGTCTAGGCCTAGCCTAATGCACGGTAAACGAACATTTGGAAGTGAACACTTTCTGTTTAAAATTCATATTTAAACGTTTCGTGGTATTCATAAAAATTTGATGCAGTATATGTTCCATTAGTTTAATTATGGGTAGTTTCAGGGTAAATATTCAATCAAATGAAATAATTATAGGAAGTGCAGAGCGTATATTCAGCGATACAATATAGGTAGCGATAGAAACGGATGCGGTAGTGAGAAAAAATGAACTAGGACTGTAATTAGGTAGGGCAGACACAACGGCACGGTGCTCACGATATCGTCTCCCGGCTTGCAGCTGTCGACGAGGTCGGCAAGGAGAATGGCGTCCTTGGAGCGCGGGAGCCGCCCCGCGGCCACGCGGCCCGGGGACTCCTGCAGCGTGATTCGCTGGTAGTTCTGGTACACAGTCTACACGAAGACAAAGGTGCCCTTTGTAGCCTTAACACACATGATAGGTGTGTGTCTGCGCGTGTGTCAACACACGCGCAGACACACACACAAACGTCCACACGCGCAGAGACAGGCACACACGATACATGCATGCATACACGCAGACAAAAAACAAAGACCCCCAGATAGATTGTATGGGCTGTTGCGACAAGTGCTTTTAGTGAAGAGCACCTGTGAAGGCCAGCATGGCCCACAAAGTGGTGGTGGGTCAGCACCACGCCTCCCATGGCTGCATTTGTCTCCCCAGTGCTGATGCATTATATACACTGCACCAGGCATTCATTTAAGTCCACTCAATGTAGGGAAAGTTCAGGACCAGTTCAAACATTTGCCACTTATGTGGAAATTTAACTCGGGACGCCGGATTAATAGTGAGGGAAAAAAGTATTTGATCCCCTGCTGATTTTGTACGTTTGCCCACTAACAAAGAAATGATCAGTCTATAATTTTAATGGGAGGTTTATTTGAACAGTGAGACAGAACAACAACAAAATCCAGAAAAAAGCATGTCAAAAATGTTATAAATTGATTTGCATTTTAATGAGGGAAATAAGTATTTGACCCCCTCTCAATCAGAAAGATTTCTGGCTCCCAGGTGTCTTTTATACAGGTAACGAGCTGAGATCATGAGCACACTCTTAAAGGGAGTGTTCCTAATCTCAGCTTGTTACCTGTATAAAAGACACCTGTCCACAGAAGCAATCAATCAGATTCCAAACTCTCCACCATGGCCAAGACCAAAGAGCTCTCCAAGGATGTCAAAAACACACGGCCAAGGCAACAAAGGAGTGGCTCAAGAAGAAGCACATTAAGGTCCTGGAGTGGCCTAGCCAGTCTCCAGACCTTAATCCCATAGAAAATCTGTGGAGGCAGCTGAAGGTTCGAGTTGTCAAACGTCAGCCTCGAAACCTTTATGACTTGGAACAGATCTGCAAAGAGGAGTGGGACAAAATCCCTCCTGAGATGTGTGCAAACCTGGTGGCCAACTACAAGAAACGTCTGACCTCTGTGATTGCCAACAAGGGTTTTGCCACCAAGTACTAAGTCATATTTTGCAGAGGGGTCAAATACTTATTTCCCTCATTAAAATGCAAATCAATTCATAACATTTTTGACATGTGTTTTTCTGGATTTTGTTGTTGTTATTCTGTCTCTCACTGTTCAAATAAACCTACCATTAATATTATAGACTATCATTTCTTTGTCAGTGGGCAAACGTACAAAATCAGCAGGGGATCAAATACTTTTTTCCCTCACTGTATTGCAGTGCACTAACCGCAACGCCACACCTCACAGCTCTTCGAAAGTCTACCGACACACAGGACAGATTCCCAATATTGCCTTAACAGACTGCTGGGGCAAGTGCTCTTAGTGAGCACCTATGAAAGCTGGGACGGCACATGAGGGGGTGGGTGGCCAGCACCAAAGATAAAGATCCCCTGTATAGTCATAACCAACTGTAGGGGCAAGTGCTGTCACAGTACCACACAACACCACACACACTATTGGCTGGCATGGCCGACGTACCTGTTCCATGTTGATTTCAAAGGGCCCCAGGCTCTGACACTCAGGGCAGGAGCCTGGGCGCACCTCCTGGCTCTGGCTCTGGAGGAAGGGCCCCAGCACGAAGTTGCACTTGTGGCAGTTGTACTTGACCATGGACAGCTGGGGCAGCACGGCCGTGCAGGCCGTCACCACACCACTTGTGCGGATCAGCTGGTTCAGATGCAGCTGACTACGCAGGGCCCAAGGGCGCATGCACGTGTCAGGCGTACGCAGATTTCATACTCGATGCTAAATAGCCACCAGTGTCATAGTCACCGAGATAATAAACATGGCTGACAAAAATAACCACAACTACTCACCCATCGACCTACACTTAGTTTCCAAAAAAGACAAAGATCCCCTGTATAGCCTTAACATACTGTTGGGGCAAGTGCTGTTAGTGAGTAGCGTGGCACACAAGGGGGTGGGAGGCCAGCACCACACCCGGCCACCTTTGCCACCCTACCTATTGCTGATGTTTACACACCGCACCAGGTACTCATTTGCAGCTGAGTTGACCTAGGGCAAGCCCAGGAGGCTCAGATAATCGTTACCGGTGTTGGCCATGAGCGGCAATTGAACTCGGGTCGCCGAATTCATAGCGCAGTGCACTAACCATTACATTACCACACCATTACCACTCTCCTTACTCACAAAGGCAAAGATCCCCGTATTGTTTAAATAGACTGTTGGGGCAAGTGCTGTTCTCGTGAGCCACCACCTTACACACACGGACGCATGCGCACGCACGCGAGATCCCACTCACCGCAGGGAGCGCAGCTCCTCGACGAGTGGCAGCGAGGAGATGCGCACGTGGATCGCGGGAGCGATGCGGTCGTACTTAGGGAACATGGCGAGTACCACCTCCTTGGCCGCCTCGTCCATCACCCCGAGCATCTCGGCCGGTGCCTCGGGCAGGAAGTAGGCGAGCACGTGCTCACGTGCCGCCAGGTCCTCGTAGTTCACCACAAGGGACTCGCGATTTTCTGGGTGAGGGAGACACATGGGGAGCACGAAGGAGACACAATCAGGAGGATAATACCGGGAGGACATGGTGAGAGACATAGGGAGATACAAAAACTCAAGAGAGACTCAAGCAGACATGGGGAGACACGTGGTGACTAGAACACAAGCCGCGCGCTCCTGTGGCCACCGTGGTTGTGGTGGCCATGGCATGCGTGGCGTGCGGTGGTAGTGTGGTAGTCGTGTGCGTGTGGTGTTGTGGTGTGGTGTGCACAGCATGCCGCTCCCACCCTTGCACATGTCGGCGATGCGCTCCTTGAACACGTTGTGCCCATGTGCGTCCACGTGCGTGCGCAGGAAGTTCTTGAAGCGGTTGTGAATCTCGAGGCGTGGTGCCGCCATGGAGACCCACTCTCGCACCGACAGGCCCTTCATGTCCTCCAGGTTCTCGATGCTCTCAATCATCTGCAAAGACAAATATCCCCCGTATAACCTATTAAGGCCAGGACGGCACATGAGGGGGTGGGTGGCCAGCACTACATCCAGCCACCTTTGTCTCCCCAGTGCTGATGTTTTACACACCGCAAGTATTAATTTGAAGCCGAGTCGACTAAGGGGAAGCCCAGGACTGGTTCGAATATCCGCCACGGTTATTGGTCGTGAACGGGATTTGCACTCAGGTCGCTAGGTTTGTAGCACAGCGCGCTAACCACTGCGCCACCGCTCTCCACACACAACTGCCATTCGCCACTAAGTGGCGGTCACCACGGTGCTTGTGTCTGGTCGCGTGAAATGTCCAACTCTCTCCAGTAGGAGGTCACAGGACAGACCCAGGTGCCACAGGTTGATTGATTGAGAAGACCAACAGAGGCACCACCCCACACACCTCTTCATCATCATCCGCTCCCTCGGCTGCGAGCTCGCCCAGGCGCCGCTTCCGTGCTGGCTGCCCGTCCTCCTCGTCCATGTCTGTCGGGAGGGAGGAGGCAGCTCGTCATGACAGAGGGAGGGGTCGGCGTACGTGTTTTGTTGTATTGGAGAAGCACGTATGATACTGGCATGCCACACGAGGGAGTGGGCGGGTGCCCAGCACCACACCTTGCCGCCGACGTGTCCCGAATGGTGGTGTTTACGCATCACACCAAATACTCATTTGAGGTTTAGTCGGACCGAGAGGAGGCGCAGGACCGGTTTAAATAATCGTCACTGGTGTTGGCCGTAAGCGGGAAGTGAACGTGGATCGCGGGGTTCATAGCGCAGCATGCCAACCACTGTGCTACCCACTCCCCCGACACATGCCCGCACGGTCGCCCCTCTCACCGTAGAGCAGGCCCAGCCGTGTGCGTCCCGGAGCCGTCCGCCCCATCTGCTGGTCGCGGCGCTCCATCTCCTCCTCAGCCCGCGCCCGCGCGCCGGGTGACAGCTCCGCTTCGGACGGAATTTCGTTGTCATCGATGCCCTCGTGCTCATACATGTCCAGCTCCGGGATGGCACGGTAGTCTCTGTGAACGCACGCGGTTCGATTTGCTTACAGTGCCGCTCTGCGCGAAGGCCTCATCGCGGCCAACACCACACCTCCTCCTACATCGCCCACAAGCAAGCAAACGCTTCCTACCCCCTCCGCCAGATCCCGCAGATGCCCCGCGGACGACGATACGCCGGGACCTCCACGATCTGCCCTGCCCGTCTCCCACCACCCTCAGCTTTCTAGGATGTCTTCTGAAGTGTTTGTCAAGGGGATCTGGCTCCAGTAGCCTGTGAAGGATCACCGGGACGTCTCCTGTGCCTGTGTGGGAATGCAGGCCGTTGGGAGTTGACAAACTAAGGCCATCGCCCATCGCCTTGAGATGCCAGTTTCAACTGCCAGCGCAAAGGCGCACCTAATTGTCGACGGCTGTGGGTTTGGCTGTTCAGCCACCCACTAGAGCTGATGCCGTAAGAATCGTCTAGTTTGTTCATCACGTGACTTCTCATTATTTGGCCGTGCTGGGTGGAGAAGGGCGTACGACACATTGGTATCAACCCAAAAAAGCAATCATGGACCCTAACATCAGCCGCGAAGCCGACGTGTTAAACACAAAAACACCGTCACTTATTCCACATTCCCACACCGGGTCTGCGTCCGGCCATGGCGCCACACTCACGCTATCATGTTGTCTCCGATTAGCTCTTCTGCATCATCATCCTCCTCCTCCTCCTCCGGGCGGTCGCCCTCTGTGCCGAGCAGCCCATCAGACTCGTCCTCGAAGGGTGGGAGGTCGCGACCGGGGCTCGAGGTCAGGGCGTCCTGACCAGTCCTTCGCGCACCCCCACGACCTTCACCCTCCGACATTGGCTCCGAAGAATCCTGCAAGAGCAACGATTAATTATTCCAAACCACTCGTCCTCCAGTGATCAGGGGCGGAGCCGTGGCCACAATACACCCGTGGTGACCGACCAGGTGGGGAGGTATGGTCAAACAACAGGTCCCGCGATGCGCACACACGGCATGGTGAAAGGGGCTCGCTGCAATCAGAAGGTCGCGAGTTCACATCCTGATTTGAGGGGGGAGGCTGACACAGCCCATCATCCCTCGCTCCGTCCGGGTCGATAAAAAAGGTAACCACCTTGTGTGGGGAAGATAAACAGTGGTTGTCCTGTGGCGAGAGTTGGCAACTTGGTTAATACTGCGAGCCGCTATACTCTATAGGGATTTCAAATACCTTCTGTGGGCAACCGCTGTTTACCACTAAGTGGTGGTGACGTCACCACAGCGTTTGTGCCATGCTAGGTGCACTTTTCTCGACCAATGTCCATAATACAGGTTTTATGAGTTAGATCGCGTAAATGTGTCGTAAATGGTGTGACTTTGTTCTCCAACGCACCGGTGTGCTGTACTAGTAACGAATTGGCACGTTCTGTTTACGTGGCAAACCTTACGAATTGGCTGTCGGGTGGTGACGGGTTTAACGACGCAACATTTATATATTTACTCGACCTAACCCAAAAAAAAAACCTGAATTATAGGTGCACTTTGTGGACAACTACGACATTGACACACACACACTTGCGCGCGTCAGTGTAACGTCTGTCCCTGTCAGGAGGCTCTGGCGGTGACAGAGGCGACTCGGTGTTGCCATGTTAGAAAAAAAAAATATTTTCTTCAGTGCCCGATTGTGTCCCTTGTGTGGTCACTGCGGAGGTTACGATATGAAGTCGCGGGCCGCAGATTCCCCACTTTTGCCCACTGTGAACCTCTCCCCACCCCCCCTCTCCTCACGTTACCCCGGGGGCCCTAACCCCGTGGAGGGCCTGGCCATTGTCAACCTCGCCTGCCTTACACAACAACGGCGAGGGAGGGGTTGGCGGTTCACCCAGTGATAGCGCAGTCGGGCGTCGGTCGCCTCACTTGTAGCGCTGTACAGCTTAGCAGGTTGCTGATCAATCCGTACGTGCGATTGTACCAAACGCAACAAGAGGCACTTCGCTGTTAAAAGTTATCAGTCCCGTCCGGCATGGACGGAAAACCCCCCATACCCCACTGTCTAGCGTGTAGCTTAGACCGCTCCTCAGGAAGGGGTATAGGGACTTATCGACCACGAGATACAATAATAATCATCATCGCAGCACGGAGCACGAGAACTCACCGCCATTGCGATGGGAGGCGCAGCAGTTCAGAGTCGCGGCAGGTGAAGCAAAAGGATCTCCCCGTCACCTCGACCCGTGAGCACGGTTTCCCGCCAAATTTGCACCACGTGACGACCAAAAAAGCGCGCGAAACGTAATGAATATTAACTAGGTAAAGGGCACGTGACGGAGAGGGCGCGCTGCCCCATTGGTTGACGAGTCCGCGGGGACCGGAGTACTTGACGCGGCCGACGGTGTCACCTCCCCCCGCCCCCATGCCCCCCCCCGCCCCCAGCCAAACCGGAAACGGAAACGGGGACTCTCGCCCCTCCCATCGAAACGGAAGTTTACTGCGAGAAGTGGGCGCGAGAGAGGTATCCGGACACGGGGCTGCCCCGGGCCCTGCCCTTCTCGCTACCCTCTGCCCCCTCTCTCGACCAATTGCCCTTCTCTACACCACTGCTCTTCTCTCTACACCACTGCTCTGCTCTCTACCCACTGCAATTCGCTTTACATCTGCCTCTTCTCTCTACCCACTGCCCCTCTCTCTACCCCCTGCACCTCTCTGTACCCCCTGCCCCTCTCTGTACCCCCTGCCCTTCTCTCTATCAGCCCCCCACGGGCCCTGATCCCCGCTCGGCCCCCTCCCCCCCTTCAAACTCCCTCAGGTCCCCTCGCCCCCCCCCCCTCCCCTCCATGGCGGGGTTTCTGGATAACGTGACGACCCCGGGCCCGGGGACTCGGACCCCTGGGGTCCCCACGGTCCCCACGACCCCCGGCAACATCTCCGAGCCGCACTCGTGTCTCTACATCCTGTACGAGGACATCGGGGAGTCCAGGTGAGGGGGAGCAGGGGGGGGGGGGGAAGTCCAGGTGAGGGGGAGCGGGGGGAGGGGAAGTCCAGGTGAGGGGGAGCGGGGGGAGGCACGGTGATGGAGGTGCCAATGGTGTTGATGGAGTTGATGGTGCTGACAAGTGTTGTAGTGGTGGCATAACAACACAATCAACATCACAGGGAGAGAGCGACACGTGGGGGAGACCTACCACAGAGACCAACAATATGACCACCTCATAGCTGTCAACCCAGAGGGTTTACCCGTATTCTTGTACAGGCAAATTGAGTTTTCAGGTCCATACGGCGTACAGCCGTTTCAATACGGGCAAAAAATGTGTTTTGCTCTTTGTTCGTGTTTCTCCCCTTGTGATGAGACTTTGTAGAATGAACGTTGAGATTTATAAGGTACACGGGGTGACCAACAAGGTTTGAATTGGTTTAACACGTAGGCTTTCGCGACCAATATTATTCATAATAAAGGTTTTTGGGTTAGATCGCGTTTATTTATAAATGTGTCGTAACCCTCCACCACCCGACACGGCCAATCAGCAAAAAAAGTGTCACGTTGACAAAAGACAAATAATTCACTACTTCAGCCCACCGGTGTGTTGAAGAGTTAATCCACATTTACAGTTTGAGTACGACGTTTCGCTGGTAAATACTTCCAGCATCATCGGGCAATTCGCCAGAATGGTAAAGCCCTCGCTTGCTCCCAGTTTTATATAAGGTTTGAATTGGCCTGTAATAAGCTAGGCAGGACTGATATGGGTTGACAGGTATGTGAGGTTGCATGTTTACCCAATACCCAGAGGGCCTCACTTAGAAGTCCCACGACTTCGTCACGAGGGTCCTGCCAAGGTCTCGCAGTCGGGGCCGATAACCGCTGGGACTACTGTGTGTGTTTGACCCTAATTGAGTAATTTGTGGTTTAATTTTACAATTTTAGTCAATTTGGACCATGACGCTAGCACATAATGGTCTACGCTTGCAAATTACGCCACGGGTTCTTTGATGTCCACCGTGCGTGAAGCAGACGGCGCTAGTATTTTTATGATTCATATGCACACCGCAGTATTATCCAGGGAGGCCGCTAGATACAAACCGTGAACCTCTGCAACTGGCGGCGAGCACGCTATTATCGCTCCGCGTCACCGCCCCAATGATGTTGCTGACGATGTTGTTGCTGCTGCTGATGATGTTGTTGCTGCTGATGATTTTTGCTGTCGTTGGTGTTGCTGATGATGTTGCTAATGATGATGACGTTGCTGCGTGTGTGTGCTCAGGGTGCGAGTTTGGGATGTCATCCTTCTCATCCCCAACGCTCTCTTCTTCCTCTTCCTCACGTGGAAGTTCCGCAGCGTGCAGCTCAAGCTCCGCGCCAGCGCCAGCCCCATCTTCACCACCTTCTACCTGCTGGTGCGCAGCTACACGTGGCCGCTATCGCCACGTTGCGCCACTTGCAGGGCGAGCGTTGCAGTGTTTTGCGATGACATCCGATACCGACCTCGATTTCTGGCGCCGCGGGGTCAGAAGACGCAAAATACATTTGGAAATCTCACACAGATCGGCCTGCAGCGGAAGCGGATATCACAGAGCTACCTCTGAGATTCCTTCTGCAAGTCACCGCTGGTCGACACTTCTCCTCTCACACTGCCGTATGAGATTAATGCTCGTCACGTGATGGTTAAACCAATATTTTTAATTCTCATTGCTGGAATTTGGCCAAATTCATAGCAGAACCAAATTTAATGTGATCAGTGTTATTGTGTGCAGTCATTGGAGACCATTCACTCAGTGCACTTGAGAACTGGGTTTAATCACAACTTAGTTTATGTAAGTCTCTGGGTCTCTCTATGGAAGTCTATGAGTCTCTGTGTCAGTCTACCCCATGTGAATCGATTGGCGGTAGCCCGGGTCACCGCAAAATATTGGTGGGCCGGGCATAGTTTAAGGTTTTTTTTCTGGGAGCATCGCTGGCACTACCCTGTCCTGCCGGAGGGCGACGCTGGGAGCGATGATGACGACGATGTCGATCCCGCCAGCAACGACCATGACCGCCGGCCATTCCAAGAGAGCGCCTGGTGCGCCATTGCCTCCCAAGTGGTCTCGCTCCCAAAGACAAGGGGGTGGCCGCCCCCGTAAGAAGCAGAACGTGCTGGGGAATGACCAGACCAGCATCCTGATGTACTTTCAAAACAAGCAATAAACAGCCGTTGCCATGCACAAATCCCCAGCAGCCCCCCTTTTTTATGGGTGTTTTGCGTGTGTTTTTTTATTTCCATATTTGGCGTGCGTATCAGGCTCAGTGACATCTCCCGTCTTCATAGGCCTTCTGGTTTCGGAGTTATGGAGGTTTTGGCACCCCCGGGTCACGATGGTGACCCGGGTCACCGCCAATCGATTCATGTGTTGCTCTTGCCCCATGTTTCTCCCCATGTATCCGTGTCGCTCTCTTTCTGTGTGTCTTTTGCCATGCGTCTCTCTCCCCATGTGTTTCTTTCCCCATGTGTCTCTATCCCCATCTGTCTCTATCTACGTGTGTATTTCTCGCCAGTGTTTTTCTCCCCATGTGTTTCTATCCCCGTGTGTGTCTCTCTCCATGTCTCTCTCTCCCCATGTCTCTCTCCCCATGTGTCTCTCTCCCCGTGTCTCCCCAGGTGCTGCTCGTCGCTGTGGTTGGCATCGTCAGGGCGATCGTCTCAATGACCGTGAGCACCTCCACCAGCGCCACCGTGGCCGACAAGGTTGGTGCAGCCACAACCACCACACAACAATCACAAGCACCACAACACCTACCACGACCAACAACAATGCAACCAGAATCTACACAACGACCACAATCTTAGAATCAGAATATTTATTTATACTGGAGGAATCCGATGAGCTATAAAGCTCTTTTTCACAGATGTCAACAAAAAAACAACTACCACAACAACAAACTCAATTACAACAATCTCCATGTACACGAACGCAACAAAAACCACAATAAACATGACCACAACGACCACCGCCCCCCCCTGCCCCCCCCCGCCCTGGGGTTGCTAGTGGTGGTGATAATTATGGTAATGGTTATGGTGGTTTTAATGGTGGTGGTAATGGTGAGGGTTGTGGTGATGATGGTGCCACGGTGGTTAGTGGTTGTGATGCTGATGGTGGTAGTGGTCATGGTGGTGGTAATGATTGTGATGGTGCAATGATTGATGGTGATAGCTGTGGTGATCGTTATGGTTGTGATCGTTGTGGTCGTGTTGGTTGTTGCGCTGCAGATCCTGTGGGAGATCTCACGATTCTTCCTCCTCGCTACGGAGCTCAGCGTCGTCATCTTCGGCCTTGCGTTTGGTGGGGCCCGATGCCCAGCACAGCACTACCACTACCACCACCAAACAGCATGGGCACTGACCATTACTGATTGTGATGATGTTGATGTGGTGCTAATGCTGCTGATGATGATGCTGTGTGTGCTCAGGCCACCTTGACAGCAGGGCCAGCGTGAAGCGAGTTCTGGCCACAACCACCGTACTTGCCCTTGTGTACTCACTAACACAGGTACACTCACACTCACTCTCACACAGGTACACTCACACTCTCACGCAGGTACACTCACTCTCACACAGGCACTCACACTCACTCCCACACAGGTACACTCTCACGCAGGTACACTCACTCTCTCACTCTCACACAGGCACTCACACTCACTCCCACACAGGTACACTCACACTCTCACGCAGGTACTCACACAGGTACACTCACACTCTCACGCAGGTACACTCACTCTCTCTCTCACACACAGGCACTCACACTCTCACACAGGTACACTCACTTGGGCACAGATACTCAATCTCACACTCTCACACAGGTACACTCACTCAGACACAGGTACACACTCCTGCACTCACGCTCCCAATCGCATAGGTACAATTTACAATCGCTATCACACTTGCTCATACACCCACTTACTGACATCCACACTCGCCCACATTCTCACACTCTCACCCTCGCCCGCTCACTCACATTCTCGTTCGCATGCTCACTCACACTCACCACAATGTTGCGATGAAGTGATGCTCCACTCTGATGAACATTACTACTCTTCAGCCGATGAAGTTGTGACGATTACGGTGAAGTTGTGATGACAAGATTGTGACAATGATGATGATGGGGTTGCACCTCTCCCAGGGTGCCCTCGAGATCCTCTACCCGGACGGACATTACTACCTCTCGGCCGAGGACTTCAACATCTACGGACACGGGGGTCGGCACTTCTGGCTCGCCAGCTCCTGCTTCTTCTTCCTGGTAGCGCCACGGGGTGTGGGGGGCCGGAGAGACATGCGCAACGGGAGGGGGGGGGGGTGTTGGCGAACTATTGACCGTGGACGGCGTTCCGTGTTCCGCAAGTAACAGGGTTTCGACGTTCAGTGTCTCCTCAGCCGAGTCGGGCTCACTTGAACCAGTACTGGAGAAGTGCTGGATGTTTATGGGCAAGGACCTCTCTCTCCGTTCGATGCGGGTCCCGGTTCGATGTTCGACGCAGATCACTGTGGAGAACTTAGGCAGACTATTCACCTCGTTCCCTTATCTGTCCTTCTACAAGAAAAAAACATGTTTTGTTCACATCCCATCAGCCACATGGCCTCCTGGGAATGCATCATCCCAGCAGCATTGGTCCAACACAAGCAACACTGTGGGCCTGCTGTGGATGAGATGCTGCACAGGTGGCTGAATCTGCTCATGATGAGACACTGAAACCTGTCCAGATGGCTGGTGACGAGTCACTGCCGCTAGAGGGCGCGATCGCACCACTCCACCAAGTGCAGTCCCCACCCCTCATATTCCCATATTCCACATTCCTATGGCGGGGGCGAGTTCCTTCATAGAACAAAACCACTGATGACCTCCCCCCCCGCCACAAACTGATACTCATTGTATCGACCCGGGGGGGGGGGGGAGGGAGGTAAAGAGGGATGATGGGGCTGAGTCAACACACACTGCCCCCCCACCCATCCAACCAGGATGTGAACTTGCGAGCATCCAATCGCTGCGAGCCGCCCACCCAGGTGGCCCTCTCGCAATCCACTGCTGGAATATCGCCGGCCCATGTCACGTGCACATTGCAGGAGATGTTGCTTGGCCATGCTTCTCCATGCTGGTCAGCGCGTGCATATACGCTCGCACAATGACAAAGGTTCCCTGTGTAGCCCAGGTGGCCTGTCGGGGCAAGTGCTGTTAGCAAGTGCCTCTGATGTCTGGCACAGTACACAAGGGAGGTGGTGTGGCCAGCACCACGCCCTGTCACCTTTGTCTATGCCAGTGGTGATGATTTACACACACCACCCAGGTCCTCCTTTTGGGATCAGTCGACCTTAAGATGCTGCCTGCCAACTGATGTTAGTCGTGGTGTATAGACGTGTGTGTGTGTGCTGTGTTTCGTAGTGGGGAACGGTGACGCAGCGGTTATCGCACTGAGCTACAGACACGGTGCCCCGAGTTCGATTCCTCCTCACGGCCAACACCGGTGACGGATACCTGAACTGGCTTTGGGCCTCCACTCGTTCTTGAATGAGTACCCAGTGTGCGGTGTGTAAACATCAGCGCTGGAGAGACAAATGCACCCGGGGCGTGGTGTCGGCCGTGCTCGCCTTCAAGGATGATATCCGCGAACCGCACTTGGCCCCAAAATTCTATTACAGGCTATACGGGGGATCTTTGTCTTTTGCTGTGTCTTGTAGATCTACTCGGTCATCGTGATTCTGCCGAGGACTCCAATCCGACACAAGATCTCTCTCCCATGTGAGTCTCCGCGCCCCTCGTGCTGAGTGCTATACATAGCAGGAGCAGCAGCTCTGCAGTTCTCCATATATTGAAAAAGTTTTCAGCCTAATATTTATGGGCGAAATGTTCACTTTATCCCATACAGGTGGAATAGATGGAGATTTGTCCACGTTTTTTTTTTCTGTACCGCCTTTAACCGGCATACCAGAGCGTGTTCATGTGTCGTGTTTGGGTACATGTGTGCGTGTGCGTCCATGTGTGTGTCCGTGCGTGAATATATTGGTTTGTGTGCCTTGGGCTCTGCGTTTTCCGCGTGTGCGTGTGTGTGGATGTCTGTCCGTATACGCGTGTGTGCTTGTGACACTGTCTGCTTGCGTGCATCTGTGCTTACGCACGCTTGCGCGCGTGTTCACTCTGCACGTGTGTGTGCGTGCGTGTAGATTGCACACGTGTTTACATTGGGTCTAAAGAAACCGGGTCAGGGGCCGTCACGGGATTGGAGAGAGGGGGAGCACAGTGACTGATTGACAAATGCAACAGGGACTCACTTCTCACTGCTGTGTCGGGGCGGTCAGCTGTTAGCGGTTGGCGTGGGTGGGGGAGGCACAGTTAGAGCGCCCAGTCTGGGTGTCGGGGTCAAAGGTCCAGATCGCAGCATTCTCCCTGAAAAGGTCGGGTGTGTATACCATGCGTGTATACCGCGGGCACCGCGCGTGTGCGCGTACTGTGTGTGCGTACTGTATATGTGTACTGTGTATGTGCGTACCGTGTGTGTGTAATGTATGTGTGTATTGCGTATGGGCGTACCGTGTGTGTGCTCCGTGTGTGTACCTTATGTGTGTACTATGTGGGTGCCCCGCGTGTGTGCATACCGCGTGTGCGCATACCGCGTGTGCGCATACCGCCTTGTGTGTAGCGAGGCAGAGCTTCTACTGGTACTCCGCATTCCTGTCGGTGCTCAACCTCGTGCAGGGGGTGGGGAGCGCCCTGCTGGTGGCCAACGTCACTGCGGGGCTGTGGTAACCGCACCGCACCCTCACCGCACTGCCAACCACACACCTCCGCTAACCACACCGCCATCCACGCCGGCCGCTATACCACACCATCAACCACATAGCCAACCACGCCACAAGCCACTAATAGCCGTGGTGTGTGCGTGCGCGCTGTGGGGAGCGGTAATGCAGAGGTTAGCGCTGCACTGTGCTACGAACCCGGCGATCCAAGTTCGATTCCCGCTCGCAGCCAACAATCGGTAACGATTATCTTAACCGGTACTGGGCCTCCCCTAAGTCGGCTCGGCCTTCATTGAGTACCCGGTGCGGTGGGTAAACATCAGCACGGGGGAAACAAAGGCGGCCGGGCGTGGTGCTGGCCACCTAATCTGTCATATGCTGTGCCAGCCTTCATAGATGCTCGCTAACAGCACTTGCTCCAACAGTCTGTTAAAGGCTATTGTGGGGATCTATGTCTTTGTGTGTTTTTGTCCCAGCCTGGTGGACGTCACCACCTTCCTCTACTTCACCGCGTTTGCGCCGCTGCTGTACCTCACCTTCCTGCGCGGGGTTTTTGGGTCAGTGCTGCCCCCAGCCCCCGTATTCCTCCCCGAGACTCCTTCCACCCCCACAATGTCTCCCTTCCCCCGTGTGTCTCCTTCCCTGTGGCTACCCCCCCCCCCCCCGTGTGTCTTGTGTCTGCCTTCCTGTGTCTCCCTCCCATCTCATTCCCCTGTGGTGCCACCCCTCCTAAATTTCCCCGTCTCCTTTCCCGGTCTCCCCTCCCCCCCCACCTCTCCGTTCATGGAGAGCCTGCTGCTGTTGCTGCTCATGCTGTTGGTGCTGCTGTTGCTGCTCATGCTGTTGGTGCTGCTGCTGCTCTTATTGTTGCTGCTGCTGTTGTAGATGATGCTGTTGCTGCTCCTGCTGTTGCTGCTGCTGCTGCTGTTGCTGCTCCTGCTGTTGCTGCTGCTTTTGCTGCTGCTGTTGCTGCTGTTGCTGCCGCTGCTGTTGCTGCTCCTGCTACATCGTAGGTCACTCGGCGTTTACAGCGCATGTGTGCCCGCAAACAGCACTTGTCCCAGCAGCCCCGTGTGGGGCATGCGGGGGCGCCTCCGGCTCGTGCGTGCACGTGAGCGCTGTCCCTCCGCTCCCTCCCGCAGCGCGGAGCCCACGATCCTCTTCTCCTACAAGTCCCAGGTGGACGACGGGGACGATGCCGACCTCACGCTCCCGCAGACCGTTGTCCGCGGCGACCAGGGCGGCGCCCGTAACTACGACAACACCGCGCTGGACGGCGGTGCGGGGGGCGGAGGTGGGGAGTCTGTGTTCCTGGACGACGCGTTGGGGGCGGTCGGCCTCCCTCCTACTGGCAGCATCAACAGCGGGGAGCAGTGGCGCGTTCAGTTTGACTCCTAGGGGCGCACGCGTGCTCGCCTGTGTACAGTCGCGCGTGTACACGTGAGTAGACACGCGTGCGTGCGTATGTATGTGGGGAGCGGTAGCGCAGCGGTTAGCGCGCTGCGCTAGAAACCCAGCAAAGACCCGAGTCCGATTTCCACTCACCGCCTACACCGGTGACGAATATCTGAACCATTCCCGGGCCTCCCCGAGGTCGACTCAGCTCTAAATGAGTACCCAATGTGATGTGTAATTAACATCATCACTGGGGAGACAAAGGCAGCCGGGCGTGGTGCTGGCCACCCACCCCTTCGTGTGCCGTGCTGACCTTCAGTGGTGCTCGCAAACATCACTTGCCCCTACAGCCTCTTAAGGCTACATGAGACACGTTTGTCTTCGTGTACATGGACAAGCCCTTGACATGTGGTAGACAGCTGCAGACACACCCTGCCTGATGCGGCCCAGACTACAAGCGGATTTGACAGCTCCTGTTTGGGTGGCGGAGCAGGAAGAGGAGGAGGACACGATCCTTGTTGACGACGCGGAGAGTTGGCGTCAAGTCTGGGAGAGGAGGAGGAGGTGGTTTGACCCCACCCGGTCAGAGATGCGAGATGACCGCAAGTGTCTCCCGTGCCCCCCCTCTCCCCCCGCTCCCCTTACCCGCCCAGCACAAACATTCCTACTTACATTCCCGGCGTGCCCCCCTCCCCGCGTTCACCAGCCTCCCGCTTCTCCCACGAGGTTGGCGCACCCCAACCCGAGTCTCCCACTCCTCCATGCCTCGCCCACCCAACTCCCCCTGTGTCTCCCGCCACAGCTGTTGTGTTGCTCAGCACCCACCCCCCCCCCCCACCTTTACCCCCCACATCCACTACCTCCCGTCCCCCCCCCTGTCCCCCCATGCCCAATGGCTGTAATCATAGCCCATGTGAATTTCTCATTCAATTGAATGTTATTGCGACCGCGCGTGCGACCAACGTGTGCGACCAACGCGTGCGCGATGCGTGACGTGCGTGGAGGAGTGTGCGCGGTGGCGGGTGGGGGTGGGGGCATGAGCCACGTGCTGCCTCTCCACGGCCGGACAGTGGTGGCGGCGGCAGCGACGGTGGCGGCGGCGGCAACGGCGTTGTCACCGCGGTTTTACATTTTAACGGAGCATTTGGCGGCGTGACACGGCGTGACGGGGCCCTGTGTCGGTGCCACCGCTTATGTCGCCGCCACGTTGCCCGCTCGACCCCGAGCCGCGACCCGGAGTCGAACTTTCACATTGAGTTGCACTTTTAAAGACGAATTCTGTATTAAACTGAAAACTGCAAATGCCTATAACAGCACACCGCGCCTGTTTGTGTGCGTGTATGCATGTATGTCTCGTGTAGGGAGTGGTGGCGCTGTGGTTAGCGCACTGCGCTATGAACCCCGCTCACGGCCAACGTCGGCGACAGTAAATATCTGAACAGATCCTGGGCCTCCCCTAGGTCGACCTAGTCTCAAATAAGTTTACCTGGTGCAGTATATAAAACATCGGGACTGGGGAGACAAAGGTGGGCAGGTGTTCTGGCCACACCACACCCTCTCGTGCGACGTGCCGGCTTTTTCATAGGCGCTCGCTAACAGCACTTGCCCCTGCATGCTGCGTAGGCTACTCGGAAGCCTTTGGTTTTGCGTTTATTCATCTTAAACGTTCACCAGCTAAATCCCTTGAGATGGAGCACGCGGTTTGCAAGTCTGACCAGGTGTCAACCGGCACAGGTGACCTGGCACATATGACACCTGCCGGGAGTGACGTATAAAGGACACCGCGCCGCGGTTAATTGCGTGCGCCATGGGGCTCGTGATGGGGGACCGGTACCACCCCCCCCCCATTCCGCCGTGCCCCCCCCCATTCCGCCGTGCCCCCCCCGTGTGCCCCCGGGCACGCCCCTGCTGCCCCGTGTCGCGCCTGCCGCAGTGGCGTAATCTCCGCAGACGATCCGCCCGCTCCTCCACACTCCTGCGCCTCCATGTGGTGGACAACCCAACCACATGTTCGCTTGACTCATACCATCACGCCAGTGCGTCGTTTCGGCAGCGCTGTGTTCGGGGTAGGTGAACAGTCGGGCGCGGTGCTGGCCACCCACCCACCCACTTCGTGTACCCTGCCAGCCTTCGTAGGTGCTCGCGAACAGCACTTGCCCCAAAAGTATGTTAAGGCCGTACAGGGGTGATGGATCTTCGTCATTTGCTATCGACGGTGGTGGTGATGCGGTGGGGGGCTAGTCGGCCATTTCGAGCCCCCACAGGGGGGCGCTATCCCCCTTCCCAATTCTCATCGCGGGCCCCCTGCGAACCCCCTGGGCGACGGGGTCTCGCCCATTGCGCGGACGATTCAGGGGGAGGGGGACGTGGTCGTGATGGTAGCGATGTGATGATAATGGTGATGTTGGTGTGTGATTATATAATGGTGGGAATGGCAGTTGATGTTTGTGTGATTATATGATGACGGTGGTGACGATGTGACGGTAGTGTATAATATGATGGTGGTTGTAATAGGATGGTGGTGGTGATGTTGGTGTGATTACCGGTATATGACAATGGTGATGATGTGGAGACGGTGGTCATGGTCACGGGTAGGGAGGGGAGGGCCCCCCAATCTGCAGGACCCAAATTAAACCCCCACCCCTGCTCCTCCATCTCCTCACTCGAACTGTGTCATGGAATTCTAGGTCCGGTGACCCCCCCCCCCCACACACATTTTCAATAGGGACCCCCAAATTAAACACCCGATGCGGCTCCATCAATCTCCCCCCCCCCCTCCACTATTGACCCTCCGGCACTTATAACTGTCTCCCCATTTATCTCCGCCAGGTTGCCGGGCCAATTAACGCGTAATTATCGGGGCGTGAGAGTGCGAATGGAGCCCATTAGGGTGGTGGCGCAGCGGTTAGCGCGGAACTGCCGCTCAGATCCCTGCCTCACGGCCATCTGAATCGGTCACGCCAACAGCGAGCCTTGGACACGTCATGTGGCCTCAACGTGCACCTAGCCTGGCACAAGCGCTGTGGTGACGTCACCGCTACTTAGTAGCGAATGGCGTTTGTTGTATGTATGTGTATGAACTGGACCTGGGCCTCCCCTAGGTCGACTTGGCCTCAAATAATTAGTCGCCTGATGCGGTGTGTAATCATCGCCACTTGGAGAGACGAAGTCGGCCGGGCGTGGTTCTGACCACCCACTGCTCTTGTGAGCCGTGCAACTCACTAACAACACTTGCCCTAGCATTCTATTAAAGGCCACTCACCACCTCGTTGCTCCGACACTCACAACACTCATACCACCTACCACACTCCACTCACCACCTCGAACCCCAACCGCTCACTCAGCCAGCGTATTCTGAGCAAGGCCCATGGAGTTGAGAAGCTCCTTCTCAATGGTGGCAGGCAATTTACAGGGAAAAGGAAGGGTTTACAAGGATTACGTATGTAGTAGTGTGTTGAACTTGTTTCGCACCGTACGTAGCCAACCGTCCCCAGTGCCGGATTATCCGAGTAGTAAAAGTAGCTGCATCTGTAGCTACGGGCCCCGCACTTTCAAGCTATAAATTCCGGTTCAGTGATTCTGCACTTGCTCTATTACTATAGTACTATACCGCCTTCAACTTTTATGAACGACTGGGTGTTTTAGGTTAGCGATTTGTCATTATCTGGCTGTATAGCAAATGAAAAAAATACAATTACTTTACTATGCAAGTTAAAAATGTGCTTTAATATGTATGTGTTTTTTCTTTATTTAGGTGCCCTTTATAACATATGCTACAGGCCCCGCACTAGCTTAATCCGGCACTGACCGTGCCTCTAGCCCTATGCCCGCAGCCACTCATTCACCCCATCCACCCACGCATTCACAGGTGTTTATAGAAGAGAGGCTGGTGTTGATGTTGCCAGAGTCAATGCTGGTGGTGAACCGCCAGGCGTTTGTGGGCGATACACGGGACCGCCGCGTACGGCGTTGGACTGCGATGTTCGCCTCCACCCCAGGTAATGAGGGGGGGGAGTGTGGGTGGTGGTGGTGGTAATGGGGTCACGCTGTCATTTACCATCACTCACGACCGGCGAGTCTCATTGTGAGGCTGACGTGGCCCATTAGCGGCCACGGGAAGGGATCTCACACTCACACGTGTATTGTACACACACACATATACACGTACATCCAAAGACAAGGATCCTCCGTATAGCCTTAACAGGTTGTTGGGGCAAGTGCTATTAGCGAGCTCCTATGAAGACCGGCACGGCACACGAGGGGATGGGTGGCCAGCATCACGCCCGGCCGCCTTTGTCTCCATAGTGGCGATATTTAGGCACCACACCAGGTGCTCATTTGAAGCTGAGTTGACCTAGGGCATGCACACGACCAGTTCATACACATTCATATACACCTACATACAACAAACGCCATTCGCTACGAAGTGGCGGTGACGTCACCATAGCGCTTGTGCCAGGCTAGGTGCACTTTGAGGCCACATGACGCGTTGGCGTGACCACGGGACAGACCCAGATGCCATGGGTTGACTAATCGACATGACTGGCAGATGCACAATCGATGTTCCCCACATACAAAGACCCCCCACCCCATATAGCCTTGAACAAACTGTTGGGGCAAGTGCTGTTGGAGAGCACCTCTGAAGCCCGGCACGAAGTATGAAGGGGGTTGGTGAAACAAAGGCGGCCGGGTGTGGTGAGGCCACGGACCGGTTCAAACATTCGCCACTGTAATTGATCGTGAGCGGGAATCGAACTCGGGTCGCCGGGTTTCGCAGCGAAGTGCGCCAACCACTGTGCCACCGCTCCCCATAGGCCACTGTGCTACGGTGCCCACACGCACACATCCATTGCCATCAGCCGCGGCGTGAGAGGCTGTCGGAGGGCGGCTGACGAGACGGTGGAGTGGGACGGGGAGAGGGAGGGAGGGAGTGGGTGGGAGAGGGGAGACGGGGAAGCGGGGAGATGGAACGGGGAAAATGAGGGAGGCGAGAGGGGAAGGAGGAGAGTGTGATATGTAGGGAGACGAGGGGGTGGGGGGGGGAGATCGTGCATGGGAGAGAGACGGGAGATGGAGGGAGACGGGAGGGGGGAGATCGTGGGAGAGAGAAGGAAGATGTAGGGAGACGGGGGAGATGGTGCATGGGAGAGAGAGTAGGGAGACGGGAGGGAGTGGAGGAGAGAGAGTAGGGAGATGTAGGGAGATGGGAGGGAGTGGAGGAGAGAGCGGGTGGGCAGAGGGAGACGGGAGAGTGAATCGGCTGCTGGAGGGCGGTGATGAGAGACGGGGAGACAGGGGGGAGAGAGGGGAGGGTGACGTGGAGCCCGGCGACGTAATGGGGGAAATGAGGGAGACGAAGGGGGAGAAGGGTATGAGGTGGAGGGAGGGGGTGTGGATGTGAGGCGAGAGAGTGAGAGTTGAGGAGACGCCAGGGGGGGGGGGGGTTGCTGGAGAGGGAGTGAGGAAGGGTGGGGAGGGGGAGAGGAGATGTGGAGCTGGGGAGCATGGAGTGGAAGATGACGGAGGGTGTAAGTGGCAGGGAGACGGGTGAGAGGAAAGGAGAGAGGGAGACGGGAGGGAGCGGGTGAGAGGGAGACAGGGAGAGAGCCAGGGAGAGAGCCGGGGAGGAAATGCGCGGTGAGAGCCACGCGTGGCTATGAGTGTCACTGTGAGTGAGACCGTGAGGGTGACGGTGTGTGTACGTGTGTGTGTAAGTACGTGTGTGTACGTACGTGTGTGTGTAAGTGCGTGTGTGTAAGTGCGTATGTGTGTGTAAGTGCGCGTGTGTGTGTAAGTGCGCGTGTGTGTGTAAGTACGTGTGTGTGTGTAAGTGCGTGGAGAGTTTCTCATACCTGGGCAGTGTGCTTATGACCGGCTCCAGTTTAACAGCAGAGGTCTCGCTCCGAATCAGTCGAGCGGCAATATCTTTTCATCGGTTGCGTAACGCTGTGTGGAAGCTACCTGGTCTGTCGCTCAGCACGAAGCTTCAGGTCTTCTCGGCCACGGTCATTCCCTCCCTTCTCTACACTTGCGAAACGTGGACCCCCTTAATGAACATCTTCGCCGCTTAGAAACATTTGGGCTAGCCTGCCTACGATCCATCCTGGGTTTAACCAGGCTGGATTGTGTGAGGAGCTCACAAATCCTTGAAAGATCTGGGCAAGGTCCCATCGGTGAGCTCCTCGGGCAGGCAAGGCTGCGTTGGCTGGGTCATGTAGCCCGCATGCCCAGCCACCGCATGCCTAAACAGCTTTTGTTCGGCCGGATCGAGGGGACTAAACGGGCGCGGCACGAGCTAGAGACGAGAT